AAGCTTTATCTCTTATAGTTTAATTATAATATATAATATAAGTTAGTCTATAGCCTATAATATTTATTATTTGAGGCTATATTAGTATATATTCTTTTTGGATTCGGGGAAATTAACTAACTAAATCTAGCCTATATTAGCTAGTTTTATAAACTAGTCTAGAAATTAATATCTAGCTATATAGTAGAAAAAGGCCCTGTATTTAAGAAAGATATAGTTATAAAAAAAATTATTTTACTAAGGTAATTTTTAGTAATTAAGTTTCTTCTTATACTATATAATATAGTTAAAGAAATTATTCTACTATAAGTTTATACTAGTATTAAGCTTATACTTGTTTTCCTATCTAATAGCTTTATTCTTTTCTTAAACTTGAACTTTATACTTTCTATATTTAAAGAACTTTAATAATATAAATATTTCTATATTAATAGTAATAAGATATTTGAGATTAGAAGTAATAATGCCTCTATTTCTTAATATTTATAAGTAATAAAAGTAGTATTTATTTTATTCTTTTTATTCTCTCTTTTCTTTTTCTCTTTTATATTTTTTATATTTTTTATATTCTCTATATTCTCTATATTCTCTATATTCTCTATATTCTCTATATTCTCTATATTCTCTCATATATTCTCTATATTCTCTATATTCTCTATATTCTCTATATTCTCTATATTTGCTTTAGTGGTTTTATTTTTATTTTTATTATCTTCTATTATTTTCTCTTATTTTTTATTTTCTAATTAAGTTATTATTCTAGTACTTTCCTGAGAATCTATTATCTAATAATATTATAGAAGGTTAGTTACTAGTATAGAGAAAGATATAATATAGATTAATATTCTAGTTAGAAGATATAAGCCTTCCTAAGTAATTAAAGTAAAGATTCCTATAATTATAAAGAACTATTTACTAGTTTTTGAATTTTGGCCTATAATTATTATTATATAGAGATTTAAAGGCCTTTTAGAGAAGGCAGAAGAGGCTATTAGTTAGCTCTGGATTAGACTAGGCTAGTTAGGTAGAAATCTTTTTAGTATAGTTCTAATTAATAATAGTAAAGTAATTAGAGATAATAAATAGATTTAAGTAAGTAAAATTAAATAATAGAATAGAGTAAAGAATAATAGAATAAGATAGAAAGTAATAGAGTAAGATAGAAAATAATAAAATAAAATAGAAAGTAATAGGGTAAAATAGAAAGTAATAGAGTAAGGCTAATAAAGTTATAAGTTAATTAGATTTGAGAATTAAACTAGAATTCTTATTAAAGAAGTTAGATTACTATATTAAGGAAGTAAGAACTATAAATAAGTAATATAGAAGAATTTAAAAATAGTATTAGCTTTATTAATATATATCTTTTTTCTTTAAACCGAGTTTATAAAAGAACCCTTTTTTAAATAAGTTAATATTTCCTATACTAATAAAAGCTTATAAATAGAATAATATTCTTAAACTATAATAAATAAAGTAAGTAAATAATAGAGATAGAAATAAATATAAGATAAATTAATTAGAATATAGGATTTTGAAATATTTTCGGAATTTTATATATAATTTATATATATCTTTATCTAATATTATATTAGAGAATTCTATTTATTAATATTCTATATAAAGCTAAATACTTAATTAATTATAACTTATAATATTAAGCTATCTCTATTATTTTATATATTATTTTATATTTTTATAATCTTATACTTTTATATATTATAGTAATAAAGACCTAGAAATCTTATTTTATTACTAGTTATTTATATAAAGTATAATATAAGTAAAAGAATTTACTAGCCAAATAACTCTTACTTTTTTTTTAAATATGAATTTGGCTATAATAGCCCTATAGCTTCGAAAACTTAATATTAGATTCTAGCTTTTAGGTATATTTTCTCTTTCTTAAGAAGTTCTAGGAATTTTCTATTTATTTTTGCAAAATTATAAACTTTTAGTATTTAAATAGAAATAGCCTATAGTCTTAGTAAAATATACTAATATTTCTAGTACTAGATATTATAGCTAAGTAATATATAATTACCTAATAATTTTAGCTATAATATTTAAAGCTAGATATATTTTATTAAATAAAAGAAAAGTAGGTAATTAAATAATATCTTTTTCTATTATATAATATATTATATAAAAAGAAATCTTAATAAAATTATATTAAGAGAAGATAGTAATAGATTATTTACTTATTACTTATTACTTTATAGAAATACTTAGAATATATTTTATAGAAAGAATAGCTAAGCCTTTTATATACTTTAATTTTTCTATTACTAATAGTAATACTTTTCTTTCTTTCTGCCCTAGTCTCTACTAATTTAGTCTCTTTCTACTAGTTTCTTTTTATCTAGTTACTTCTATCTAATTACTTTCTGCCTAGTTACTTTCTACTAGTTTCTTTTTACTAGTCTCTTTTTACCTAGTTACTTCTATCTAGTTACTTTCTACCTAGTTACTTTCTACTAGTTTCTTTCTATCTAGTCTCTTTTATCTAGTCTTTTCTACCTAATTACTTTTTACCTAATTACCTGCTCTTTTATTTAGCCTTAATTTCCTTATACCTCTATTTATAATAATAGTACCTACTATCTCTTAATAGCTAATAGTAAAGAAATATAGGAATTTATATATTAATAAATTAATTAAGCTCTCTAATACCCGTATTTATTCTATCTTAGACTCTAGAGAAAACCGGACCTAACCTATATATAAAGATTTAGTAAAGGTTTTAAGGAAGTTAGTCCTAAAATTTTATAGTATGGTTTATTTGATTTGAATAGTTTATTACTAGACTTGACTTATATAAGGTTAGTAGTTAAGAGATCTATCCGGAAACTAGTAGAAGCTTACTATTCTTCCAAGTAACTTTTAGATATTCTTTAAAGTAAAATAACCGGAAGTTTTAGCTCTATTTCTGGAAAGGCAAACTATAGGCAGAAACAGGTATTTTCGGGCCATTTTCAAGGAAAGAAGCATTTTAGAGGAAATTCTAATTTGTTTTTTTTGGTATTATTACTTATCGGGTGCCCCTTTTATAATCTCTGTTTTATTTAAGGCAGAGTCTCTATTTTTGCTATATCTCTATAACTTCTTTCCTTTAATTATACTATAGTTTAGTAATATAGGGGTTTATATATTAAACAGGTTAATTAAGCCCTCTAAAACCTGTATGAAAATATATTCCTGCTTTATACTATGAATTCAGGTATCTCTTTTTGGATATTAGTTAAGGCAAATATTTAGAGAGAAAGAGGTTTGAGGAGAACTCCGTAATATAGGTTAAAAACAGGAAGAAGGCTAGAGAAAGAGAAGAAGCTAGTTTAAGGCTAGAATTGCATTATAAAAGAGAAGATCTAAGGTTAAATGAATTAGCTTTAAGCTTTAAATAGGATTTATGAAGTATAATAGGTTAGAGAGGAAATTACTAGGTACCTACCTTAAGCCCTTTCTTGAACCTAGAAGGTATTATTGACCTTTGGGGGAATTATCGACCTTTAAAGGAATTATTAACCTTTAGAGGGATTATTGACTTTTGACTCGAATAATATTTAAGGAGATAGTTTGTGTATTTTAATGCTTTTGTGCTTTTAAAAAATAAGAAGTCTTATAAAATAGACTACTTATAACCAGATATTTACTAAAAAGGAGAAGGGTTTATAGGAAACTAGATAATTACCGAGATCGAGTAGCTTTAAGGCTTCGAAGAACTCGAGGTTTGAGAAGTTCTTTGTCTTTATTGTTTATTATATGGTACTATCTCGAGAGTTATAGATACTTCTAGAATAGTTTATTTTAAGACAAGAAAACAAACTAATTTTGAGTAGTACACAACCTCATCTCCCATTAATTATGATGTGGTGTCAGAAAAACAACTTATTTTAGACCATAAGCTTCCAGACTTGCCTAGCTAATAGTCAGACTTCATGTCATACTAAAGGGGCCCTTCCCTTTAGTCGGGGAAAGCGAGTTGGCCCGCAAAAGCGAGATGGCCCGTACCAAATAAAATCCTTAATAACTTGAAACATTGACCTTTTTAAATAATTCTAAGTAGTAGAATTAAAAATATAAGCCTTATAAACTAGATATAATTCTCTAAATCTTAAAAAAAGATGTGGGTAGAGAGTTATTAAGATTTTAATAATAAAATTGCGAGAAATACAAAAATCATAAGAATTATTTATTCATGACCATTTCGCGAGTATTAGACCTATAACTTTTGCTTAATTATAAAATTTTATTCTTTTACTTAAAACTTTAGCCCTTAAGTATGCGATAGGTAACTATGAGATCGCAAATAAAATGTATTAATTAGATTTTCTATAGCTAGTTTCTAATATTGTTTTTTAGAAGGCAAAAAAAGCCGAAACAGGCCATCTTGCTTTCGCGGGCCAACTCGCTTTCCCCGACTAAAGGGAAGGGCCCCTTTAGCATGACGTGAAGTCCGACTATTATTTCGATGCGGAATCGCGGTATATTTCCGTAATCGATGACTCAGCTAGTCCTCGGCCCAATGGGCATACAGGGATTAGTATATTATCTCCCGTGAAACGCGAAAAGTAAAGAATAGTTCAAATGAGGGCCAGCTATTAGTTACATCTATTTTTTTTAGAATTCTGTTTACACAATTAAAATAAGCTATTCACACTTAATTATTGTGCAGTATGTTCTTGTCTTATTAACATGTTAAGGCTTTAGTTGTTGTGGCTAGCGAAATTAGCTTCAGATTCTGTAAGGGCACGCATATTACGTGACGGTACTACGCGTTACTAGTGAACCGACAATTTCTTTCTTATATAATAAAGAGCTATTTTAAGAGCTACTAGAACTTAATACCTTTAATTGAATTGCTTTATTTCTTTCCTTAGTTATATAGCCCGTAAGTAAGGACAAGTATAAGAACTATAACTGAGGGATTATGACGGGTTGTGGATTGGACAGGAGACCTGATTCTATCGAGAAATGTCTAGTTGCCAAGTTTCCTTAGTGCAGAATAGTTGATACTTATATTGTTACTCTACAGCAATAATACAGAACCAGAAAATGAGGACAAGCCTACTGTGTCAGCAGCTGCAACGCACCAGCATTTAAGTACAGGCTTATTCTATCCTCCATCTCTGAACACGTCTCAATTCGCCGCCTGTCAATTGTTCTTCCCAGTAACAGAGCTCGGCCAACCAGGAAATAGCGGTCTTGGATCCACCTCAAGACGGCAATAATATCAGACCCTTGAAAACCACACAGTATATCTGAAGCCCAAGCATTGCTGGGTGCAACACCCACATTCCCATCGTTGTCAAGAAAGAAGCGAGGCTCTACAGCTTTGTATTCTTCTCGCTGTAAAGCACAACTTGTCCTTGCTGGGCTGAGTTGTTGTGTCAGCTGACCCCACGGTTGAGGGGCATTTGAGAGGTACCTCCGCCCTGCGGTCCGGACATCCATAAACCGTTCCATATACTCTCGAAATCCCCGACCCCCTCGCAATCCGTAAGACAAATGGCTATGAATAGGGACTGTCTCTCTTAAAACCTGTTGCTCCATCTGAAACAGCACCTTAATTTGTTCTTTTATCATTTCTTTCCTTCCTGGAGTTTGGCCTTCTAACAGGGATTGGAGCCGTCGTTGGGCAGCTGCCTCAATCATTGCGGAGACTGAGGTGGAAGCATCCTCAAAATACGGCCCAAATTTGTTGATGGAACCACAACAGTAGCCCAATGCCCCTACGAGTCTCTCGGACTCATGGGCGATCGGATGAGTTGCATGAGCAGACGCCCTCACACCGCCTTCAAAGACCCGCTGCAAAAAGCTAGCAAATGAAATCATTGAGGCACAGTCTTGATACTCGCGAAGCATCACCACGTCTGTGAAGATTTCGAAGATTGATTTAGAATAATCAAGCGGCAAGTTGGCTGCATCCTTTGTAATACCAGCGAGGCCATAGATTTTATCCTTGATTTCTTTGCATTTTGCTGCTGAAAAGACTTCTAGAAGATCTTCCAATGACGAACTTCGATTGTGGTATAATATCTGGTATTTGTCAAGTTGAAATGCCGAAGATGATTTCAAATCCTTAAACTTGTCTTTGTTTCGGGTCCTGATTTCTCCACTTTCAAAAGCCACTTGGAACTTGTCGAAGTAGTCCCAATTAGCATAGTCTATACCGCATTGCATCCTGGCATTCTTTGCAACCAAGACCTCCTGAATAATCCAGAGTCGGTTCCAGTAGGATCGATTACACAAATGGCGAATCGCTGTTAATTCCTCCTTGCAGTCGGTATCCCACTCTACGAAATGACCCCTGTAATGCTCGAAGTGTGCAATGAATCTCAAGGCAAGTTGGCTGTCTGCACTTGGCAGACCCAGCCAGATAAGCACTCCCCATGATTGCTCGTATATTCGTTTCATCTGTCTGACTTGCTGGTTGCGCTCATCCTTGTTTGATTGATTGATGCACATCGCGTCAATCCAAAATCTCCGCTCGTAAGGCTCTCGTAGGTGGTACAATGCTTCCCAGAGATTTCTTCGTACAGGAACCGCCACATTATTGACGATAATATCCCTCTCGTCTCCTGGTTCCCCCCACTCGTAAGAAAGTGCTTCAAATCGAATTTCATCGTTTAAAGACACTCGCACGAGGTCACAACTGATTGTATTCCGCGGGTTGTCGATCGGATGGAGGACTACAAGCCTGATTTCACCAGAAGGCTTGAGAATTGGACCATACAGGGAGCGATATCTCTGATCAGCGTCTGATGCCATTTTAGTGGCGGAGAAGTAGCCCCCAGGATCATATTTTTTCAGAATCCCTCGTGCTTGAAATTGCGCACCCTTCTTTGCTTCGATGTGTACGGAAAGCGATAAGGATCAGAAGACCAAGCGATTTTCGAATCTGGTTTTCGACCTTCAATGTCTGATTTGTGGCACGTGCGCACCTAACCAAAAATCGCCTACATATTATGCCCTCTCTTCCTGTGCCTCTACTTATTATTACTACTTAAAATATTACTCTCTTTTTAATTCTTATTTATATATATATATACGAGAGAGGGGTAAGAGAGGGGTAGATGGGGATGGGGGTGGGGGGGAGGGGGAGGAGATGGAGGGCGAGTGAAAAGTGAAAAGTGAAAAGTGAAAGTTGAAAAGTGGAAAGCGAAAATCGAAGAGCGAGCTTTAAGGCATGCGACTCGCGAGGAAAAGGAAGCCCTATAATTATAGGCTACTTATCGCTAAATTTTAGGGCCACAATCACTAAATTATAGGCTATAGGTACTAAAAATTTAGTGCTTTGTAACATGAATTTTTAGTAAGGTCCCCTTGCCCTGCCCTCCCTCTCTCCCCCCTTCTCCCCTCTCTCCCCCCTTCTCCCCTCTCTTACCCTTATACTTATAAAGAGAGCGAGAAGAATTAAAGAGAGGAAATATTTGAAGTAATAATAGAGGCACAGGGAGAGGGGGCGTGATATATAGGCGTGGTGTATGGGTGTTTGTAATTTTTGGTAGGGTGCGCACGTGCCACAAGTCGGACATCAAAAGTCGAAAATCGGATTCGAAAATCGCTTGGTCTTCTGATCCTTCTCGCTTTCCGTACAGGTCGCTTTCACGAACCGCCAGTGGTAACTTGTGGAAGGTACGAACGGGTAAACGAGGGCGGTACAGACGCTATGAGAGTGTGTTTGGGCAGGCCGGTTTCGAAGATGACTGTAAGGCGATCGCAACTTGGTTCTAGGGAATAGTCCAGTAGCGGGTCGAACAAGGGCACCTGTCACACTTTTAACTAATAGTACTTAGCGGCGTACAGCGCCTCAGAATTCGATCCTCTATCTATAGAACATAATGTTGACGCTATCCCTGGACTACCCGGATGGGAACCCATTATTTTGAAAAATAATCTACTTTGAAAAACTGAAAGGAACGTGGCTATACAGATGCCTGATAACCCACATGCTTCCACCAGTTCATTTTCTATGAGCTATGAGCTATGTACTTTCTACTTTTCATTGACTTTTTCTTTCTTCAAATCGAGGTTTCTTATACATAGCTCCGCCAGTACCAGCCTGCATATTCATCAGCATCTCTACGACTTCTTATGCATGACAGTAGCAGCGGCCTGCCCAGTCAGTCTCTATTAAATGATAAAAAGAGAAGGATCATACCTGATGATTAGGGAAGACCAATGTGTCCGCAATGACAACATTCTCCCTCCGTCCAGCCGTGAAAACAATAACCTCCGCAATATCTTCAGGAGTCAAAGGTTCACAGCCACTTCACACATCAGCCATGTCCGTACCAACGCTCATGGAACTTACGCATAAACAGCATTAGCTTTCGCCTTATCCCCATAAAATCTGACAACGGAGAATTCCTTTTGCAAGTCAGCGTGGAGTTCCAACGTTCGCTCAAAAACTCACAGTCTCGACCTGTCCTGGATCAACCTCAATAACTCTGATACGCGTAGCAATCAACTCTCTCCTCAACGAATCCGTAAAACTCCGCACTGCCGCCTTCGTGGCACAATAAATGCTTCCTCCCTGGTATGGTTCTCTGCCCGCAATACTGCCAACGTTTATAATATCCCCGGCACCACCATCTGCCCTCTTCTTGAAGATCGGTAGAACAGCTTGAGTCATATTGATCAGACCCGTAACATTCGTCGCAAACATAACATTGATATCATCCTCCTTAATCTCCGGTGCCTTATCAACACCCTTCACAAGTCCCCTGTCTCAGTCAGCCTCTCCCTTCCTCCTTCACCACCACAACGAAGAGACTCACGCATTATTAACCAAAACATCAATCTCCCTCCACTCCTCCGGCAGATTCCCCACAAAACCCCGTACCTCATCAGGAGAACTAACATCCAGCTTAAACGGCAGGACTTTCACGCCCTCCCCCACCTCCTTCTTGATCTCCTCCGCAATCTCTTTCAAGGTATCGATCCTCCTCGCTGTCAAGATCAACCGCAGATTCTTCGGACTCGTGCGCGCGAATTCGATGGCGGTGGAGCGGCCAATGCCTGAGGAGGCGCCAGTTATGACGATGGTTTTGCCTTCAAGGCGTTTTGACATTGCGGAGGTGGCCATGCCTCGGATGGGCTTGTGGAGGGGATTGAGAGGTGCGCGGAGGCTACTGAGTGTGCGGAGAAAATGGGCACTGGTTCGTAGGGGGCGCATACGTGGTTTTTATTGAGGATTGGTAAGAGTGGGAGGGGGAAGACGTGCTTGGAAATTGTTTGTTGCTGATGCAGAGCTGCGGAGAGCCTTGCAGCAACCCCACATTGAATGCCGACGATCGGCCGCGGTGACATCCTCGTCTCATCATGACCGTGTTTGAGCCTCCACAACTCAACAGTGACATTACATATTTTCGAGGTTCTCTTCCTATGTCAAGCCTGGTAAGAATGACCTGGGTATATTCGTGGAAGTTTCTATTTCGGTGCTTGACGCTTTTGTTTCGAAGTATCTGAGACATTCATTTACACTTCCTTCAATAGCTTTTATTTTGCCCCAAAGCTAGACGAGCGCGTCGGCTATTAGCAAGCTGTTTGTTTACAGGTGTCGGAGGTCGCGGCCATAAGTCTTGCAACTACCAGGGTCGCCGCCACTTCTCGCTTAAGTGGCAGGGCCGTTGCACGGCAACCAAGAAGCGCTGTAAATACAGGGCCTTGCAGGCGTTCCGTGGCCAAAATATAGCGCGCAGGCCCTATAAGCATCGCTAAACCTACTATTCCTACAGGCTATCGAGCCTAATCTTCGTTGCTAGGCCAGCTGCAAGTAGCGTCCTGAGGCTTGGAACTCATCCCTGCTGGTTGCAAGACTTATGGCCGCGACCTCCGTATTTGTCTGCATTTCGTATCTTCAAGCTCAAGTTTGAGCCAAAAAGGAGACACGAACAAGTCATTTCGTGCGTGATCGAAAACACGGTACAACGTTCTATGAATCTACTGTACATGAAGAAAAGTGTTTCTTCCTCTTCCTCTTCCCTTCATTCTTGCGCAAACTCAAGAATATTCGGCTGACATTGCTGATTTCTCCCTATTCACTTCATTACTGCACAACTCACGAACAATTCGTTTCATATTGTCGTTTTATTCAACTTCACCATATCTGCAATCCACATCCCTTCTACCCCAGCGGGTACTGGGTTTGAGGCCTAGCTCAAGCCTTCAACTCCAACTCTAAGGCTAATCTCCGAGCATATGACGAGGAGAACTTTCCCCGCCAAAGCGAAAGCGACAGAGAAAGAGACGTTACCAATGAACTCAACCTACGTTCGATAACAGGCGGGCTCGATCTCCAAGAAATCATCAAATCGGAACCTACCAAGCTTTCTGTACTCCTCCAACAGAGCAGCGACTCAGAGATATGGGAGAAGATGACCATGGAGGTTGAGCCAGACGAACCGCATCAAGTTTGAAATTCAGAAACAAGAGCTGGAGAGAGAGAGGGGAAGGAGGAGAATAAATTCCCGCAGCGACGGCGTCGGCTCGGGTTATATACATGACAAGATTACGGAAGGCAGAGGGGGTAGGGAAACCCGGAAATTTCAAATAATTGATATGGCATTGGTCTCGGGGTTCAGGTTGTGAACCTTAGCTATGGTACTCTCTTGCAATGTTCATGTGTAGTATGACTCAGTTTACATACCCGTTGAGAGACTCGCAGTGATATTAGTTTCGACCCAAATTATAGAGCACTAGTTACTCTCTGTGGCCAGAGTAACACTTCGGAGAAAATTTCAAGTTGATGCAGTCCCAATCCCAATCTAAACATGCCTGAGATACTTTGTTCCGTTTCTAGGGAGAAATTGGCTACCTTTGCGCAACGGAATTTGCTCTATGTTCGATCTCTTGCATTTAAGAAACAGACTCATTGGCACAACATGACATAGTAGTATAAGATACCAAATGTGACGTATGATTTTCACCACCCTGTACCAAGCTTCGGACATTTCAGGTGATACCAATTTCTCCTTTTTACCACACCTTGCCGCCACTAGAGGCTTCTCAGGCTTCTTCAATGCGCTACCTTTTCGACAACCGTTTTACAGATTCCCTTGACTAAGACTTCGCCTCCAATATAACCATCAGCACTTAAACCTGCATTTTGAAATCCAAGGAGTGTGCCACTGACTTACCCATCAGGTCAGCTGCTCTCCAATGATAAAGGCGTGCTTTGCAAGAGTTGCGTATCCCGAGTCATCACTGATAGGAGAGTGGCTTAGAAAGTTTGCCTTTCCATATATACGATAGGCGGCTACGTCGGTCAGATCGAAATCTCTAAGGTCCTCAGGCTCAAGTATCCAGAGCCGGCGAGTTTCGGAGAAGAATGGGCTCGCAAGATTTGTTGGAATTGCTGAGATCATGCCTTCTGGTACGTCGTTCAGCACCGCCGATAGCAGAACCCTATTGGTATGACCAAGATCCAAGCAAACGTAGAACGAACTACCTCTAGCAAATTGATAGTAAAGATACCATAGTACTTCACGCTCAAGATGTTCGCGATTTTCAAGAAGAATATCGCATTCTGAGAAAAGGGCAGCCACAGCAACGGATCCGAAATTACCAAGAGTGTCCGCAACAGCAGAATCCTGTGGACTTACCAGGTCTTTCAAAGTTGTTTGAGCGTACAAAAGCATGATCCATTCTGGACCAGCTGCCAAGCCTGCTGCTAGACGTCGACCCAGCTCTTGGTCCCGACTCTCCCTCAGATGCTCAATGATGGACGATAGGATATCTTTGCCCAGTTGTGATAATATGAACCCGATAATCGAATCTCTGATACTCTGATATGGCTCCCTTCATTCCCACTTCTCCGTAATTAGCAGGTCAATGGCCAGCATTAACCTCGTTGTTCGTATGCCGTACTGAATTGGATGTCCACGGGGTTGCCGTATCAAGCTCACCCCTCGCGGGGTCTCTGGCCAACGCAGCCAACTTATAGACGTAGCATCCTAATTTGGTCCTCGTGCGATGGGAATCGGATCGCCTGTCCCACCAAGACAAGAAAGATCGCCGGCTGCCATTGATATAATGGCGAATATGTAGCAGCATTCTCCGATCGGAATATCTTTCCTTACCACAGATAGGACAACATTCGCCGAGTTGAGCACAATGATTAATTTGTTCGAATCAACGGAGCAGCCGAGCGTCGACAGAATCGAGAACATATCGGCGAGAGGTGCAGCAGTTGTGAGAGTCATTGTTGACGCTTTCTTCCATCCCTTCGAGAGCCTGCACAGTTTCTTCCGGCGTAATTTTGTTTTAAGCTCGATAAGCGACGATTAGATAATCGCGCTAATTTTTCGATAATCGATAATCGACCATCGATTACGATAATTATCGAACTAAGGCCTTGGCAATACTACAGGGCCACTACAGGGCCACTACAGGGCCAATGCGCTATATTTATAGGCCTCATACCACCTTTTCTTTACTATCCGTTCAGCTGCCGCCAGGTGCGCCCTGGTCCGTGCACACTAGTTTTCGCTTAATTCTGGCCAATCAAAGGGCTGGATTCCACCATCAAAAGCATTAATTCTACCTTGATTTATGAAATACATCAAAACAACCACGATCTTTACATAGATATATATCACATTGCTTACACCCATATATAGAATCATATCTTATGCTTTCCCTGCCTTGATTCGATGCGATTTGAGCTAGTGCAACTCGCTTTTTAGGCCGATCTGTAAACCGGAGCCCCTGATAGTAAACACACCTCCCTTTTTTACCAAGCTTTACTAGCTCATGCTCCCTAGGGGGCACATTACCTGCTCCCTGGCTAATATGCGATATCCTTCTCTTTGGACAGACTTCACTAGCCCTGGATTTAGCTACCAGAGCACCAATTAACTGCCTTCTAAAGTCTTGCTGGCTCCTAAAGCTTACTTGCCTAGGCTCTGGAATATCGCTATATAAAGCAAGTAAATAGCAATTGATTAGAACCGTACGAAGTAGCCAGTGCTCAAGTGCTTGGTGCCCCTCTCGTCTCACGTGCCGTAAACCAGCGTTCTGAGCAGTCAAGTGATCAAACTCGTCCACAGCTCCCATATGATAATTATATCCGTCCGCAATTGCAGGAATCGAAAGCACCTTTGTAGCCTGGCTACCAAAGGGTACTCGTGCAGTTTTTGCTTTAGAAGAAGTCTCCTTAGGCCTCTTCCTTAGCCGTAAAACACGCTCGTCACCTGACATAAAGGAAGACATCATTAAAACAAACGCCTGATCTTTCCATCTAACGTAACACACTTCTCCATTAGACGTATACCTAGAATAGGTCTCTCCCCAGGGGATTACGTCCTTTCTATCCGATTTCTGAAGGTCAAGAAGCTCCTGAATAACCCCACCATTTGTTCTGCAAGTCCTAGTAATCGCGACTCCTTGGGAGCGAGCATATTAGACAAAACGAGTAGAAACAAAGAGATTATCAAGGTATACGTAATAGCCAGAGCCCTTAGGAGGCTCAGGTAACCTTTGAATCAAGTGCAGGACTACTGCTTGTGTCTTGTTTCCTCCGTTTCCAGCCTTAATTATCCCACCAAGCGCTCGTGGAGTACGTACTCCCACAGGGCCATTTTTTTGACCAGGAATATGCCAGTTCCATACGAGTAAGAACCCCCTCTGGGCTGCCCCCCAGACCTTATATCCTGTAGGTATGGGCTTATTTGGAACAGTGGTTGTTTCTTTAGATCGACCTTCAAATCATACGATTATCTCATCAATTGCCAAGTTCCGTTCCGGCTTCCAAACACCCAAATTAACCTCCTGAATGTGTGAACTTAAGGGCTCGACCTAAAGTACTATATATTAGCCGATATTAAGGTAAGAAACTATCAATTTTACTTACTTTCGCATATGGTCCTTTAACGTTCTCTCCATATATTCTCACACGCATATATAACTCCTGGAAGCGGTTCCTGCTCATATAGCTTGTAATCGGGTAATCAGGAGTAAAGTCCTTCGTATTCCAGTAATCAGAGATCTCGTTACATTTATATAAGGTCATATATATACGAATGACTAAGTAGAGATAAATCTCTCCAGAGCAGGTGGGGTACCAGTCATTTGCTCGTATATAAGGGCAGGAATCGTCTTGAGGTTCTCGCAGATACTGATTCGTCTTCTCAACTATCAAATTAATGATTTCAGGTATATAATATATAGTAAATAATGTAATAGGATTATCGGGAGAGGTGTTCTCTGGCAAGGTAATTTCCCAATCCCAATTGGGCAATTGCATAGGCTTAAACGTAGCCCCTTGCTTGCATATTGGATCTTCGTTCGGCCGAAGGGTTCCTTTATCGGTAGAATCGAATACAGTATCTTCTGGCATCGTGGTTGTGGTGTAATTGATGATTTAATTGATTTGTTTACATGTAAATACAGATTCAGGTTTTGGTGTTCCTTCGGAATAATGGTTTTTCCGCTTCCGGTTCGGGCGCACCTGGCGGCAGCTGAACGGATAGCAGAATTCCGATTTAGTAAAGGCGGTATAAGGCCTATAAATATAGCGCATTAGCCCTGTAGTAGCCCTGTAGTACTACCAAGGCCCTGGACCCACTATTATTAATAGATTTAGTACTGTAAAGGCGGTCTAAGGCCTGTAAATATAGCGTATTGGCCCTGTAGTGGCCCTGTAATGGCCCTGTAGTGGCACTGTAGTATTGCCAAGGCCCTGGGACCCACTATTATCAATGGAATTATCAATGGGCTCGCTTAATGGCTGGCTGGGCCCACTTTTATCGATGGAATTATCGATGGGCTCGCTCAATGGCTGGCGGGCCCACTTTTATCGATGGAATTATCGATGGGCTCGCTTAATGGCTGGCTGGGCCCACTTTTATCAATGGAATTATTGATAAAAGCGGGCCCAGCCATTAAGCGAGCCCCATTGCATCGATAGTATTAGCAATAATTATATTATCTATATTATATAATAGACTATTAAATAGAAATATAATAGTATAGTAATAATAGTCTACTTTTATACTAATCTTTATACTAATCGGTTTATAATTGAACTAGAAAGCGAGATGTTCATGTAATAGGGCTCGCTTAATAGCTGGGGCCCACTTTTATCAATGATAATTATCGATATCGATCGTTTATCGATCGATTAGCCGATAACGATTACTAATCGATAATTCCGATCGATAATTTATCGGAGCCCACACTGCTGTATCGAAGGTGCTGTCTGGCTAATAGTATAAACCATCATCATCTGGAGAATTTGAAGACTGAGCGAGTGCAGTGTCCCGGGTTCCTCTCCAGGGCACAAGAACGAGGGACTGCTCATTACAAAGATGCTCATGGAGACACCATACTCGGGAGAACCACCGGGTAGAAAGAACGTGTGATATCATGCTGACGATCTCTTTCACCGTCTCGAGTGGAAGCGCCTCGAGTAGAAGGGACTCTGAGAAGTCCTTGGCAATGTGGGAAACGAGCTTTTCCTAGACATCTCACTGGGATTGGGTGATGCTGATATCTTCGAGTATAATGACCACGAGCCGGGCGCTCTTGTAGATCAGGTCCCTGGCAGCTATTGATATCAGCTTCTCGTCTTCGCCCCCCTGGTTGATACAGAATTGGTCCATCCATATGCCCCTTCAGTTGCAGATTGACAAACACCCCTTAGGGCCTGAAACATCTCCTGCGATATTGGCATTGCTGAGCGGGAGCCATGCTGCTCACTCTCCTTCTGCTACCTGAGACCCGGATGATCTCCACTCAGGCGAGTGCCAGCAGTAGCTCACCGCAATAAAGCTATGGAACACGTCTGGTCGAGGTGCGGGTCCCGTATACAGGAGGCGAAATGGCATGAAAGGGAGCACGGCAGCCTTAAATGTGAGCAGATCTGTGACTGCTGGATCGAGTTTGGCAGCTTCGGCTAGTAGATTGCATACCTCCTTCAACTCTTCTAGGGCAGCTTATAGAAGAGAGTTATTGTTGTCGTCGGTTAGTATTACCTGAGTGACGATATGCTTTATGTGCTTCAGATACGATGAAAGGTGGGTCTCGTCATCCGACTCAGCGCACTGCATTGAGCGCCATGATGCCTTGTCACAGAAACGGCACTTCACAACGTTTGTTTCGATGTCGTTCCACGCCCTGACACAGCCAGAATAATTGACTAGAGATTCAACCATGCTGAACAGTAGCCTTGTGCCAAATTTAACTGCTGCTGCTAGCAAAGACTACTACACTTTGCACGTTGTTTCTATGAGGCTGAGAGGAGGGGAAATGTCTCACTTATTGACGTGATTGGGAGGCTAAACCCTTTTGGGAAACCACCTCCTTGTCGGCTTCAAAGATGGGCAGTACTATCTGCATGTGACTCTGGGGAAAAGAAAGAAGCTGATTTTGCAAGTGACTATATGCTTCTTGCAACGGCCTAGTCTCAGCTGACCATTCTTCCCCGTGATACGGTTCTGGTTCATGGCGACTCAAGACAGCAAGAAGCTGGTAATGAGTCCGCAGGGGTAATGATGAAAGATCATATGAAGAATTACTCAGGTAAGGCGGTGATGCGGCCGCAGGGGGGGCGAGAGCGAGTAGAACATCAGGTAAAGGGGAGATATGGTGATACAGCCGCAGGGTAGCGAGTGGATAATCAAATGAAGAGAGAGAGAGAGAGAGATGGTAATGCGGCCGCAGGGGTAGCGAGTGAAAGGCCAGGGAGTGAAAGGCCCGGAGAAAGAAGCCCTCAATACAAGTATGTATATCTCTCTCTTCTCCAATCATGTACTTTTCCCATTGAGGTCATGTTATGATTCCTTTCATTGTTATATAGATTTTTTTATAAAACTATAAGTGACATTTGCACACTTTTCATAGATAGTAGCAACATGTCTTTAGTTCAGAGTTGAATGTCCACAATATGCAATGATCTGGTATTATAATATTATATGCAATGTCAACTGTGATTTTGCGCAATGGCATCTATAACAATAGCTCTTACTATATCCAATAAGAACTTGAAATAAATTTAATAAAGCGAGCCGACTACTTTTTCGAAAATTAGACTTGAGCTGACATTATTCTCGCAAAGAACAATACTATTGCTAAAACAGGCTTTCGTTCTCAGTTCTACTAACCCTATCCAACAAGAACAACAAGCCGACCACTTTTATGAAATCCGACCTGAGTAAATGTTCTCACAAAGAACAATACTGTCGCCAGATCATACTTCTTTTGCTCTCGGTCGTTGTCCGCACCGTGTCCCCACAACAACAATGAATAATACCCTCCACGTTCCAGCACCATTCTACTCCACCCCCCTAGAACAACGACCTTTACTCAATAGGCCCTTGACTCCAGGAGGAGACGGATTTGCAATGCTCCTCCCACCCAACGTAAACTACCCTTGCCCGCCGGCACAACAACAAGCAGAGCAACCTCTCAACGAAGAGCTCACCGATGCTGATACCGACTTCGACTTCAGCCGTCATCAACGGCCGTTTCGGACGAATGCGAGCAAAGCAAAGACGGCAAAGCAAGAACAGGAAGAACTCGCGCAGGTGAAAGAGCAGGACAGTACCAATGCTACGCCAAAGTCGACACGATGCACAAATTGCAAGACGGCAAAGAAGAAGTGTGATCTGGTGGAGACGGGGCTCCCTTGCACAACATGCAAGAGAAAAAAGTTACCATGTGTGGGGTGTGATATCCCGCGTCGCCAAACAGTACTCCCAAAGAAGGCAAAAGCTACACGGAAGGTGGCTCCTGGAATGTCTGCACGACTAGCAACAGGGCACGGTATGGCGGCTGCTCCAACGCCAGCCCCAGCACCAGAATTCCAGGGCACCGACTCCGTCGAGCCAAGGCTCTTCCGAAGAGACGAAGCACCACCTAGAGTACGATCCGCAAGTCCACAAGGCGAAGCACTGTTCTCCGATAAATGCGACAACTGCGAACGGCACGAACGATGCTGCGAAGATACTCGACCGTGCTTCGAGTGTATGGAGCATAATATTGTCTGCTATGGAACTTATATGGACAACCCATATCGATCTGCCCATGACGACTCCGACGGATCTGGGAACGGATGGGCAACCTTTGGACCAAACTTTGGTCTCTATGACTGAGGATGGTAAGGGAGATATGAATGACCCTAACAACTTGGGCACAATGTAAGCATTGGAGAGAGATAGATGGCTCGAGTCTTCTATTAGAGAGAATATTAGCATTTTGATAGAGTTGTTGATAGAGTTTGATACCGTACCCCATTTTCGCTGTGAGATCTTATGAAATAACTTGGCGAAGTTCCGATAATTTCAAAGTAGTTTTGAACGTACGAGGGCTCGATGGAACAATACGACATTCCAGTTACAACTGGACTGCGGGACCTAGTATTAGTACCTTGTATCTAGTACCGCTTTTTGTCCACCGCTTGCCCACCCAATCAGCCCCTCACAATATCAATAAAAACTTACCCAACATCACGTCACACTTTGCAAAAACCCAGCACAGTACACAGGGGGGCTCAATAGATAACTCGAAACTCCATTCCAATCTAAAAAAGCGTTAAAGGCGTGTTGCAATACTAAGAGAAGCTTAACCCAATCAACGCCGCCATTCATGGGCTTCATGCTTGCTTGCTTGCTTGCTCTCTGCCCAAATCGAACATCTGTACCCTGTGCTCAAACAAACGCAAACGCTTGGTGACTTGGTAGCTCTTAAAGACCACAAACAAAGGACGTAGACTAATGCCGAAATCGCAGTCCGTTCCAAGCCGTAGTGTTGGTTGACATGCTGAGAGTTTGGGCGAATAATCCGTAAACATGCTGGGCATCAAGAATCCGACAAGCTCTCCAAGTAGGATTGACAGTGAACTTTGAAGTGCGTTTGTTTTGAGTTTTTGCTTTCTTGCTTGCTTTCGTTCCATTGTTTGCTGAGAGATAGCCCCAGAAAATCTCCCAATGAAGTTGAGGTAGGTAGGTATCTCCATCCATAATGCCCCCATCGTTTGCATGATGCCCGATCAGGATGAGAGGTATAGAGCAATTAATCATCCGTCTTCTCCACATCTCACATCCCAGTTCCTAAATTTTCCATCTTCAATTCTTCACAAGATTGCAGCATTATAGCCTGCAGATCTGGTCGTCTCCTTCTCCACACCCTACTCCCCACCACACAGCAGCCCCTCTACATGATCGCACAGCATCCGCAGCAGCCTCGGTCCTTCTCGCCTTCGCTCACTTCCATCTTGCCTGACGGTCCCCCGCTTCCTGAACCACTTCCTCCGCCTGCTGTGTAGCCTGCCATCTCCTTGTTGTAGCGTCTGATCTCGCGGACGATATCGTAGAATGCGTTGTCGACGTTGATGCGGGATTTTGCTGATGTCTCGATGAATTTGCAGCCGAAGGAGCGCGCCAATGCTTCACCCTCTGTCCAGCACAAGCCCCATTAGCAAATCATCCGTATATACTTGTATAACTGGAATATATAATATTTGCATACCTTGCTTCGTAACTTGTCTCTCGTTTTCCAAATCACACTTGTTGCCCACCACGATGATTGGGAAATAATCCTTATCCTTGACTCTCAAAATTTGCTGCTGGAACGTCAAGATTTCCTCGAAACTCTGCCTGCTCGTGATGCTATACACCAGTAGGAAGCCTTCACCCGTTCGCATGTATTGCTCTCTCATCGCCGAGTATTCTTCCTGGCCCGCGGTATCAAGGACATCGAGCAGTGCAACCTCATCGTCAATCACGCATTGCTTGCGGTAGGAATCTGCATGAGTTAGCAGGGGGTTCAGGCCGCATCACCACCGCGAGGGTCCATTGATGCTTATGTGACGAGTGGGAGACCGACCTTCAATCGTAGGATCATATTCATCGACGAAATGGCTCTGTATCAACTGGATGGTCAAGCATGACTTCCCGACTCCACCACCGCCAACAACAACAAGCTTGTACTCTCTCAAAAACTGTCCCACCAATGAGATGATTAGCAATTGAGACGAGGTTTTTTTTTCGTTCCTGCAGCAGCAGCGCAGCACATCGTGCATCGCTGGCATGGCAGAGGAGGGAGCGCTTACCTTTGAGGCCATCTTTGTGGTCGAAAGATCGTGATAGGAAATTCTCACTTGCTCATGAATTGTCGAGACCTGCGGTCGTCGGCTCGTGATGCTGAAACGGAAACGATATAGGTACCGGGAACCTAGCTATTGTCTAGTGCGGTCTCGTTCGCTCTTTACGATAAATCTCCACTCCACGGTCAATGGGATAGAATCCGCAAGAGTGGAATGGACTGGACAGGACGACGGCGGCGAGGAGAAGCTATAGGACGGCGGCCGAAGTCGACAAACGCAGAGCACGGTGAAGTCGAGTGGGCAGATCAATTGGGAGCGGCGCAATGGATCAGTGAATGAAGGTCGGGGTCGATGTCAAGGACGAGCCGCGGGCAGGTCGTGGTGAGGGTTTGCGGACGGTGTCGTGAGGAGTTGTGGGATGTGTGGTCGGACACTGGGAGAAAGGCTCGAGCGCCATCTTGTGTTCTGATTCTGAGTGCAGGGTGTGCCTTTGCTCCCCCCTGCGGCCGTTCGCCTGCCTGCCAAGAAGCGAGGTGTGCGGTGCGGTTGCTTCTCCAGTTTGGCGCGCCCTCCACAGCGAACTCGCAGCTCGCAGCTCGCATCTCGCACCTCGCAGGCCTCTCTGCACCTGTCTCCAAACGCCCACTAGGACTTCAATCCTGGGCGCACCTGGAGGGCAGACCCGCATCGCCCATTGGTAGCCAGCCTGAGGGTTGTTCCCCTTCCGTGCAGCCTTCTACACTCTTCTCATGGGACATTAGCCAGTCACGAGTGCCCATCCAAGCGCACGATGGCGAGGGAGGCTTGCTGATGAGAGACGCTCAGAGACGGGCGTGAAGGGGCCGCTTGTCATAGGGCCTGTATTGCAGCTGGGCGAAAAGGAGGGCATTCCAATCTCTCTCAGAGTCTCCATCTCCCGGTTTTCGAAGTTCATGGAGAGACCCTCCCGCGCCAGCCACGATGATTTTGGCTTTGAGACACACCAATCTACTACTGCACGCGTTAGGCACGGTTTCTCCCCACGAATCCTCTTTGGCGGCAAATTTAAATAGACTTTTCTCTGGATCAACAGCCAAACTTCCCTCGTGCATCCATGGTCCAATATCAAAAGGCCCTGGTGGCCTGCAAAAGCAACCTCGCAGCAGCCACACTCCTCGAACCCGTTACCCTTCCATGAAGGCGGCATCGAAGCTTTGGAATTTGGAACCTGCCGTCATCCCACGCCGCATATCTCTGGAAGCAAGCTCCCACAATCTCCAGATACCAGAGCAAAGCTGCTGTCACGACTCTCCGTCCGTTGCACTGAATCCGCGCTGCCGCGATCAACGATGGGGCCACCCTTGCCAGTGAGGTTTCACCCAGGTAGCCAGGCCACTCACCCAAGCTCCCGTAGCAAAAGGTTTCAGCCGACACAAGCTTTCCATTGAATATTTCTATCCGGCCGATCAGAAATCATATTTTTTGAGAAGACTGAGGATGAAATGCAAAAATGGATGTCTGCATCCGGAAGTAAGGTGTTGTTTCTCTTCGTGTTCTAGAAAACTGCAATTTCCGAGTCTTGATTTCCGGTAAGAGATCTGTTTGCCTGCGTGGCAAGAAGGACGCAGTGCTATCAATTTATGTTCGACATGGCAAAATATGGTCGCATTTTCAAAAGTGTCACCGAGATGCTTCTTGAATCTTCAGTCAGCATCTTGGGGCGGCTGGGCGCACGTCAAACCACGTGCTCTTGTACTCCTTTGAGAACCCACAACCTCTTTTGTATTTTCTATACTCTATACAGTGGACAAGGCCGAAGGTAGAAGAGAGAGGGCATCTCGAGCCAGAGAGAATCCAGGAACTAGACATGATGTTCGAGATCTCTCGGGGGACAAGAAAACTCGGCTAAGCCACACTCATTGACCAGCTGTTTTCGTCTCTTCAACATCGTCCTCTCCTTCTACTGTCACCCGACGACCATCAACGTTCTTCTCCACTTCGGCGACTAAGCTTTCTAGGAAATCTTGATCTCTGCGTCGTTATCAGCGTCTGCCTGGGCCACAAGGCGGTCCAACCTACCTTCCAACTAGAGTAACGGTATTTCTTTCCTTGCCCCACCTTGGATAACTGCCGACCTTCACTCCTTTAGGCTCCACCCGGGCCGCAAGTTCAGCCAAATACGGCGCAACCTCGCTCTCCGCCTGCGGGGTCGAAATCAGTATCCTATGAATGCCCTTTCCTTCAGGGTCGCTCAATCGTGGTGTCAAAATTGGCTTCATTCCGTCGAGCAATCTTTCAAATAACCTTGGCACACCAGGCAAGACATGGACATTACCATTTATACAAGCGACCGGTACCCACAAATCCTCATGCGGAAATATAACCTGCTTCTTTAAATCTCGAGTCTCATCTAGGGGAAGTTCGATCATTCGCATCTTGGCTGTTCGTGCTGGCGTATCTTCGTCCCATGAGAAATTTGGTTGTGAAGGATGTGGTTTTGACAGTTTCTTCATGCGTTCATAAGCTTCTTGGTGAACCTTGAGTTTGAGCCCAAAGGCTTTGGCTATCGATTGGTAGGTGATGTCGTCGTGCCTGGAGATGTCAGTCAAAGCCAATGTCTCCTCCGGGGATAGCATACGTTGGCCCAATGCCTCCACTTGTAACCACGAAATCGTAGTTGTTGCTCATGCGGCGGACTGCTTCAATAATTTCGTCCTCGTCGTCTGCAATGACCTCGATTCGTTTCAGGGGCTGCCCAACCATCAGTGTCAGCACCGAATTGCTCTCTTGCTAGATATACCATTCCCAATCCGAAGCAGAATTTGGCCATATATGCAGAATTCGTCTGCGTGTTCCATCAGCACTCCGTTATCGTCCCGCTTGGAGCTTGTTCGAACATACATCTACGGTCTGAATTAACCAAAAGTCAGCATTGTGCTTTGCGAACAAGCTCCCAACCATTAAGAAAGCTCACCTTCCCACCCAAAACTTCATCTCCAATAATCAGACATGCTGCCGTATGGATTGTCCTTGAGTTCCTCTCATCTGCGGTACTTGACGTCATGACTCCCCTGGCAGCACTGGAAATTGCTGCAGCAGACGTATGAGCGTGATTGGGAAGAGGACGAGCGAGATGGCGTGCCAATTGTGAGAATCTCGACAACATGAGCTCGATGTTTTCGTCCGGAAAAGAAAGCTGGTTGTCGCGTGGGAAAAACGATGTGGTACGAGAAGCCAAAGAATAGTGGGGTCGGATCTCGAAATCGAGGCGAAGTCACAACCTTGCATGGATGGAACGAGGGGAAAAGATCAGGGACGCGTGGTTGTCGAATGTCACTCGGTGTTGATAACATAATCCAAATAATATATAAGGAATGTCCCTCTCTCCAATTCTTCCCGAGTACCTGCATCTCGTTCCATCTATCCTACGACGCCTCAAGCCAGAGTTGATGGCTCTCCGCCTGCAGAAAGCCTCCAACATTCCAGAATCACAAGCTGGACAAAAGAACGCTTGAAAGTATCACGTTATCGCTATCCCGAGATCCGCCCCGACGTGACTTGTCTCTTCTCATCAGTCATGATTATTCAAGTTCGCACTCGCACGAATTTCGCCGTTTTGGCTTCTCCAGCCTTCCATCACGGGATGCACCCAACCTGGTCATCCGGTGCCGAAGAAGCCGGACTTTTGTGGCGGCTTCAACCTCTCTGCTTAAGCACAGCAGCGGACCAAACAGGAAATCTTCACCACTTCGTCAGCGCTTGTTAAGAGGATCATGCCTAGAGACCCCTAATGTCCGAGATGACTAAGATCCTCCACCACTAATGCATGACGTTGGAACTAATACTGCCATAAAGTTACTGCCACAGCAGCGGTAAATCAATCCTCGGACTCTTTGGAAATCCTTGGCTCTTTGACCTCTTTCTTTCTTCTTTACTTGTATACTTTACGCAGTCATGTCGTCCGATGGCCCCGCACACCGAGTCCAATCTGCTGTGGTTGAGTATGGATATCCTCAGGGCCATCTCGGACATCTCTCCTCGGACGAAGAAGCAGCGTTCAAGAACTTCAAGATAGTCTGCGAGGAAAAGGGATACTACAAACCTGGGACTGGGGACGAGCCTGGTACACACGATGATGCTACATTACTGTACGAATTCCCCTTTGCCTTGAAATGCCCGTCTGACATGATATACAGACGCTTTCTCCGGGCCCGCCGGTTCATTGTACCAGACGCCCTCAAGCAGTTCACAGACACAGAGGATTGGCGCAAGGCAAACCAATTAGACCAGCTATATGAGACCATAGACATAGAACACTACGAAGAGACACGTCACTTGGTACCTTCACTCCCCTCCTTCCAAATTGCCCCTCTAACCTCCCCTTAGTACCCACAGTGGACCGGCCGTCGCGATCGCCGCGGAATCCCCGTCTACGTTTACGAAGTCAAGCACCTAAACAGCAAAACCATGGCCGCGTACGAGAAATCCGCCAAAGAGACCAACTCAAAAGCGCAAACGGACGGCAAGACCTCCCCCAAACTCCTCCGCCTCTTCGCACTCTACGAGAACTTAATAAGATTCGTGATGCCGCTGTGCACAGCGTTGCTGGATAGAGATCATCCCCGCACGCCGATTACGCAGAGCAATAATATTGTGGATATTAGTGGGGTGGGATTGAAGCAGTTTTGGAATCTGAGGACGCACATGCAGGATGCTAGCACCCTGGCTACGGCTCACTACCCGGAAACTCTTGATCGAATCTTTGTTAGTCCCCCGATTCTCCCTTCCATTCCCAACCCGCTTAAACCTCCAATCTCCATTTTCGATTCTAATGTAAAAATTTCCAGATAATCGGCGCCCCCGCATTCTTCCCCACAGTCTGGGGCTGGATAAAACGCTGGTTCGACCCCATCACCACCTCCAAAATCTTCATCCTGTCACACCACGACCTGCTCCCCACGCTCGAATCCTTCATCGAACCCGCCAACATACCCAAAAAGTACGGCGGGCAGCTAGACTACACGTTCGGCGATAAGCCGGTCGTCGACCCGGCGATGGAGCATTTCATCAAGTGGGAAGGCGACAGGAAGGAGTTTCCGCGGGGCCCGATGTATTGGGTTAATTTTGATGAGGAAGGGGAGAAGGGGAAAGCGGGGAAGACAGGCTTCGATATGGAGGCGCTGGCCGTTGGTGCGGAGGGCGGGAAGGAGAGAAGGGAGAAGATCTGTAGGATTGAGACGAAGTTTCCGGAGATGGCGGTAGAGATTAATGGCCATGCGGGGGTGGTGAAGAAGGAGCAGTTGACGGCGCCGACGGAGACGGATTTGCCTTCCACGCTTTTGCAGGTACCTGGACAGCAACAGTTGAAAGAGCAAGGGAAGGCAGAAGGGGAGGAAACAGTAGCGATCCAAGAAGGAACACTCATTCCCGCCTCGAGACCCGAACCCATTAGCTTCGTCACCGCTAGCGAGGGCATCGATACTTTGAACGAGAAGACGGGGAATCTTGCCCTCAACGGTGAGGCTAAGGGCCCAAAAGAAAATGGGAATATTAACGGACCCCATCAAACAGCCATGGCGAACTTGCTGGACCCGAGTGTTCCTGTCAATGGGAAGACACTGGAGACGGAAAATGCGCACCAACACCACGCTGCAGGCGATGTGACTGATCCTGCGGTCGGAGGCGGTGTCGAGGAGGCGGATAAAGCTCATTCGAGCGAAAATCATGATGGGGGTGTAGGGTTGGTCGAGAAGGTTAAAGAGAAGATTGGCGTATCTGCATGATACCATCTTCCTTAATTTGAATTTTTCCGTTAGGAAATCCATGGATTATTGAATGGAGGGCGATCTGGATAGAAAGGGCCTGGCTATGCGCGGTGAGAGATGAGAGATCTAGATTTGATACCTGGAGTTATACGACTTTTGAATTCATTGACTGATGGTTTGGGGAGGCTTTTAGGCATCTGAAGAGTGCAGGAGAGGGGTTGTATAAGTACTGATGCGGGATGAGTAGGTAGATACAGAGGAACATGGGTTAACAACACCTATCACCAATCTAGCGTTCACCTTTGACATATGTGATGAACGTCAGGATCATTACTGCCTCAATGTACCAAAGTTTATTGGAACATCGAGTCGATATGCAACAAAAATCAACTTGTCAGATTCACTTCCCAACGAGGACGTTCTCAACATCCCAGAAAGAGTTGGAACATTGAAGTGTCGTGCAACACATACCCTCAGCTTCAAATTCACTGCTCGGCCACGGATCAGTTGAAAGTGACTGCTTTTACCCTCGGACGAAAACTCCACACTACTGATCTTGACAACTTAAGATGACTTCGGACAATAATGTGAGATGCAACAAGACTCAAGGGGAAGGCGGGTGGGGGAGGGGGCAATGTTGATGAGAAGAATGCCAATGTACCAGAAGTTCTCGTACCGTGAGTGCGATGTGCAATAAAAACATTTACTCGAGCGATTCACTTGAGTTTAGACAGATTCGATATCCTGATTGTACCAGAAGAAGTTGGGACATTGAGTCGATCTGCAACAAAATAGGAATCGTGCAATGATGAACTATTCACTTCACAAACTTTCACGACTCAGACTTGTGATATACAATGCAAATTGGATAGTTCTGAACTGGACACTTACTAGAATTGCACTATATTGCACTTTCATATTTCTCCTCAGTAGAGTTCCCATCCTAACGCCAACCGGTGCCTGCCCGAATCCATTCAATCCCCTTGCCCTTTCATAAACTCATCACACACTTCCAGCCCTAAATAAAGTCATTCGATCCATATCCACCAAACGGATTCGGCGGTCTTCCTCCAGCGCCTCGTGGCGGTCCATCACCAGGTCCCACGGGATCATATCTCGCTCCAGGTGGAGCTCTTGGATCCCCCCCTTGTCCTTGTCCCATTCCACCAAATAACGGGTCGTCGAAGGTTGGGTGCATTCCTCCCATTCCGCCAGGTCTCGGAAATCCACCGCCTACGAAGCTTCCTCGGAGAGGATCATTTGGTCCGAGGCCTGGAGGATTCAGGTCATCGTGTCCGATGTTGAACGGTGTTCTTGCACTGGGGTGGAGGGGAGCCATGCCCCGTAATGGACGGTTCATGTCGAGTTCGTCGTCGAATCCTGGAGGTGGGAAGTCTCCTTGTGGAACAATTGGTCTGCGAGGATCTACGGCGAGGGGGTCTTGGAACGGATACGGACGTGCTGGTTCTGGCAGTCTGTTGCCCCCGCGAAGGGGGTCTTCTCGTGGGTTGCGTCGAGCGTGTGCTTCGTCCCGCTCGTCCCGAGCATCTTGTGCGGCTGACTCTTCATATCCCTCTTTACTAAGTCCTGGTATTAACTTTTGGATGATGGTAACTTTGAATTCGGATGCAAGGTCTTGGATTCGTGAAGGCGAGATAAACACCTCCTTCAGCTTTGCTTCCAAGTTTGACCTGTCTTCCTCACCATCTGCTGTAAGGGTGATCCTGAGTGGGAGTGCTGCTGAAGAAATATAGTCCTTCGCAGTAACTTCAAATCGAAAGATTCTCTCATCGCCAACACCAAGACCTCTGATTTCTGCTTTGCCCCCCAGCCTATCAATCTTGATAATATATTGCATTGACGATTGTGAATGTGCGTAGAGGAATGAATGCGATCCGAAGGTGGGGTTCCATTTTGACGACAATCGTGGGGCTATTTCCGCGACTTCTGCTTCTGGGGAGATGTTAGTGGGAGAAATATGGATGAAGGTAGATATATCTCACCTGTCTTCTGATGCTCGCCGTATCCTATCAATCGAAATCCAACGGCTGTCATGCAAGCATGTGTGAAAAGGGCAATAGCTTCGTATGAGCTGCTGAAGTCTGAATTTGTGTCGTCTTTGACATGTGTGGGAAGGGCATCTGCCATGTGCTTGAGAATGCTCTCGGTACTAAGAGGATTGTTCGCCATTGTGAGAGTAGATTTGAGGTGTCGAGGCAGTCGAGGAGGACGTCCGGAGGCCTGGCCCGGTTTAGGTTTGTACCCACTTTGTGCGGCTTGTAGTTGATTGAGAACTCGCAGTAGAGATCTTGTTTCCCGAATGTCTTGGATGATCTTCAAGATGGGATTGATTATTGTAGTCGCTCTGACGTGGGTGAGGTTGTTGCGTGGTTGTCGAAAGATGGCTTGATGCGGGGTGATTTTATGATGGCGAACGCAAAGCTGCCTAGAGCTGGAGCTGGGGCCAGAGCTGGAGCTGAAGCCTAAGCCACACTTTAGTGACGTCAAAGCGGCTCCACAGGCGGAAGCCATGCCCGCGTTTCAGCTCGCGACCCTTGTAATAGCTTCGGCTTCCCCTTTCAACTTCTCCTTTTTCAAATTTCACAAGAACTTCAGGAACCTTCATGAGAATGTGATAAACAAATGTCCACTGAAAGTTCTGGAACATTCTTCTTCTGGAGAGTTCTTCAATCTTCGCCCGACCATTCCAGCCTTGATTGGCCAACTCGAAACCCTCCAACCGCCATGAACCCTCAGCATCCCTTCCAACATCCAGCGGCGGCCGGGCTACCAGAGATTGGCCCAAAGGACCCCTTTGTGAAGGTCGTAAAAGCACTGTTACCGCAAGGAAATCCTCAATTGCTTTTCATGGCTCAATCGCTGACCAGGACGCAGCTACTTTGTTCACGAGATCTCGATGCCCTCGACATTCGACCAACTTCGAACAGCTGCTGCAGGACACAAGATACGGGCTTTGGTAGATCATCTGGTTCTAAGCGTTACTAACCCAGGCTTAATCAATGCTCTGCTGTCGGTAACACCTCCTGTTCTCCTTGCAATCACTTATAAGTCGTGGTAGAACGTTGAAATGGCACTTCTCTACTATCGAAGCCGGCGGAATCAACGAGACTCGAGCCAACGCATGCGAGATGCTGCAATGTTTTGCTTATACGAATTGCCCCAACAAAGCGTTGAGGTGGTGAGAGACGGATGCCATCCTGAGATCACAGAACAATCGACCCTGCTTCCACAATTTCGAGACACGCCGATCGCTGGACCGCCTGCAAACAGGCGATTCGAGCTCCTAAGGTCTATTTTGAACATCCGAGGAACCTCGGGAACTGAATCTGGCGTCGAAGAAGACGATCAAGAACACTCGCTATCATCGTTTGCTGGCTTGACCGGGCTCGAGATTGCTGCTGTGGCCAACTGCAAGAAATTTTTGAGCCAGAAGATTGTTCAGAAGGTAGTAGATGGAATATGGAAAGGGGACATCATATTTTGGGAGAGTCTTGTTTCGACCACCAAGAAGAGACCCCAATTCTACAACAAGAAGACTGCCGATATTTTCACGCGACTGAGGGTTCCCCGATACATCAAAACCTTCGAGGTTTTGTTCGTTGCAACTTTCCTTTTCTGGCTCTGCTGCGTTCTCGTCGAGAGGAATTCGTAAGTAGGATGCTCCTCCACAAGGGACGTTCTAATGTGAACACTAGGTCCCACATCACAGTTTTTGAGTTTCTCCTTTACATCTGGTTTGCAGCATTCTCCTACAACGAGCTCAGCGAGTTCTTAGACACCAAGTCCATTTTCTACGCCGTCGACATTTGGAATGCTTGTGATATTATCATCATCGTACTTGGCTTTGCATTTTTAATGGCCAGGGGTCTTGGGATATACCAAGGCAATCCCCAGACCATCGACGCAGCCTTTGATATTCTGTCCTTGGAAGCCCTTTTTATGGTGCCAAGGTTATTTTCTATCATGTGTTTGCTCCCATACTTTGGTACTCTGCTTCCATGTTTGGAAGCAATGGTGAAAGACTTCGTCAAATTCATGATGCTAGTGGTGATACTCTACCTGGGCTTTCTGGCAACCTTCACCCTTCTGTCTCGCGGTGCTTTCAGTGTCCCTAAGATGAGTTGGTTTCTTGTTAGGGTGTTCTTTGGAGGAAGCTCCCTAGGATTTGAGATTATGCGTGATATCAACCCCAAACTCGGTCCTCCATTGATGGTCATCTTCGTCTGCATGACCAATGTCCTTCTCATCACTTCTTTGATCTGTATTCAGCGTGATGCATTTGCCAGGGTTATTGCACATGCGAGAGAGGAGTACCTGTTCGTATATTCAGTCTACGTTCTCGAGGCTTCCACCAGTAAGAGACTCACGCATTTCTACCCTCCTCTGGTAAGTCTTAATCCCTTGAATAACAAGCGCTTCTAAACTCAAGCAGAGCCTAATCCCTTTGATATTTATCCGACCTCTCAGGCTTTTCGTTGCCTCAGAGAAGCTTCGAAACGCCCGCATCTTTGTACTCAAAGTCACACATCTCCCTATTATCAGTGCCATCTGGCTCTTCGAGCTGGCGCACGACCAGGTCAGAGAGACCAATACCTTTTCAACCATCCAGCCTACCCACCATACTGTCGAGCCCTCAGCGATGCCGAAGACTCAACCAACGCATTCCAGCCACGGACCATCGAGCTCTTCACGGCACCCACCTGGCGGTCCCAGGGCAGCTGAAGTGTTCACTCCTAGCGCACATGTTAACAATGGCAAGGCCAGAAAGGAGGAGGCTGCGGATTCGACTATTGTGACTAACACTGATTTGGAAGGCCAGGTGAAGGAACTGAGCGGTCAGGTAAAGGACCTGAGTGCCAAGATTGCCGAGCTGGCAGCATTAATTATGGCCCAACAGCGGACTATTACCCCGCCAGAAGAGGAAGAAGATGAAGCAGCATAAGCCACATTTTCACGACTAAAGATTATACGCCTCTATATTTCTTTGAGCCAGGGACAGCACGACACCATGCATCTCTGATGGGCCGGCTATGATGGCTCCACCATTACCCAACGAAGCAATTCTTGACCTCTCACCTTGACTTCTCGCGAGTGACACCCTCTATTCATCCATCCACCAATGACCACCTATCAGGAAATGCCTCCGGCGGACGAATATTTCTGCATGCTGAAATCAGATTCGGATATCCTTGTACTAACATATGGGCTGCCGTAATCCTCTGCAAGAACGAAGCCCTGCATTATCACAACCTCAACTCGGCTGCTGCCCACTATCTCGACCATTGAACCACATCTCAACCTCGCCGCTGATCTCACTCAATCCATCTCTTCCCCAGAAACGCACTCCGTCTTTCTAGGAAAACTTAGATCATATGATCGTTCGGCCATGACTTTCCGCCCCTTCGAGATGAAACTGAGAAATGCTGATTTGCACGTGGAACATAATTTTGAAATCTTGGGGTTTTAAGAAAGTTGGCAGTGGAAATACGGAAGTTGGTTTTTGAGGACCCCTTTGAGGGGACCGACTAGGGTTACCTGCAGGCCGGAGCTCAGGGTCCACCTCTTGCGGTAAGGTTACCCCTCGTTAGCTTGCAGCAGTAAAGTGTTTGTTGGTTTGGCGCTACGAAGTCTGCGAATCCGTCCACGATGCGGTGAGTTTCCTCCGCTGTATCGTAAGAAGGCAATTGTTGCCACATGGTGACGGGAAGAATCCGTAAGCCTTGATCCTGACTCGACAGTGTTGAAGGACTTTTAATGTTACATGATTCAACTCGTCAACCGCACGCCGCGAATACGTACATAAAAGGACAAGTACCCAGCCAGCCACCTCGTCAGTCAGAAATGTCCAGATACCTCGCCGCTCAACCTCAATAACCAAACCAACAAGCAAGCAAAATGGGCGAGCACTATCCTCGACCCCACACCCTCCCCTTCACAACCCTCGACGTCTTCACCAACACATCCTACTCTGGCAATCCTCTCGCCCTCATCCGTATCCGGACCGCCCTCTCACCCCACCTATCACAAACTCAAAAGCAACTCATAGCCCGTGAGTTCAACCTCTCGGAAACAATATTCCTGCACCAACAAAAAGTTCCCTCCATCCCCGAGTGGAAAGTCGACATCTTCACCACCGACGCCGAGCTCCCATTCGCCGGGCACCCAACAATCGGCGCCGCAGCTTACGTTCTCTGGCTCTCCGGCGAGAGAAGATGGGATGCTGGAACTCTTGTCACGAGAGCAGGACGGATTGCTATCTCGCTGAATGGTGATGGAGACGGCGTTAAGGCGGAGATTCCGCATAATGTGCATATTCATAGACATACGCTTGGTGATCTTTCCCAGCCGATTTCGGGGTTGAGCAGCGAGGAGGAGTTGAGGGATGCGGAGCTCAACGCTCCTATTGTCTCTATTGTAAAAGGAATGACGTTCCTCCTGGTTGAGCTGGCAAGCTTAGAGGCGTTGGGAAGGGTCAAGTTACAGGGACAGAGTATTGATTTCCATGGTGTGTTGGATACGGAGGAGGGGTGGGGCGAGAGTTTCGTGGCAAAGTATTACTTTGTTGTTTTGGATAAAGAGGTGAGAGGGGAGGAGGTTGTAAAGGTCAGGACGAGGATGCTAGAGGTGGGTATGGAGGATCCAGCGACGGGCAGTGCGGCCAGTGCGTTGAGTAGCTGGCTGGCGTTAAGGGAGGGGAGGAGTAGGAGTTTCGAGGTCACGCAGGGAGTGGAGATGGGGAGGAGAAGCGGGATTGGGGTTCATGTTGGCTTGGATGGGGCGGGGAAGAGGGTGGCGAGTGTGAGGCTGAGTGGGTGTGCGGTTGTGGTTATGGAGGGGAGTCTAAGGATTTGAGCTTAAGGAACATGAAGAGGAGCAGATGGGAGTCTTGGGAATGGAGTTTCTATTCGAAACGTTTGAAGTAATGGTTGGTCTCCCTTCGGCGGCGCGTTCGCTTAGCTAGTATTGGATTGACGTTGAGTATGATGCAGCCGGAGAGAATAATGCTGGTGTGGAGGGAGGTGGAATGAAGGAAGGCATTGAGTTGATGGGGTCAAGTTGAATTTCTGGGGACTTGTCTCTAAAAATACCGAGCTCGATTCCTCCCACTGCACAAACTTTTGTGGTTTACTCGGTGCTTCTGAAGTCCAAATGTTGGCTGGAAGCCGATGTACTCGGAGATGATTTAGCGGTGGTTGAGTGACACTTTATAGGGGCTAGGAAAGTCATTGGAGAAGTGGCTGAAGCTGTTGATGCCACTCACTGAGGGCCAAAATTCGACGAGGCTTTTGTTTTGTTTTCAATTTGGCCGCTTCAAATAGAAGCTCAGAACATTCCTGTTCCTTCCCCTGTGGGGTCTTTTGATAAGTTTCGCGCAATGGAGGGACCGGGTTCACCTTTGAACCGCAACGAGTTTGCTGTTCACTCAGAGCTGGTGAGCCACTCTCGACGCGAATCTCAAGCTCTTCTTCATCCCTCCTCCTCCACCTTCCTTCCGTCCTCAACCCATCAGGACGTCTTGTACCAACAACAACTGCTACTTCCCCCAACTCCACTGGGCCATAGTACCAGCTTTCGATTGAAAGTCCAGTCCAGTTGTCAAGTCCGCGAACCTCGACCGCGGTCGACTAGAACCTTGGAAGATCTCCATCACTTTAACAAGTTGGATATCGACCATTGACCTCAGCTTCGAACTCGACGTTGACACCACCTGAGAGTCTCGATGTCAGTCATCCCATAGTCTCTCGACCTACTCCACACCCAAACCGATCTTCTGCACTCCTCTGAGAGAATGAATCTTACCCCCCAGTTAGAGGTCAGAGGTCGTGAGCCCGAAGAGTGGACTCAGAATGCATACCAAAACCCTCACTGCAAAGGAGAGTCTGTTCATCGGTCTCAACTCAACCCGTTGAAAGAGAAAATTCTTCGACTGCGCGTGAAGAATCCAGATGGGACGCAAATTGAGATCAATGAGCCTCAAGGACGGTTGAAGCTAGCTTTCACAGGCGGAACGGAAGATCCATCCCTAGAACTTCAACTTCAACAATTCGGTCCAATCCCTCACAGCGAACAATATCCGTCACATATCACTTTCAAGTTTGGCGCTTTCCCAGTATCGAAATCAGGCATTGTCTATCATGGTCGAAAGGTTCACGGGTTCTGGCCTGCCGAGAGACTGGAATGGTCTGAGTTCCCGATCGTTGATGAGAATCAGAGAGGTCCGACAAGTTTTACGGAAGCTCTATACGATCTCTGTTGGGAACCATTCGTGAGAGACGATGTGGCATACGTCAAATTGTCGTGGAAATCCAGAAGCATGATTACATTCGGATTAAGCCTTGCATGTCAAGCTAGTCCAGAATATTTTGTCATTGCGCGGACGTTCTGCAGCATTGCTGACCCTTATAAGCGGCAACCTGACAAAGGCCAGACGTTTACCATCGAAATGAAGGATGCCCCGGACATCCAATACCGATATCGATACCTGCTCGCATGCCAGGCGAACTTGCAGGCATATTGGAGATATCGACTCATTCCGCGTGACGAGCAAGGAAGCGTACCTCCGAATCTCTGCGATATCTTGCCACTCTACTCTCGAGAAATCCGGGAGCTCGAATCAGCAGACCCGAGAATTAAGGCAACCTTTGACAGCTCGAAACTATTCCCAGATGACACCGTCGCGCTAACTTGCGTCTACGCATTCTGTTTAGTTGCTTAAGCAGAGTATTATCTGAAAGGAGCACTACTTTATGAAGAACATGCACTTTCTTTGCTTCGTGGACGAGATTTTAGCATCGAATGGAACGTCAAATTCGAAAAGCTGGACGGGGGCGGTGGTGCTCGCGAGTTTACGTTTTGGTTAGCAACTCTTACACCAGCAGGCACCCAGACCAAGATCACAAAGGTACTTCGGCAGAGGTTATTGCCAAGGCAAGGAAGTCCAGTGACGTTGAAGTGGAGGCACAGGGATGTGAAGCTCACGACTCATGCTAACACGGGGCTTTTCCTTGGAGCTGAGGTCGGAGTCAACAAACGAAGCAGCATGGCAGTGTTGGTATGGTCGAAGAGTTCATTCACCCAGCCCTCAGCATTCCTTGCCAAAAATTATGAAGCTTGTTTCGACTTCTCGTCACAGCCAAAGAATCTCGAATTTCTTCTGGACTCGGTGGACAAGCTCCTTTTCTTTGACAACCCGTCCCACAGCAAGAACCTGTTTGCCAGCTGGATCTTCGAGATACTCAGGCAAGAGACAATTACAAAGTTATGTATGACGCTCTCCCAACCCCAGCATATAATGCGCTGATTCCTCGGGTGGTTAAATCCATGGACAGCGGCCAGCAGGATGCCATGTCCGGGCTAGAAGAAAAGATGATTTCAATCATCGACGGTCCACAAGGCAGTGGAAAGACGATGCTCGCTGCAACATTTGGTGCTCTCTCTATTCAATCAGGAGAGAAAGTCACCTTCCTTGCAAGCACCAAAGCTGCTTTGAAGGAGTTGTTCTTGAAAGTTGTGGACATATCTTCGAACGAGCTACATCTTCCTCTTTCTATCATTCAGCGTTTCAGTTGCAACGAAACTCAAGATTGGTTGCCAGTTGACGTCAGGGTTCTTGCCAACATCATCTCGAAGACTCAATTGAATGATCAATACCAGCTCGACTTAATAGGGAAGTCCACCCGGCAAACGTCATATCCACTTAATAACAACGGTGGGGCTCCTACCGCCGTGTTTGGTTTATACGACGAACTCGAAAGCCTCGACTCCGAAAGCTTTGAAACAACAGTGTTGTTATGCGATGGAGCTGAGAGAGCGCATGATTACTCCATATTTGCTGCTTGTGGACTTTTTGCTTCCACTTTGAAGAGAGTCGCCTTATTCGGGAACTCGGATAAGCTGCCCATTGAAGCCGCCTCGAAACATTTGAATTATCTGCGGAATCAACTTCAACTGACAACATTCTCTCGCCTCATTTACACTGGCGTCAAGCCAATTCGTCTAAACAGACAATATCACATGGATCCAGATCTCTCGTCGTTGCCCATGAGCCATATGTACTGGGACAGAGCTAGAGAGAAATCGAGATTGAGTGTTCTTGATGGTGTTTCGACAGGCGACTTTCCAGCTCGAGTGTTCATGCAACACTGGGCAGCTAAATATCTTCGGAAGGATATCAAAAACGCGAAGACTTCAGTCTTCGCAGATGTGGTGGACGGCATATGTCTCCAATATTCGACCGGTCATGCAAAAGTCAATCATCAGAACATGGTCGCGATCCTGCACATACTTCGTTCAATGAAAGAAGTCGACCTCCAGCAAGAAAAAATTATTGTTATCACATTCTTCCCCGAGGGTGCCGTAGCAATGCGAAAATTCCTCAAGTCGCAAAAGATTGCAAGTGTTCGCGTCGAGCATGTAGATTCAGATAAGATCAAGATCAAGGAGAACCTGATTTCTATCATCGACTGTCCGATGACTGGCAGTCCTGGAGCTGGATCGCGGACACGGCATGAGAGAGGCTACCCAAGGTCACCTGTCACTGGCGAACGTCCTCGAATGCTCTTCCGAGTCCAAAGAATGGTGTCTGCGCTCTGTGTTTCTCGAGGACTGCGGGTCTTCGTCGGAAGCACGTCACTTTTGGATTCAAGATCTGGCTATGATTGGAAGAAGAGCGGGGGCTATGCCCTGATCAAGGACTTGATGGAATCACATACCAGAGATGAGCAAGTTAAGCGAATCGAAATTGGAGAAGACCTCTTGCAGTATGAGGAATTCCTTCGTCCTGGAGATTACGTGTTCGCCTCTGGCACCTCAAGGAGTTCTGTGGAAATGTACCGAAACCTTGAGCGCATTCAAGGGCAGCCGACAGAAACTCCACCTGCCACTGAAGCTGAAGGATTGATGAGCATGACCTGGAGAAGTTGGACAGTCGCTACTGCTTCTGCTGCTACTGGAATGGGTGCAAATGGCACGAATTGGAGAAGAGGTGAAATGCTCAACAGTGTCGAGAACAATGTGCGTGGAGATGCAGAGAGGGGATGGATAGGGGCACAAAATTTTGGGAATTCTCCGGTTACTGGTTTGACCTCGAGACAAAATATTGGATATGAGACAAGAGTTGAGCGGATTAGGAACACCAATTGGAGATCCGGCTTCTGAATTTCATACGAGGGTCTGTACTTAGGGCAATTCAAGGACTCTCTGTATTAACTATGTGCTAGGTGTCGCAATTGTGCGCAGGACAGTGATAATGGTCTGTTGAGAAGTGCTTAGTGGCTTCTCTTTCATTATCAACATAAATAATAGAAGGAACAATGGCCGAAGCTATAGTATGCATCTAGGAAATTTCAAGGGTCGTCCGAAGTTTCGGGCAGAGGTGCTCGCTAGAATTGGGAGCTTCTTCCTAACGAGTGGGCGGCGTTGTCTTACAGGGCTAGACTCTGCACCAGTGACGCCAAACGGCACAGTAACCAGGAACCAGAGCAGGGTTCCCATTCATGGCATGCCGATATTCCGTCGGCCACAAGCAGCCTAGCGAGCGCCCCTGAAGAGTGGCCAGACGTAGAGTTCTCCTGACCTAACCCACGACTCGTCATCACGAGGAGAGGAGGGGAGACCTCATCGCCTCAAGAGAACGATGCCGTGCGAATTCCACGAGCAGCACTGTGACAACTCTACAACACTCTGCATCTCGCAGTTCAAGTTGTGACTGAAGCGGAGCACTCGGTGATATGTTCGGGCCCATTGTCATCAAAGCTCCGCCATCGTCATCAGGCCGAGGATGTAGCTATGGGGGTTGCTGAGAGACTAACACAAGGCTCGGCCAAACGAACCAAAGACGAAGGTTTGGCCCAAGGTTCCACTAACTTTATGCATATTTCGTCCCGTTTCTCCATGGGCAGGCGTCTTCCCGCCCACGAGCCTCCACCCCTCTCCACACTTCTTCCCCGCTTTCCAACAGCATGGCTTTGTGCTACCGGGATGGACCAATGCTGGAGCTCTGTCTCCGCAAATCAATCGGCCCGTGGGCTGGTGACGGACAAACTTCACTGCGTGCTTCTCCTGCTCGAATGCCCCAGAGCAGTGAGTCGTGGTGTCATGCGGCAACATCAAAGTAATTCGAGAAATGAGATCGTGAATGCGAATTGTATATAAGGCCGAGAAGACCCTCGAGAATCCCCCCTTTCTGCTCGTCAGTTTCCTCGACCACTTTTCCAAGATGCATTTCTTTCGTTCAGTGGTAGGACTCGTTTCCATCCTGCTCTCGGAAACACTCGCTGCTCCTTCAGATCTCAGATCGAGAGACCTGAACTCGTTCATTGCTGCGGAGAGAGCAATCGCGCTTCAAGGTGCTTTGAATAATATTGGTCCCAATGGCTCAGCTGTACCTGGCGCAGGAGCTGGCTTCGTCGTAGCTTCCCCTTCGAAAGTCAACCCAGACTGTCAGTTGCCGCCCATTGCCAGATCTCGCGACCTTGAACTGATATGAAGCAGATTTCTTCACATGGACGAGAGATTCTGCTCTTACCCTGAAGATGCTCATCGACGAGTTCATCTTCGGAAATACTGCCTTGCTGCCAACTATCTGGGGCTATGTCCACGCTCAAGCAAAGTTGCAAACTGTCTCAAACCCATCCGGAACCTTCCTTCCAGCCGGTTTAGGGCTTGCGGAACCAAAATATCAGGTTGATGGCACGAGATTCAACGGCGCTTGGGGACGGCCTCAGCGAGATGGCCCAGCTCTCAGGGCTATTGCTCTGATGACTTTCAGTAATTGGTTGATTGACAATGGCCAAAAGAGCACCGCGAAGACCATTATCTGGCCTATTATCTCCAATGACTTGAGTAAGCAAAATCTTCATTTGACCAGAATCGTTGGAAGAATGATGATGCTAATTCTCGGTTATAGGCTACGTCGGGCAGTACTGGAACCAAACTGGCTTTGATCTCTGGGAAGAGACTCTGGGGTCCAGCTTTTTCACTGTTCAAAACCAACACCGGTCACTGGTCCAAGGCGCTCAACTTGCGAAAGACCTCGGCGTGACCTGCACCGGCTGTGATCAGGCCCCAGAGCTTCTCTGCTTCCTTCAAAGTTTCTGGAACGGCGAATACATTGTCTCCAACATCAATATTAACAACGGCCGAACTGGTCTTGACGGAAACTCGATTTTGGGTTCTATTTCCGTTTTCGATATCGATGCATACTGCAATAGCCCAACTATTCAGCCTTGCAACAGCCAGGCTCTTGCAAACTTCAAGGTCTTGATGGACACTTTCAGAACGACGTATACGATCAACAATGGTATTCCAGAGGGCCAAGGAATTGCTGTTGGCCGATATGGTGAAGATGTGTACCAGGGTGGTAATCCTTGGTGAGTACAGCTTGTCCCAATGTCCTGATCATGAACTAAATTCAAAGGTACCTCATCACCAACGCCGCAGCAGAATTCCTCTACGATGCTGTCGCCCAATGGAAAGCCCGCCACAACCTCATCGTAGACGAGACCTCCCTCGCCTTCTTCAAAGACCTCTACCCCACCGTCACAGTCCGCCAATACAATAGCGGCAACGCCAACTCTCCCTTCGCGCAGATCATGAACGCCGTAACCGCCTATGCGGACTCCTTTGTTGCCGTAGCCGAGAAGTACATTCCCGCTGATGGGCATCTCGCTGAGCAGTTCAACCGCGACACCGGCGTTCTCCTCTCAGCGGTCGATCTCACCTGGTCCTACGCTGCTTTCGTAACCATGTCTCAACGTCGTGCTGGCCAATACCCCGCATCCTGGGGAACTCGCAACGCCACAGCGCCACCCGCAACATGTGCAGCAACCTCGACGCAAGGCGTCTACGCCCCCGCACTGGCTGCTGGTGCCCCCCAACGTCACTTCATCTTGCCAGATCAACGTGGTATTCAACGTGAATGCGTCGACCTACTTTGGGGAGAACATCTACGTGATCGGCAACACCGACGATCTCGGCGCCTGGGATATTGCCAACTCGTTACCGCTTGGCGCGGGCGGATATACTTCCGAGCGGCCGCTGTGGAGCGCCAGCGCGTATCTGAATGCGGGCGAGAGTGTGAGTTATAAGTATGTGAGACAGGAGAACTGCGATCAACCTTATATTTATGAGACGCTGAATCGGACGCTCACAGTGCCTGCTTGTGGGAGTGCGAGTATTACGGAGGAGGATGCGTGGGTTGGGCCGGTGGGGACGAGTGGGAATTGCTAGAAGAAAAAAAGAGGAGGAGCGTACATAGATGAGACGGTGACGAGGTATGAGAATAGTAATTTAATGTTTCTTGGGTGTTCGTTGTGTTCTGCGTTAGTCAAGGGGAAGTGAAGGTGTGCTGTAACCTCGTAACCCCCTTTTTTCAATTTCCATGCGCTCTCAAATTATGATAATATCTTCAAAGGCAACACCTCTTCTCTTTAGAGCCTTTGAAGTCATTCGTGGATCGAAGTATGAAAACTTGTTGGTAGAACGATTATGGAAATAGAGTTCCCTCATAGTACCGTCGGTTCCGAACTCCTCGTCGTAGTACCGCCTCCTTACCTCACTCCAATATTTCTTGTTCCAATCTTCTGGTAATGGGCCGAGTCGTGGATCATTTTGAGTTGTCAATTCACCGTTTTTAAAAATGATCTGATGATTACCTGCAACCCTTTCCCACCGATAGCTCCAAAGATCCTCCCCAGCTACTGCGGAGAGCGCACCCAACAGCGCTTCCGAGTTCATTAAGCCATGCACGTAGCATTCGCCTTTCAGTTGGTAATGGTTGGGTTGACTCTCGATGCTGGATAGAATGATAGCTGTGTTAACACCAGGAGTCACAAAGATCTGGTCCCCAATCTTTCCCCAGAAAGGACACAGTCCAATCAAGCCGTCTGTGGTAGAGAAGATTGCACGACCTCTGGCGTGAACGAAAGCACTTTGAGTTTTATCCAACGTATCTGTAGAATAATCCCCACCTTGAATAATATTCCGGAGTTCTTGCAGTGGCAGATGCGAAGGAAGTTCATGATTCTCAAGGTATCTACCACCGGCTAGCGAACAGACATACGCATCGAACATATCACCACCCAGAGGGTAGACACTATCGAGCAGATTTGAGTGCGCATGAGCGCGAAACGTTTCGAGAGCACTGCGACCAAAAGAGGGTTTCGGGGGGATGTCGAACCAAATCGCGGTAACGGTACCAATTGCTTTCGCTGGCAATCGTAGACTTTCATCTGCTCTCTCGTACAAAATCTCATGTTTAGACCGTCCAGATGCACTACGCAGTCCAAATGACGATAGAGTTTGTGATAATTTGGGCACCCATGAAGGCTGCCCGCATTGGCGTTCTTCTAAGCTTCCCGCCATGTGCGCAGTGTGTTGTAATTTCATCATACATTTGAAAAGCTCTTTGTTCACCTCCTGCAGTGATTTCGTATAGTCGGGGACAATCTCAACTCGGTATTCGCTACGGATTAAACCCAGGATGGCGTATACTCGATCTCTCTCGTCGGTACAGAGGGAGCGTTTCAACCTTCTAGCAAGTAATAATGGCCGCGTCTTCCGCTGGATAGGTTTTAGGATATCTGCCGCGCGACCAAATGCCGTAAGTTTTATTTGCAGCGATACCAGCCTCCCCGGTTGATCCACATAGATGAAGCGAAGGACTTTGTACAGGTCTCGCATATCCAAAGTTCTCGTCCCTATGTATGCAATGGCGGCAGTAGCCAGGTGGTATTCTTGATATATCCAGAGTCGAGTGAACCATTGCCGTTGACACAGCTCTTTCAGAGCCTTGATTCTTGGGAGCAGAGCTTCTCGGTTGGCGAGAAGCTTGTCTGTTTCCGAGCCGGGTAGAACGGTGCGGGAAGCCGTGTCCTTCGTATTCCTGGCGGTCACAAGGTCCGCTGCCACAGCATGCACCAGATTGACAGCAACGTCACTACTGGCGCTTTCTGGGCCAAGCCACACGTCAACCTGCTTGGCATTTCTGAATATATCGGCCATCCTTCCAACTTGGACACTTCTCTCAATCAAATCTTGCTGGTTAATGCAAACGGCGTCAATCCAGAGAATGCGGGCCTCGTCTTCTCTCCGTAGATACCTCATAGCCTCCGCTAGATTCTGTGTAACTGGCAAACTATTAGAGTCAAGCCGTCCCCTGTCACGAATGGAGATGAAATATGGGTCGACTTCAGAGCCCCACGCGTAGGAGACAGCTTCATATGAGGGAGTGCGGCTACTTTCTCCGACTTGTAAGAGCTCAAACGTTCGTTCAAGATTCGTTGATCTCTCCTCGTAGTTTTTCTCTTCCTCAGGGTAGTTCGATTCCACGTGGAAGATTTCTATTTCTATGTCGTCCGAGAAGCCACCAGGCAGCAGAATGATGAGTCTGATTTCGGCCTTAGCGGCATTGAGTGGTGTGTATGTGTATCGATCCATGGGTGATTCAAATTCAGACGGACAATGGCGTCAACGAGGTGATGCGTGTGATTTGGGTGATTGTTGGAAGGTGTGAAGTTGGTTTTGAGGTGAGGCTGGGCTGGCTGTGTGTTGGCCCGTCCTAGCCAGGTTTGGCGGGTTGCATCTCGGTGAGCGATGTGGTGGCGCAGTGATGCAGCCTTACTCCAGCCGTTCCAGTGCCTTCTCTTTCGAAGTTCTAATTGGAGAAGTTTTGTTGGGACATTTTCGTCTTCGTTTGATCCAGTACGCTGGTCAAAGGGATAGAGAGAAGGCCTCCAAGCACATGATCTGAATGGCCCTGTCGCTTAATTCAGGGGTAAAATTCGGCGACTCCAGCACCACGACCTTTTGGATGCACTCATAAGCTTCTATAGATTCACTACAGTTGTTTTCAGACTGCCCTTCAAGATCCTACATCATCTGTGTGGTAAAAAATAGGTTTGCCGCTCGCATCGAAAAATTCAAAGTTGGCGATGATCCTTAGTAAGTAAGGTACCTTACATAGTAAATTTGTATGGGAGGTGCCTTCCTTCCATAAGCGAGCCTTGCTAAACTCCCTCCGTCCTCTTCTTATTATCGCATAATATTAATGATTCTAAATCTCTTATAAAATAGATAATTAGAGAGATTAGACATAAGAGAGTAAATACAAAAAAGTTATTTAGATATCTAGTAAGTTATATACTATAACTCCCTATTATAAGCAATATAGGCAATATATGGCCACGAAGCCAACCTTAACCGAATGGATAACTCACGTGACCCTCATTTCATGATTCGCTGCACTTTTCTAGAAAATGCAGTTCAACTCAAACTTTTGTTCTCACCGAAGCAGCAAGTGAGTTCAACGATTCTTGAAAAATCTTGTTGTTTCTGTGGCCAAAGAGTTGTAACTCTCAGAAAGTATAAAGTTTGTGTTTCAATGACCCTGTCCTTAAAAACCGAACACTAAAATCAACGTTTCATTAAGTAGTGTTAATCGATTTTGATGAGTTTCAAATCTTTCTCGAGTTTCTTATATTACTTAAATATCAGTTACAAGAAGTTTTGATTTGTGGTTGTGGCGTACTTATTAAGTAAAGTCGGCGACTTTTGGTTCCTCAGGATGGGGTGGATGCGCAAATTCTCAACTTATGGATTGACTTGTAAAAGATAGTTGAAGGTGAGATAAAGACCCTTTGTTAAAACTGAAATGGTACTCATAAAGAAACATTTCATTCTATAGGTGGATCCAACGCTTGATTCGGCTCCCCTTTGATATTCCATTGCTCGTTACTCGTTAATCGCCTACTACCCGGCCACCCCCTGAAACACTCTGGAAATAGGGTTCACAGTCAGCCCCTAGATTTTGCCCAAATATTCTGCGACGACAAATGCGAAAATCGACCTTACTGAAGTTCATCTCCATCGTTGGACCCGAATAACATTGGAATCTGCTCTCATTCTCCGCAGCCCACTCTCACGTGACTTTGTACTGCCACACTAAGTGCTGGTGGCTGACTCACAACTCCTAACCACCTTCCATTTCTGGCTGAACAAATCCACCTGCACCTAACAATTCCAAACCGCTCTCTGACTCACGCCGTGCCCAAATGCGCAGGAGCAGGGGCCCATCCTTGTTGCATGACCGATGATACAGATAAGACATATCCGCGTAAAATTCGCAGCCTTCGCTCTTTGACCTCAACACTGCTCGAACCTCAGCAGTCCTTTCCTACCGCCGAATCATTGAGGCAAATCGCCTCGCATTGATGGCACGATGCATTTGACACCTCAATTGGAGGATTTGGCCATAGTTCTGACCATCTTCATCTTTCTATTTACAATTAGCTCAATCCGGTCTCTCGCGAAGGGCAATTGGCGGGAGAAAAAGAATCCCAACCATGATCAGGCACTGTACGAAGACGAAGATGGAGCCGCAAGCACAAAAGCGGCGGAGGAATTTTCCAACAAGGTCCAATTTATTCTCATCTTTGCTTTTGTCTTGATAGGATTAGGGCTCGCCATTGCAGATGTTGTCGTCACCGTCATCGAAGCAAAATCCAGCACAGCCAGTTCAGATCCCCAACATATCGGGATATTCCTGCTCTTTCCAGCATGGGTGAGACCCGATTCGCCCAATAATACTGGTGACATTGCATGCTAATCGGCATCTTGTAGTTCCTTTTGATATTGCAACTCATCAACACCTCTCTCCAGCAAAGGCCGCTCACGCGATTCAAAAGTGCCATCTCGAGACTAACATCATGCGTCCTCCTTACTGGCCTCGTTTGGATATCTCTTCTCGGGGATGCAGCTCGTGTCACCACAATCTTGGCAAGCCTCCAAATGGCCTCAATTCTCGCCTTGATGGCCACAATATTTTCCATCAAGAGACGTCCAGTTGTCTTCCGCCCAGATGGGAAGCTTGTCGACCAACAATTCAACGTCAGTCTATGGTCCAGGTACAGCTTCCAGTGGTGCACCGACGTGCTTTCCGCTGCTGGGAAGGAGAAATTCGGAAACGAGGATGTACCAGCCGTGAATCATATCGTGAGATCTGAGAACGCAACGGAGAGATTCTACAATATTGTCATCAAAGACAGTATGCCGCTTTGGGTGCAGATTTTCTGGGCTTTCAGAAGCCAACTTATCCTTCAGTGGTTGTCGATACTTTTCTCCAACTTCTTTGATGTAGCTCCTGCTTTTGCGACGCTGCAATTGCTGAAGTACCTCGAGACAAGAACAGACCCGAATGCTATTGAAGCAGGGTCATGGAAATATGTTGTAAGTCCCAACTTCATAGAGCATTCTGCCATTTTTTGCGTCGGGTCCAGAGTTTCTAGCAGTTTAACAGCGTCTGGAACATTCTACTCCTGAAAATACTTGAATGAAGTATGCTGACTTTGATTTCTTGGGGAATAGGTTGGAATTGCGGTGGCTTCGATGAGTTCGCATATGGTCGACTCGAGGATCATGTGGTGGTCCATGGCTGGTAAGTTCAGCTTCCATAGGCTCCCGTGCATATACTGAAACCTTCTGGCATAGACATCGTCATTCCGCTTCGATCTATCCTTACTGGAGCCATGTACGCCAAATTGCTCAAAATCAACGACTCCAGCGAGCCCCCCGAAGAAGTAAGTTAATTTTGATCTTGGCAATTGTGCCCATTCCCACTGGGCACGGCTCCAATTGTCCCGACCCCCCGCGGAACAATCAGCCGGAGGCGCCTCTTGTTTTTCGAGTTTATCTGGTACATTCGGCTGCATAGAAAGTCTCAACGCTCTATGGGTTCGGGTGTTGGAGATATGGAGAATGCTTCAAATGACGTGGGGTTTTACCAATTTTCGATCCTGATTTCCTTTTTTTTTTTGCCAGAAACTGTAGAAAACGAAAGTTTCTTTCCTGATAATGGGAATCTGCCACAAGCTGACGGGAGGGTATCAGGATTTGTCAAAAACAGAGGATTCCAAGGCCGATGATGCAAAGACAACAGACCAAAAGAACCGATCGACATCCCAGCAAGATGTCGTTAACATGTTTTCAGTGGACTGCACAGCGATAGCTATGTTTGGAGCTCAAAACACTGAGTATGTCAACTCTGCAGGCAAGCTCATCGTCACTGTTGCCTTCTTGCTATTCCTTATCGGCTGGCAAAGTTTGTGTGCCGGGCTGGTGGGCATCGCGCTTCTTTTTCCGATCAACAAAGTTCTTGCAGGACGATATGGTAAGAAACAGAAAAAGTTGATGGAGATCAGAGATAAGAGGACAACGATCACTACGGAAGCGCTCCATGGAATCCGGCAGATCAAATTCTCTGCGACAGAGAATCAATGGACTGAAAAGCTCGAAGCAGTCAGAGAAGAGGAGCTCTCAACGCTCTGGAAAACGAGAGTCGATAACCTCTATATGTCTATTGCGTCCGAGTTCACCCCTATCGTGTTGACGGCACTGTCTTTGGCTACATACTCGTGGGTCCATGGAAATTTATTACCGTCAGTCGCATTTACAGCCATCAGTCTGTTCATCCAGCTTGAAGGCCTCGTATCCCATATTCCCTTCTTGATGGTCAAAGCAATAAACGCCAAAGTCAGTTGCGACAGAATTCAGAACTTTCTTCGCTTGCCGGAGAAGCCCGAGAATACGTCTCCAGGAGAGTCCATATCCTTCTACAGCGCATCCTTCAGTTTTCCCCACGATTCTACAGATCCAACCACAGACTCGTTCGCTCTTCGAGAACTGAACCTCCAATTCCCCAACAATGCTCTGAGTGTCATCTCGGGCCCAACGGGATCTGGGAAGTCGTTACTTCTTGCAGCTATTCTAGGTGAGGTGGACCTTCTGTCTGGTTATATCCAAGTCCCAAAGTCCACCGGCCAACCCTTCGATTCCAAAGCCACTGCTGCCAATTGGGTAATTCCGACTGCTATTGCCTTCATCTCGCAGATTCCCTGGATAGAGAATGCTACAATCAAAGACAACATCCTCTTTGGTCTCCCCTTTGATCCCATCAGATATGAGAAGGTGGTGGAAGCATGTGCTTTGTCACAAGACCTTGCTATTTTTGAAGACGGTGACGAAACCGAAGTAGGGGCCCAAGGAATCAGCCTGAGTGGTGGGCAGAAGTGGCGATTAACTTTGGCTCGCGCGTTTTACTCCAGAGCTGGAATTATAATTATGGACGACGTCCTTAGTGCTCTGGATGCCCATGTCGGCAAGCATATTTTCGACCTTGCAGTCATGGGTGAACTCGCTGAAGGGAGGACTCGAATCTTGGCGACTCACCATACATCACTTTGTTTACCACGAGCAAAGTACGCCGTGCGCCTTTCAGCTCGTGGAACACTTGAACATGCTGGCTTGATCGAAGAGCTTCGCCAGGAAGGGGTCTTGGACGAAATCCTCAAGGAGGATGACATCATTGAACCCAAGGAGGTGGAGGAGGATGAGGTGCTTAGGGCGGTGAAGACGAACGGTTCTACCGCTGCAATCCCGTCAGAAGATGCTGCTGTGGCCGTGAAGGCAGCACCTAAGAAGCTCATTGAGGAGGAGAAAAGAGAGACCGGCCGAGTCAAAACTTCAGTCTACGCCGGATATCTGCATGCTTCTGGAGGATGGCCATTCTGGTCTTTTCTAGTGCTTCTTTATGCGATCGCCGAGGGCTTTACACTGGGTCGCACTTATTGGGTCAGGATCTGGTCGAGTTCCTTCGGAGGGGCGGAGACCGAAGCATCCCTATCTTTTGCCGCCTCCCATTATCAAAATCACATCCAGCCACGATTTCCTGGTCAACAACTCATCGGTCCTGTTAACTTTACCAACCCCATCAACTCCACCCTAGCCTCCACGAGCTTCCCGATCGAGTCTCAAAACCGAAGTCTCTGGTTCTATCTCGGAATATATTGCTTGATATCGACGGTATCGGTTGTGTTCTCCATCTTTCGTGTCTACCTGGTCTATTCTGGCTCTCTTCGAGCTTCCCGCAGAATCTTCAAAGCTGTATTGCACAGCGTTCTTCGGGCTCCTCTCCGGTGGCTTGATACCGTACCCATGGGACGGGTACTAAATAGGTTCACTGGAGACTTCACAAGTATAGATTCATCCCTCGCTCAAAACTTCTACTACTTCGCTGGTGTAGTCGCAGATCTCGCGGGTATCTTGACAGCAGCTGCTTTTGTTTCCCCATATATAATCCTTTGCGCAGCAGTTCTACTAACTGTTTGTACCACATTCGCCAGGAGTTACATCGCCGCCGCGCGCAATACAAAACGGCTAGATTCCACAAACAAATCCCCGGTCATATCGCATTTTTCCGCATCTTTGAGCGGTCTATCAACAATCAGGGCATTTGCCAAGTCATCTGAATTCAGAAGCCGGATGTTTACACTCATCGATACATCTGCATCCTCTGCTTGGTACAACAGCCTGTTTCGAAGCTGGCTTATGATCCGCATCGGTATTACGGCCGGGCTTTTTGCTGCCATTGTTGCTACTTTCGTCATCACTAAGCCTGGCATCGATGCTAGTTTGGCTGGCTTTGCCCTTTCATTTGCCTTGAGTTTTGGCCATTTTGTCAGCTGGGCAATTAGCATTTCTACAATGATGGAGCTTGATATGAATGCCGCAGAACGTATTTTTGAGTACCGAGACTTAATAACCGAGGATCAAGGTGGGGAGGAAGTACGAGCTTCCTGGCCTGAGGAGGGTAAGGTTGTAGTCAAGGATTTGGAGCTTGGGTACGCTGAAGGCCTCCCTTCTATTTTGAAAGGGTTGAGTTTTACTGCCGAGAAGAATCAGAGGATTGGCGTTATTGGCAGGACGGGAGCAGGTAAGAATACTCCCTGGGATCCTTCCTATTTCAGAGTCTCAGCCTTCACTTGACGTATTCTTCGAAAGTAGCAACACAGTACTGACCTCTACCAGGAAAATCAACCTTATCCCTCGCCCTCTTCCGCTTCCTACAGCCCCGCAAAGGTAGCATTTCCATCGACGACGTCGACATTTCCACAATCAAGCTTCACAACTTACGCACTCGACTCGCAATTATTCCCCAAGACCCTGTCCTTTTCTCTGGAACCATCCGTTCAAACCTCGATCCCTTCAACGAGTTCAGCGACTACCAACTCCGCGAAGCCCTGATGCGTGTCCATCTGATACCATCCACAACCCATACCCCCAACCCTGAATCTACATTCCCAGAATCATCAACCGCAAGTTCCACCACAGCCTTCGTCCAACCAGCCGAGAATAAGAATATCTTCCTATCTCTGACAGCGCCGATTGCATCAGGAGGATCCAATCTCTCGCAAGGCCAAAAACAACTTCTCTGCCTGGCACGGGCGATTCTTTCTCGGCCCAAGGTCCTATTACTAGATGAGGCAACCTCCGCCGTTGACATGTCTACTGATCTTCTTATCCAAGAATCTATTCGCAATGAGTTCACTAATACTACTTTATTGGTTATTGCTCATCGATTGAGTACAGTGTCAGATTTTGACAAGATATTGGTTATGAAAGATGGCATGAATGCTGAGTTTGGGAGCCCGAGGGAGTTGTTGGAGAAGGAAGAGGGATTGTTTAAGGGGATGGTGGAACAGAGTGGGGAGAAGGAGGAGTTGGAGAAGATGATTTTGGCGGGTGGGATGTAGCGGTTTTTGTCCACAGACATAATCATGTTAAAGGCTCATTGATGTAGAGGCGATCCGCCCAGATGTGTTGGGGAACGGTCACGCGTGTATTACCTGTTGTAGAATTTCAACTAGAGGTTCAGTTTTTGCCCATGTGTTAAGGGTGTTTATGAAAAGAGGTACCGAGGCCTTCAACCCCTGTACTGCCAAAACCCCGATTTTTCATGACATTCGCATTCGCATATTGTACTTAGCTTTTGAAATTTTGAAATAAAGTAATTATTTAAATTCCTATTAATCCATTTAATTCTCTATTAAATTCTTAATAAATTTTATACAGGCTAATTTTAGAAATTCTTACATAAGTAATTAAATTTAATATTTTATTAAATGAAGGAAGAAAAATTCGAGGATATATTATATAAGCCTTTGGGATATACGAGCCATTACGGCCGCTTCGCTTAAATCTTACTAGGGTTTCCCCAAAAATCTTTCTCTTATATATTAAGCTTATTAAAGCTTTTATTACTTCTATAATTATATAAATTATAATTAATATATATATAAGAATTTAAATGACTTTAAAAGGTTAAGAAATATAAAAGTTATACTTAAAGATCTTAAGAACTTAGAAAATAGCCTCAAATTTGAGAAAATAATATTAAAAGAAAAACTTCAAAATTTTATAAATAAAAAAAATCCAATTAGAAGAAATCTAATTAATCTAAATCAAAGAGAATAATTAGAAAAGTATATAAGCTATTTGCAAGCTTATAGATATCTTATACTATAAGTAATTTATTATATAAGAAGTAAAAAGTAGGGAAAAAGTCAAGTGCAATATACGCAAATGTTGTTTGCAATGTTCTTTCGGGGTTTTGGCAGGAGGATCGCTATCGGCCTCGGTACATCTGATCCTTACGGCTTTCCGTACACGCCATTCACCAATGCAATATGTAACCCCAACATTCTGAAAGCAAGAGCAGGAAGGAGTCGGCGTATGCGACCCACCACAGCTGTGACGGCGGGATCGAGGCAATGGCCAGGGCTCAAAGATCCAAGAATCTCATATATTGAAAATACTAAGCTGAAGAGAAGAAGGAGAGAGAGAGAAGGAAAGGGGATAAAAGAAGGGAAGTACTAGCTAAAACCACTGAAACGCCGGCTAGCTAGGTGAAACCAGTCATGTGACAGCCACCCCCATATGGCCCCCAGCCAGCGCCGTCACAACGGCGACCTGGCAACCTTCGGTTGGGTCATTACTTCATTCTCAGTAATTCCTACGATACAAGATCTATTGAAGCCCTCCGGGCCGAAAACATCCAATCGCTGAACGTGTTCTCCAGGCTGAGCACATATGTGCCCCCCCCCCATGACACAGAACTTGAGGATACGAGGCCTTTTCGCTGAGACAGGGTTTATATTGCTTGCGCCTGGGATGGAGGGAGGCCAGTCGGAAGAGGGGTCTTGTGGAGGGAGAAGGGGAGGGAGAAAGGGAGGGGGAAGGGGCGAGATGACTTTTCAGACCAACCAGCATTTGCATGATGATATTTAGATTATCAAAATAGTTCATGACGGTGATAAACTATAAAGGGAAATTTACAGTAGTACTCTTGTTAGGAAGGAAACAAAATTGATTGCTCAAATCTCTAGATAACAAAGTTTCCACTAGCGACATCATGGACTGTCCTACAGTCAAGTTAGGAGAAGGTCAAAGTAAACGAAAGTCAGAGACAGAATTAGCCGGCTAGCAAAACTGAAACCATCCTGCATCAACGTGCAAGATCTGAGAAGCCGTTCGCGAAATAACGTGAAGAAACTGTGGATTGTGATAACATATTCCCCCACCTGCGCCCCTCCTAGCCGGAGCCGCTCTGTTCGGAATGTTCCTTATGCAAGTCGTTCTTGGCCTCAGTATATGGTGGGGGAGGCTCTCTAATGAGTTCCGCCTTTAATTCTCTGAGCTTATCCAGGTGATTCATGATTTCGGCGTCGCTCCCTTTCGCATTAGTCCAGAATTTTTGTTCTTCCTTTAGAATGGCTTTCCGTTTTCTGAGCCTCTCGACTTCTTTAGGTTTATTAGCCTTGACTGCATCATGGATCTCCGTCTGTAAATCACCGATTCGCTCTTCGATATTGTGTTTTCTGTCACGCAATGCCTCATGTGTTGGGTCTATATGAGCGTCAGTGATTTTGAGCCCGGGTAATTGCTAGCATGCGTACCTTCAAGTGGAAAGTCTGTGAGGAGGGGCATGAAGACTTTGTCGACCATCAAGTTCGGCACATCGAGGATTCTGTCTTTCTGGATGGACCAAGCACCAATGATAAGATCAAAGTTCTCGTTGGGAGAGATGAGAAAACGCATGTCGCGGAAGACTCGAGTACTCTTCTTGTGATACCAGGTTAAGTGTATTGCACCTTGGGGGATGAGTTGATGTCCAGTTACGCTGGTGGCCCCAGCTTCCTCTTCTTTGGTCAAGGGGCAAAAGGCGGACTCTGGATACTCAAGCACTCCGATGAATTTTCGTGAGACGATATTGCCTTGCATGTTGCCAGTATCGATAGTGCATTTTGCCTCCATTGCGATATGATGCTTGTCTTTGTCCTGGCGAGTTGAGAGTACATAGACAGGTAGAATCCATGGTGAAGAGTCGCCATTGGACTATACGAGATTTTGGTTAGCCGCTATCAAAGTAATGAAGGAGTTTGGCCTACCTCTTGCTGGGTCTGCAGAGATCTTTGATCCACAATCGCTCGCTTCTTCTCAGGAACCGCGACAGAGAAGATTCCCCGAAGGCGATCAACCAAAGTGTATTTGTGGGGTTCGTAGACTACATCCTGGTAGGACCCATTGGAAGGCGCGGGTAAGGCCGTGGGCGTAGCGTCAGGAATGTTCGAGGAAAGGAAATAATTGTGAACTGCAGGTTCTTTAGCAAACACAGTAGACGATAGATACTAGGGGCCTACCGTTTGCCACTGCTGAATCATGCATGATATTGGATTGGATCGAGCGTTGAGTGTTACGTTCAGAAGTGGGAAATCGATTACACCTGGGGCTCGGCATACTTCGCCAGCTGGAACACAACCGCCTGTTTATACACGGGCTCGACAGAACCACTGGATCGCAAAGGAAGAGCCTCTTCGATTCCTCCTCCCGCGTTTGGGGTTGCACGGATAGAAAAACCCTCGAGTGACGTGCTCGTACCACCCTTCTCATCTAGTCACGTCCACCTCTCTCGCCCAGCTCAGGCATAGCGCTGTCCATTTTTTCACTTTTTTCCAGGCCGTCCGTGGGACAACTGCGAGGTAACGACGATGGCAGCTCATTTTTTGCGATGCGGTGGCCAGAGGTGGCAGATAGGGGCGCTAGCTGAAGCATGAGGGGGCGAGGTTGGTAAGCATGTTGAAGCAACGGCGTCCAACCAAAGCCAAGACCACCTCGCCGACGAGACTCTTCACGGCCCGCAATGAAACTTGATCAATCAAAAGATCAATAAGTCCCTCCCACACCTGAGGTGTGCCAATCTTCGAGTCTGTGAACAAGGGTTTCGGGGCTGAGGCTGAAGGAACTGCCACGGCCAACTGCTTCGAAACGACGAAGGACCCTTACACGCTCGGCGTACTTGGCGCACCCAGCAGGATGTTATTGCCACCCCCGAGCCTGAATATAAGACCTGCGACGGCCTCTGGCCTCTGAACTTGCATCGACATGATGATGGAGCGCATATCGACAACGAATCCTAGGGTCCAAAGGGTATTTGAAAGCGAGAGGAACAATGGCCGTTGGTCCTCATGCTTCTTTTTCAGGACTCCCGGGCTAGCGCCTAGTGGGTAAGGTTGAATGGGAGACGCCATGGAAGCAAAAGTATTGATGGAGTGTTTGGTCTTTGAACAGGCGGTTCTGCGTTCAATTTGAGTCGCGATTATTTTGAGCTCAGCGGCTCTCAGCCTTTCATATATATTTGCTCCGAGCTGACAAGGCAACCGTCCTGCGAGTCTTCGCGAGGCATCGAATGGTGTCCCATTTTGGAGCCTCGAGCTTTTATTTTAGTCGTCGTGCATCACTCCTGCGGTCATTCACGAACGCAGTGCATAACCCTGCAAGAGCCAGCGAGCGGTGCCAGCGCATCACCATTCATACTGGAGATTCCCTCGGATTCGTCGCAAAAGAGGCAGCAATGCTCGGGGCTACTAGTAACTCTTCTTCCCAGCCCGTATCATTGATCCCCAGTCCACCATTATGCGAGCCTGATTACCTGAGATTCCTTCCATTTGACGACTGTGATTGTTCCTAATATTGCCGTCGTCGCTCCTTGGCCATCCAGTGTCTTCCCAATTTCTCGCCACTGCGACCTTCTATCCTGTCGGAGCGACAGAGTAACAGCACGGCATGAGGGGGCAAGTGCACTTTGGCGAATAGGAAACTAGGGTGCCTATTTCTCGGGCGCAGAAGCAGCAATATGCACCACAGCTGCATATTTCATTCGCCTCTGCGAGTATCAGCAAAGCCTGAGAGTCGTATGACACCCGGAACTCCAAAGAAGCGCCCGGGCCTTGTCAAAGATGACAGTAACGGTTGCTTAGTTGATTGAAAATAATAAAATCGTGTTAGCCGGAACAAGAAAGGGGGATTAATTAAAAGCAAATCATGTGCCGTTTCCTCATCTATCCCTCTTTTTGGGCAGTGAAAACCATCAAAACCATCGGTCTGAGGTGGTCATGATCAGCCACATGCTGAGGACGAATTAAAAGCATTGCTTTGGTCAAGGTAACCAGCAAAAAAATCTCACTTGCATGCAGCCACATAGGGCCACTACTGATAGCGGCAGTATTTGTGCCCTATTAATTATATTGCAGCATATAATAGATATCTCGGCCAATGGTACAAATGAGGCTTCGAAGCTTTTCATGTTGTTGGCCACTTCTGCATTAGCCGACTTGAGGGGGGAGGCTCAGACGGCGACATTTTCGAGAAGTGGAAATGTGTTGCACGGTCTGATAATTCCCCGCCCCAGTCCGAAACCCCGATCTTTCGAAAAGGAGGTGTGTCATATCTTAGAAATTTTTGTTGGATGAGAATGCAGACCATCAACAAACATTCATCCTTCCCAACCGTTCGAGATCAATAACATGGCTGAACACGAATTACAACCTTCCGGTTCGCCACCTGGTTATACCACCGCTCTGGCCAGTACTCCAAGGCCGTGTCAAAAATGCGGGCACATCATCGGCCCCCAAGAGGAACCTCTACCTGGATGGCCACTAGTCACTAAGGTCATCGTAGAGAATCCGGGGCTTGAGGCGTTTCCATCTTTTAGAGATCTGAATATCAAGAGCTTGCTCTACTATCAGGGCGAGCTCGATCAGCTGAGAACAAAGCTCCAAAAGCAGGAATGGGAAGATCACAACAATCCTCCTCAGTCTGACGGTGATGATCTGAATCTTGCTGCGCGGGTAGATCACTTGTTGATCTGCAAGGACCTAAGTGGTGATGGACGGGCTCAGATTGATTTGATTGCAAAGATACGAGAAGTCTTAAATAAATACAGTACGTTTTCACTGATATTAGGACGAATGTTTTTTGACTCAGCTGCTTCCGTAGACAAGGCTCTCATACAGTACTCCCAGATTACAGCATTTCAGAAAGCTGATCCTTCCAACGTCGAAACTCTCCGGGACTGGATATGGAAGGAGCAATATGGGGATCGGTGTATTAAAGGGTTTGGGTCGAGGAGCTGGGATCCGCCTCACCCCGCCCCCTCGAAGCCGTCGATCGAGCGGCAGTTTCTACAGATTCTATGGCGTCTTGCCTGGCCGAAAAAACTCGAAGACAAAAACCTTGACCTTATATTTCCTCACCCAATTCACAAAGTGGCCGGTCTTACTGGCTGGGTGGCCAATGAATGGGCACCTTTCTGGCTGGAGCTCCGTGGGACGCGTTTCGGGTGCAAGCTCTGCAAGTTGTGGAAGGCAAGCAAGAAAATACTACATCTTGAAGAAAATTCGATGGCACAGCAGGATACTTCATGCCCTTGCAAAGTATGGACTCTCAACACGTTCTCAGAACATCGAATGACACTATTCACCTCGTCGGTGGCGACTCTCGTAGCTTGCGTCCTCCCGATAGCCGCCATAACGGTGCTTTCCAAACTCCAATCAAATTCTAAAACGCTCGGGATAATGGCTCTCTTTACTGTGGTTTTTGCGGGCGGGCTCATGTACTTGGCCGGAGGAGCTTCTAGGGTCGAAATATTTACTGCCACGGCTGCGTAGGCTATCCTTTCTTGACATGGACTGCGAATGAAGTCAAGTGCTAATGATCGCAGATTCTCGGCTGTCATGGTCGTCTTTGTGCAGAATCACAATCAGAATAGTAGCTCGTAAGCGCAGGGTGTTGGGACAAGGGTTGTGGTGTGTTGATCTCGCGATGTTTCCGTCATAGAATCGGGAGAGGAGAATATTTTGTTCGGGGCATTGTCGGCATGAACATTCTCAGTCTTCTTAATATACTTGGGAGGAGGGGGGAAGGCCGCAGTGTCTAATAATGCCTGTCCAGAAACCGGCCTGGCTGGATTTCAAGGCGCATGGGGTTAAGGTACTGAACAGGGGCCCGTTGGCAATTGTCAGGATATCCACGATACTAGTCTTTCACGGCCGATCAATGATGATTCTTATCAATTTGGTGGTTTTTTTTTCAGTTCGAGCTCCTACGAAGTACATTGCAACTCGTGCTTCCTTCGTCCCTTTACTTAATTAGGAAGTGCGATCTCATGCGATCCGTGCGATTCAGATGCAAGCTTTACCCAAAATAGGAAACTAGATCCACGATATCTGACACCCGTCCACGCGCCATCACGTGTGCCCATCACAGATTTTACTAAAAGAAGCTATATTAGGGCTCCTTAGTTATTACCTAATCTCGTATTATTTAAGAATAGTAAGAATCTTCTTACTACTTCCCTTAATAAGCCTTTTATCTCACGTAATCTCATCTTTAGCGAACTAATTATTAGTAGGCTTAATAGTAATAAAGGGAGGCAAGAATTAAGTACTTGAAGCATGTATTTCTAAAACAGTAATATTAAAATATTATTCTATACGGCTATAAATACTCTAGTGTAATATACGTGAAAACGGAAAGAATAAAGAATTAAGAGAGATATATTAATAAAGTAAATTAAGAAAAGATATAATAAGTAAATTAAGAGGAAGTATAATAAGTTAGTAAAAGAATTAGTAAAATATATAAATTATAATGCAAATAGCCCCTAATATATACTTCTACTTCTTTTCTAATATATATTTTAGCTTTTCTTAACACTTAATACTCCCAAAATAAAGCTTATAATATTATAGAATATAGTATAAATAAGTAAGATATAATAATATAAAGAAATAAGAATTGAGAATGTACTTTTAGTGAGGCCATGCTATGGCATAAATAGTAATTTCAACGTAAAAGGGGGCATATAGGAATAAATATATATTTAGGGTATATTAGTAGATTTAGTAGTTTTAGTCTCTCTTAAGGCCAAGACCCCAATATTATGCCATTATCGAATCGGGACCCACTGTGGGTCCTGAATCGTATTCAACCCCCTATTACTAAATGGGCTTACCCGATTAGGCAATCGGGGGGCCGATTGAGCTATTGCTCGTATTGGGGAATGGGCCTTCACAGATCAATAACTCATGACTCTTTATTCATGACTTCGTTTCTGCTCGAGGCTAGCTGGTTGCATCCTCGTGGTATCATCTATTTACAAAAAGTTTGTAACCAAATCCAACATTCCAGGTCCCATACATCTTTCTGTGGAGGGTCTGGAGTGCAGCGAGTGCTCTTATCCCCCTCCTCACAGAGGACCACACCCATCAAAACCAACGTCGCGACCGTGTAGCTCCCGAGGCCCTTTCATCCCCTTACTCGATACTGAAAATAGAATTTCTTCCACTTCTCTCTTCCCAGCTCCCCCTTTCCAGTTCAATTCGTTTCCGATTTTTCTCAATCCCAGTCCAACGTCTCCTTCCCCAATTTCAACTCCCTCAGACTCGTAACTTTCTCCATCTTCCTTAATCTCCGCGGTTTTCGAACCGCCGCTCTCTGCTGATCCGCAAGGTGAACCATAATCTGCGGCGTTTTCCTCTCCGATTTCACCCCATCCGCCTTCGCTAACACCATCGCATCATGGCGGAACAACTCATCCATCTCATCCTGACTTTTCCTCGCAACCCTCGCCAATGGAGCCGGAAGCAATGACTCTTCCGACGAGAGCTCGTAGATTGAAGTCCGGTCCTGGATTCTCGATGCTATTTCAGAGGATGGGGAGAGCATCTCGTATTTGGTAGACCTGGTCTCGAGCTCGGGTGTGTGGACCAGAGAGAAGAGTTCGGAGTCGGATCTTCTAAGTGATGCCCTCAAGTTTACTCGTCGATGATGCAGGCAGCAGAACATGACAAAAGCAATGACAAAGATAAGGACGAAACTAACGATGCCAACTCCTATGATCGTGGGTGTTGGTAATTTTGAGTTTGTTTGTAACGGGGCTTGGGCGCTCGATGTCGGAGCAGGAAAATTGATAGGACTTGAGCTGCTCGATCTTGTAATCGGTATGGCGGTTCCGCTGGAAGATGATATGGCACCCGTGGGCGAAGGTAGCGAGGAGGTTAAACTTATAGTCGCGCTGGCCATTGTCGTATGTGTGTTTGAGAACATGTAAGTTAATGAATACGCAGCGCATCCCGCTTTCCCAGCATTGTCAATGTCCACCAGTGCGGTGACAGGGCAATTCGCTATGAGACAGCTAGCAGCGAGGTTTCCGATCGATTGTTGTAGAGCGGGCGTACAACCACAAGACTGATCATTGACTTTGCATCCCACTGCCAACATGGCAGAGGAGATACATGGTACCGCACAAGAAGGTTGAAGATCCATTTCGACTTCGATTTCGAGGTGAAGTGGCAAAATTCGAAGACGACCAGAGAAAGAGAGCGGGGGTAGATATGGAGACTTAAGGGATAACAACTGCGGCGAATAGAACAAGTCGGCGTGTGAGCATAGAGTACTGAGGCATCAGTGCTGGCGAGCTGATGCACGCCTCTCACCTCCTCTCTGCAAATATGGCTCCATATCCGATGAGCTGAGCATGCTAATGTACATATACCGGGGCGGCCTTTTGCCATCCTCGGTCGCTCTACCTCTCAAGTCGCTCTCAGCCACTCTCTTGGCTCTTTACGAGCCTCTGGGCAGGCAACCAAAAGAACGTAATTGGCACCTTGGCACCGGGATGAGCGATGAAAGGGCGCCAGGCCAATCGTCCGTAATGCCTAAAGCTGCAGAGAGCGAATCATAGTGGCGAGCCAAGCCAAGGAAATATTTTCTCCGGTATGACAACCCTTCAGCCCTCAGCTCTGCTGACAGAGACGTTGTGGCGCTGATATCCCGCCCGAGTGCGCAATAGCCGTCTGACTCGCTTAGTCTTCTCGGAAGCGATTGATACCCCTGAAATACAGGTCAGCAGTAGGGGCAACGTGCATGAACGAGAGAACGAAGGCTATTTGCGCAACAGGTCTGACAAATATGCCCGCTGACGAAAGATTGTTAATTGCTTTAAGAATGATTTCTGTTCAAGTAAACAACAGATCGAAAGTGTTCGAGGTGAGAGGAATTTTGAGAATGGAAAGTGGGGTTTATCTCGAAGCCTCCCTCATTATTTCAGGCTGTGGCGAACCAATCAAAGATGCTGCGGTCGTGATTCACGATGACAAAATCGATCAGGTTGGACCAAATCAAGGATTCCAGTCAAATACAGCGCCATCCCATTCGCTCAAGTGTCTTACCTGATACCTGGACTTTGGGACTGTCACGTGCACTACTTTGATATCGGAGAGAATGATGGAGGAGCAGGACGAGGGTACGCCGCACTCGTTTCCTCCGCAGCGCGCGCTGGGGCAAGAATATCCAAAGATCTGGAAAAGACACTTTTCGCTGGTCTCACCTCTGTTCGAGGAGTTGGCGGGTATGTTGGAGAGATTTCTCCAGCAATCGAAGACGGGCCAATCGTCGGACCAAACATATACTCTTCCATTAGTCCATAAACATGACCGCTGGACATGGAGTAAGTATATTCTGGAGTTTGTTCTCCTTCATTCGAGTGTTTCACACGTTTTCGCAGCATCGGAGTTCTTTCCCTGCTCCGAATCTGGGGGTGTTTCGTGTTGAAATCTACTCGTCGAGTAGCTGACTTCTTAATTGTCAGGACATTCACAACCTGCCCCTGTTCTCACAGCCTTGCTTTAGCAGTCTGTGATGGCGTAGATGGTTGTATCCGGACAATCCGCCTGCAGCTCCGCAAAGGCGCCAAATTCTCAAAGCCTGCACCAGTGGAAGGGTCTTCAGTGAGATTGACATTGTGCTGGACGCACAATTCTCTCCCGAAGAACTGAAGGTTATGCTTGATGAGGCTGCGGGAGCTCGGAGAGCGGTCGCTACACATTGCCACGCCAAAGAAGGAATCATGAATGCTCTTAATACGGGCGTAAAGACCATTGAGCATGGTAGTTACCTGGGTGAAGAATGCGTCCCTTTGATGAAGCAGAAAGACGTTTTCGTCGTGACTGCTTCGGTGATCGAAGGGGGCCATGAGATACGTGGACGAGCTGCCAGGCGGGAAAACTCAGCCAAGTTGCTGTCCACAGCAGGAAGGTATACAAACTTGCTATCCAGAGCGGCGTCAAGATCGCTATTGGCACGGATCAAGCTACGAGTGTAGATGGGACGTACAATAGTCATGGTAAGAATGGAAAGAAAATCCTCTAGGCGGTCAATGCTGGAATGACCTCGCTTCAAGCCATTGAAGCTTGCACTGCTACCAGTCCAGAAACTTTATGACCGCACATGGGGGCAAAGTCCGGACAACTGAAAGAAAGATATGATGCTGATATCACTGCAGTGTCTGGAAACCCGCTAGAGAACATCGATCTTCTGTCGGAGGCTGCTAATAACACACATGTATGGAAAGGGGGAAGACTGTCCAAATCCTCCTAGTTGTTTGAGACTGGATATTCGCAATTGACAGTCCATGGAAAATGTGCTGTATCGGCCATTTGGCGTCGGGTTTGTTGCCAGAATGGAAATAGTCCACCGCTCCAATTTAGTGAGTCGTCTTAGATATTTCAACAAAGCAGGCTGCTGATCTGATTCATGCCTCATTTTTGGTGTGAGGTGAGGTAATTGAGCTGCGGCTGAAGCGCGAAGTAATTTCTCCACGTTGACGGGAAAGATGCGGTGAGATGGCCGTGGGAGGACGCCACCAGCTTCTTTTTCATGCAGCCCTACGTGGCAAGCGCACATCCATTTGTCAAGTGACAACCTTGACTTCACATCAAGGTGGAAACTTTTCTTACTTTACAGCGTTGCGAAATACGTTTGAATATGAGGCCAATATCAGATTTGTTCCGTTCGCTTCGGAAGAAGCTGGTGATGCGGAGCATCATGGCAACTCCAGCAACTTACCAAATCCAACTTGGAGACACATTCTCATCAATTGCAGCCAAACTTGGGCTTACAGTTGCTGCAATTGAAGCAGCAAATCCGGGCGTCAATCCCAATAACCTTCAGATTGGACAAGTGATCCAGCTAGCACAGTCAGCTTCAAATTATACGATCAACGCTGGGGACACCTTTTTCTCAATTGCAACAAAATTTGGGATATCCGTGGCAGCGCTGGAAGCTGCAAATCCAGAAGTCAGTCCGACAGGCCTCCAGATCGGACAACAGATATCTATACCATCTAGTACAAGCAGCGTCCCAGTTCCGACCCCGGCACCTACTCCGGCACCTTCAACAGGAACGTATATTATCCAGGCCGGGGATACTTTCACGACGATCGCGGCCAGATTGGGGACGACTGTGGAGGCTCTGGAAGGTGCCAATCCAACGTTGACTCCAACGAACCTTCAGATAGGAGCCTCAATTGTTGTCCCGTCCAGCACCGTGCCCGTTCCCCCAACGAGCCCAGTGGATCCAACCCCAAGCCCACCGGTATCAGGAACAACATACATCATTCAAGCCGGCGATACTTTCACGAACATCGCAGCCAAATTCAATGTCCCCCTCGCCGCCCTTGAGGCAGCAAACACCGGCGTCAACCCCAGCACCTTACAGATCGGTCAAGTCATCAATCTTCCTCCTGGCGTCACCGGAAGCCCATCTACCACCACAGGCGGACCAACCAGCACAGGAGCATTCATCAACTACAGCGGTCCCGCCTCTGCCTTCCCCGATCCCAGCCAATGGGCCACATACTCCTCTCTCTGGCAACAAAACTCATCCCTAATGTCCTACAACGACAGCGCCAACGAGATCACCCTCATCGGTTCAGCCATCACTATCGTATCCCAAGAATCCGGGATCGACGCCCGTGTCATCTTATGCATAATCATGCAAGAATCTGGCGGAAACGTCAGGGTAGGAAATACCTTCAACGGGGTCAATAACACCGGGATAATGCAAGCATTTAACGGAGTGTCGTTCAATCCAAGTGATCCGGCTGGCAGTATTCTCCAGATGGTGAGAGATGGCACCGAAGGGACGGCGTCGGGACCTGGGCTGAAACAGGCATTGGAGCGATATGGGAACTACTATGTGGCGTTGAGGGTGTATAATTCCGGATCTGTGGATTTGAATCAGTTGAATAATCCATTGGGGGCCACGGCGAATTATGTGGTTAATGTTGCGAATCGGTTGATGGGGCATACTTGGCCGAATATGTAGATTTTGTGTGCAGGAAATTCAGAGGAATGAAGTCATCGAGAGCAGGCGAAGCTGGCTGTTTGTGAAGCCTTGGTGGTTTGTGAACGGTCCAGATGAAGTCTTTGTTGCATATCTGTGGGGTTTTCGCCGATATCTAGACGACAAGTGACCTTTATCTGAGGACGTAGGAAGGGAGTGAATATAGACCAGATAGTGTTCCGTTGTATATTGTCGAATATTTTGTCAGTACTCAGACAAAAGCTGACTCTTGTCTAAACATTTGGTAGGCCAGTGAATATGTGTGTAGTTTTCCTTGATGCGCATCCCGCTTAGTAGAACATGGGGGTCGTGGTACAAAGCAGGTGGAATCAGCCCGAATTGTGATTCTGCCCTCTACCTCCAACTGGTATGCTGAGCTTTCCCCTTGAGAATTCTTACAATCGAGATCCTACATGAAGCCCTTTCCATAGATCTTCTCTCCCAAGATCCTCAACTGCATAGGCATCATCGGGTTTCCATAATGCTCCGTGATATCTGACTTCTCCACCGCACAACTGATATCAGCCCAACTATCTCCACCTTTAGCAAGTCTTTCACACTCCTTTCTCTTCTCCTTATTCCACCAACTGGGTAGCAACTTGTCTCTCTTCTCCGCAAGATCCAAGAATTTCTTGAAGACCGGGACCGGATTTTCCCCACCATAGATCCCGAAGTTGTTCGCTCCGAATGTGTATTCGTCCTCCATACGCATACGGAAACAATCAATTAACTGTATGAACGCGTCTTTCTCGGAGAGCTTGTGAAGGTAGTCGTCGTTGGAGAGGCCGAGGAGGGCATTCGCGGCGTTGAAGCCGGGGTTATGTGCCTCAGCGGGCCGGGGGAATGGGTTGGATTCTGTTCTCGAGGATGCGTTTGAGGCGCAGATGCGTTTATGGTTCTTCCAGTCCCCCTTCTGGCACTCGCGGGAGCAGTAGGTGGTGGTTTGACATTTGGCGCACCGTTTGAGGGGTTGTGGAAGTTCTGACTGCAGCTGGAGGTTTGGTCGAAGAGTTAGCATGGGTGGTCCCAACACTTAGCAAAAAATCAAACGCGCAAAAAGTATACAGGCTGATCACCGACGGCCAAGTTTGTCAGATATTGATGTTCTTAAGGGACTGAATTGAGAATATGAGAGGGGCAGGACCAACTTTATGGCAGGTCGTGCAGGTTGCCAGAGGTGCTGCGCTTGATGCCATTTTCCCGGGGTAGTGGACAATCAACCAATGGCGTATTGAAGAATGAAGCGATGGGAGGTACGGAGGTCACGGCCATACCTGTAAGTCTTGCAACCACCAGGGTCGGCGCTACTTCTCGCTTAAGTGGCAGGGCCGTTGCACGGCAATCAGGAAGCGCTGTAACTACAGAGCTTGCAGGCATTCCAGGGCCAAAATATAGTGCACAGGCCCTACAAACATCGCTAAGCCTACTATTCATACAGGTTATCGAGCCCCTAATGTTCGTTGCCAGGCCAGCGGCATGTGGCGTGCTGAGGCTTGGCACTCACCCTGCCGGTTGCAAGACTTTATGGCCACGGCCTCCTAGATGTGCCAAACTGAAAAGTCGGGGGCCGTTTTGTTTGTGTGTTGTGAAAGAGGAAAGATCACCATCGACAAACGAGGCTGTTTGTCTCCCGTGTCAGCCTTGCCTTTTCAAGAAGCCCCCTGAACAGAATCACGTGCTGCCCGTCTTGAACACTCTATCTCAGGATCTCAAAAATTACTGCGGATGGTAAGAGGGTTACAGATGGTACCTTTGGAATCTCCGAAACAGCAAAGTATAGATTGCAGTGAAAGAAAATGAGAAACCTTCACGTGACGTACCTGCGGAAGAAATCTCTCTACCGAAGCATCTTTCGAAGATCACACACTTGCCGAGAGGGAAAAACCGTACGACACTTAGGCAGGAGCTTTCCAAATGCCTGAATCCGTGGGTGGCAATGCGATTCTGCTAAAGCGCTGGCCACGACTGGCGTTGCGAAGGGCCTTGGGAATGCTTGGAGATTCCAGTCTCAAGAGTTGATAATTCAGAGAGGCGACTTACTCCACTTAGAAGTGACCTTGCCACGTTCTTGTCGCTCCGAATACTGCCTCGTTGGACGGCTTCGTACCCCTCTTCAGCTTTGCATTCATGCCGTCGCAACAGCCTCTGCCAAATCGAGCAGGTCGAATCCAAGCTCCACGAGACAACTCGAGCTTCCAATATCAAGGAGCAATCGTTACCGCAATCGCTAGCACATGCGCTCGAATGGCTTCTAGAAAGGAAGTTGATGCATCGAATCAGCATTTCCTTTCTCAAGACCTCAACCCCACACCCCCTTGACCGCGATAACCAGTGGATCATCCCCCCTGACCCCTCGGTTGGTGTCACATTCATTAACCTACGGGTTTAAGCTTATCACAATGACTTGCATTGGCTCTGAGCGAACTTCGGCAGTTTGGCGGGGGTCGGCGCCAGCCGTTTCTGCCATCCACTGAGGCGCGTAGAATGGAGGTCGAAATCTTCGGCGCGCAGTCAAGGCGGGGTTCGTATCATATCAGGAAGGTCAGTTGTTTGCTGCTGAGCAGGGCGCGCTTGCAGCATATAAGTTTTTATTAGCCAGGATATGGTCCGTGTTTCATCAAGTCTAAATCTGAAGTGCAAAATCTCTCCAGGCAGTGCTTGGATACGATTGGCAGAGCTCCAGAACATATGCCGATCCAGATCTTGGAAGTTTCCAATGACCTTCTGGAAACGGACATCGACCCGGATGTATATCAAGTTCCCAAGTGCTTCATTATCAGTGAAATTCAGAACTGCAATGCTGTTCTCAGGTCGGTGAGAAGTATAAGATGGCAGTCCAATACCATTGTTTTCCAAGAAGCAACCCCTCGAGACCTAGCAATTCCAAGTGAACAAAAGTCATTTATCAAACCCTTCAAGATGAAGTTTGAGATAACAATTTTAATTGCCTTCCTTGCCTCCGGGCCTCCACTCTGCTCAGCCTGGGGGAATATGGGACATGAAGCTGTTGCGTACATTGCAACCAATTTCGGTGGGATACATGTTTCAGCTTTTTTGTTTGATTTTACTCTGGACAATATTCCCTAACGCCCCCCTAGTCACGACTCCAACCAAGACATACTTCCAGAACATCTTGGGAGACACGACCACAGATTATCTAGCAGCCGTTGCCACTTATGTGAGCTTGCCTTGGCTAGTGTACGAGAAGTTGCTGACAGATTATCAGGCTGATACCTATCGGTACACAACGGCGGGGCTTTACTCAAAGCCGTATCACTTTATCGATGCGAATGACAGCCCTCCGTCGAGCTGTTCGGTTGAATACAGCCGTGATTGTGGAAGTGAGGGTTGCGTCGTGAGTGCCATTAAGAACTACGTTAGTATCGCTTCATCCCGCTCACCATTCTATTACTGAGATCAATCCAGACCTCGCGTGTTCAAAGCGGTACTCTCAGTGCAGCGAATGTTGCACAAGCGGCCAAAGTGAGTACTCTTTCAGCCTTGGACCGCTGTCACTAAACACAACAGATGATTGTCCACGTAAGTCGTGATATCCCTCACTGCTTCTTCTCGCAAGCTTCTCCGCCCTGCTTTTCCGCACTTCCCAGCCGCTGCACCGGCACGTGGTCTGCGTATTTCAGGCAGGTCCTCGTCAACATTCTCCTCCCCTCGTGGTCTCAAAGACTCAAACTCATTACCCAATAACTTAACAATCCACCCCAGTTTGTGGGCGACATCCATCAACCCCTTCACGACGAGAACCTCGACGTGGGCGGAAATGACATTACCGTGACCTTCGACGGAACATCCACGAACTTGCACCACATCGTAAGCTCCCCTTTACCCATTCCCGCCCTCAAATCTGTTTCTAACAGGTATTGAAGTGGGACACAAACATGCCCGAAAAGTACGCCGGAGGCAGCACAATCGCCGTCGCAAAAACATTCGCGGCCACACTCACCACGGCCATAAAGACTGGCAAGTATGAATCAGATAAAGCTGGCTGGCTCACAGGCATCGACATCACGGACCCTGTTTCCACGGCTATGGTCTGGGCATCAGATGCTAATTCTTTTGTGTGCTCGACTGTGATGCCGAATGGAGTGTCGGCGGTTGAGGGCGTGGATTTGGGTGGCGCTTATTATACCGCTGCTATTCCTATTGTGGAAGAGCAGATTGCGAAGGCGGGGTATAGGTATGTTTCCTTTTTTTCCCTGTTACAATTAAAAAGTGAAGGGCACAAAGCAAAGATCAAATCCGCTAACGGTGACAGGCTTGCGGCGTGGTTGAATCTCATCGCAACAGGTAGCACAGGTCTTTAATCTTGAGGTGGCTGTCAAGTAGAGGTGAACTGGAAGCACATCTCCAAGCGGAGTGCCAAACCAACGAATTTTCTTTTCTTTTTCAGAGTCAAAAGTGCATCACGTAATGTACAAAGCTCGTACTCTAAATGGCAACGAGGATAATTTTTCTGAAGCAAGAAGTCCATCGCCTGCAAATGTGCTCACTCTACATATTGCAACCTGCAAAACCAACGAGTATGACTTTTGCCAGACCAAAAAAAGATCATCTACTAGAATAGCGTACATTTCATGTCTCAAAAGCAACTGCAAATACATTTCCCAGCAAGAGCGCACTTTTTTGTTCAAGTACAAGTCATCGCTTCCCAGAATGAAGAGAGAACTCTCGTGTCATCACACAGCCAGAGGCCTAGTGGTTATGCTATTGATGATGATCTGGGCGATGCGATGGATAGCGCTGAGGTTGCTGCTGGCGTTGCTTCTGAGGTAGATGCTGGGCACGTTGCGAGGGTTAATGTTTGCTTTGATGACGATGATCATCCCCAAACAAATCAAAACTCGGATTCCTTTCTCTGGAAAGTGCTATATGAGGTGGTGACATCCACTCCACCTTTATGTGTGGTCTTGCCGCCTCCCAGTCTCTTTTTCCTATGGTGTAAATCATGGTCTTGTTGCGTAGAGCTAGAGGTTATCGGTCGGGTGTACCTTCACGATCTAGAAGGCTTTGGATCAGCCTCTTGAAGGCCAGGTTTGCTACCTCGGTCTCCAGCACAACCCGGTCAAATCCAAGCCCGCTCAGATTTCCGTTGTGCCCTTTTGTTGGATGACCCAATACTACATAATCGAGCACAGCTATGAACGCTTCTTTCGCATAGTGATTTCGTGTGAACTTATGGTGAATCAAGACTCCAACACGGGCACTTCGATCGTGCGAGTCGACTGAGAAACCGAACACACCAACGAGAGTACCATCATTTATCATCAGCTCCAGGTGCTTGTGTTGATCTTCCTTCTTTGAAATGAACAGTAACCGGAACGTCTTCCGCTGGGCCGGGTCCTCGGTGGCCACCGATTTAAACAATTCTCCCAATTTGGCTTCAGGAGTAGTAATTTCAGTGAACGGTTTGAACCGATTGTTTACTGGGTCGGTGTGAATGATGTTGTATTAGTCAACCTCATGGTGCTGAATATCGCGTAGTATGAGGCGACCTTTCCCTTGATTAGTCCAGAAGCCGTGGCTGCCTGTCGCGAGATGATCTAAATCGCTCATAGTTTTAATATCTGTTTGAACGCTCGTCAAATCTTGGCTTTGCTCAGTGGTTTGTCTGCTTTGATACACTTTGGGTTGGCTTTGAAACTTCAGGCCTTTGGTGTTCGATAAAGAATAAAGGCTTCATCTCCGGCTCTCGAGGAGTGCGTTTTATAGTTGAGGAAAGGGTGGTGTGAATCAGTGTATTTGAATGTTTTGCCCTGTACAGATTTTACTGTAGAGGGGTTGAGGTGCTGCGAACGAAATTTCGTGCCCCACTTTGAGGAGGTCTAGAGGCAGTATGATTTACACGTAACCCAGCAAGAATACACTTGAAAGGCATTGAAATCTAGGAGTACTTGAATATAAAAAAGGAAATTGCCCTCTCCTGTTCCTTTCTGCAAATTCATAGATTTGAAATAAATTGATTGTTTCAGATCGCTATCGGTTGCGAAGTAAAAGCAGGAACATTCTTCTCTTTCTGTGACCCCCCATACACCAATACGAGCGATTTCCCAATCGGGGCCCCCGATTAGGGAATCGGACGCTACGATTAGGGAATGGGAGCTTCTTTACGAATCGGGCGTCCGATTAGGGAATCAGGGGCCCGATTGCCCAATCGGGTAATATTTGGGTATCGGGAATAATAAAATGAGGATATATTAAAGACACTTCACCCATACTAAGCTTTACTGGCCATGCCTCCCACTACGTCTAGGTGCTCCCATAGCTACCTTAGCCCTTTTTGGTGCCCTCCCCTCCACTTGATCACCTGATTCTCCTCCTCCAGCTCTATCCTCACGTACTTGCTCAGTAGCTACTCTCTTCTTTGCTCTCTCAGATACCCTTCCAGCCTTCTGAACTAACGAGATTAATCCACGGCTATTTTCCAAGGTAACTGCCTTTGGTAAGGTAATCTTATCCTTTTTGTAAACTGCCCCAGTAATAGGTAATTCAGAATAAGTTAATTGGGAGGTAACTTTATTGAGGGTACCATGCGGCCAGAGAGTAGTAAGTTTACTATACTTGGTAGTAAGCCGGTATCCCTATATTTATTAGCTTTAGTAAGTATATTTATATAGGATATATACCTTCAAAGTTTTCTCTAGAACTCTTACTGGTATCCTTGCCATTTCCGTACTAAATCGATACTGTTTTGGTATCTGAAGCGTTATAATCTCTTAATCGGTATACTCAAGAGCCTTGGAATTTGCCTTCTTTACTATCTTCTCTTGCTACTTCCTTATATACTCCGTAACCCTCTTGGTTAGTTTAGATAAAATTATCTCCTCTGCCGCTTCCTCTAGTTTAGCTTCCTGATTAATAAATAAGCTATCCTTATTCTCTTTATCCTTCTCTCCTTTAGTAACCTTAATTATAGACGATTCTCTAGAAGCACCACTCTCATTCCCCTCCCCTAGTGCCGTGCGTATACGCCAAGCGTTCCCTTTGTGGTCTTGAAAATTGGTAGGTGGCTTTCGTCCAAATTATATCTCATATGGCGTATTACCCTTAGGTAAAGCAGAGGTAGGAGTGGTATTAATAACCCATGTAATTAATGGAAGTAATTATATCTATAATTAAATACCAGTATCCGCTCGTGTAGCTCGCAGGCGCCTTTTGAATATGCGATTAGTAATCTTAATAGAGCCTTGTAATTAAGGATAGTAAGCTTGTCTACGGATAATCTTTATCCCTCTTTGCTTATAAACCTCAATAACTTTGCCTTTGAACTCTCCTCTATTATTATAGGCTAGGATAGAGATATACCCATTATCATTTAGCCATTTAATAAGCTTGTCCGTAGCTTTATCCGCAGTTTTAGCCTTGAGCCTACGGATCTAAACGAACTTGGAAAAGTGGTATTTCAATTGCCAAATCCACGTGTATTCTCCGTCCAAATCATGCTATAATAGTATTAATGAAGTGTGGATAAAAAGGTTCGGAATTTGCGAAATTCGCGAAAATCGCAGGAAAAGCTTAAAAACGCAGGAAACGTAGGAAATACAGGAAATGCAGGAATATAGGGGTAAATTACATGACTTAAGGAACACTTATACGGAAATCTATTAAATCCAGAACCATACGCTGGCCTGGATAATGAGATTGGATAGGCTATACTCCCGCATTATTCTTTTGAGCCTTCTCTTTATTATAGTGAGCGCATTGTGTACTTATCCACGCATGATTATTACGGGATGGGCCATGCCAAATTTTCCGTATATGCTTAAACATAGTATTAGAGCCTATTTTTTAATTAGTATAAAAATTAGTAGCTTTTAGAGGGTACTAACCAGGGTATATTAATTTCTCATGGACAGTGGTAAGAATCTCAAAAGCGTCGTTATAGCAAACGGCATACCGGGCGGGAACAAGCTCTCTACGTTAATTATCGTAGTGTTCCTTGCGATACACCTGGCCGTCCTGAAGCTCATAGAGAAGGGAATTGTACTTGATATTAGCCTGGTAGCGTTTCTCTGCCTTGGTTCCGCTAGGAAGCGGAGCATTAGGATTTTGCAACCACCATCTGATATCCATACGTTTCCTAGTAGTAAGAATTTTCTTACTACCCCCCTTAGCAAGCCTCTGATCCCATGCAGCTTCGTCTTCAGCAGACCCATTATTAGTAGGCTCTTCAGTAATAGGGGAGGGTAAAAACTGGGTGCCGAAAGAACGAGCCCCTGGAGCAGTAATATTAAAATATTACTCTGCTCTCCCATAAGTACGCTGACGAGGCGTACGTGGGGATGGGGATGAACGAAGGGTTAAAAGAGACATATTAGAAGTAAGGTAATTAATTGAGAGGTATATAAAATTAGTGGTTATGCTTGGAAAGTTGGTGCTTGTACTGTGAACTGTGTCTAGGTAGTAAGGGAGCAGAGGCCCCATATATATTTGGGAGCTCTGGAGAAGTGTCTTTACCCCTATTATTACCTCCTTTAATATCTTAAATTAATAAATTAAACTATAACCTATAGAATCAAAATATGAGGTATAGTGGAGTAAAGAATATAGGGCTGAATGAGCTAGTAAATAAGGGGAATTCAGCTCCTTCAGGCCCGATACCCAAATATCGAGCGATTGGGAATCGGGGACCCCGATTCGTAAAGAAGCTCCCATTCCCTAATCGTAGCGTCCGATTCCCTAATCGGGGGCCCCGATTGGGAAATCGCTCGTATTGGTATATGGGGGGTCACATTTCGCCTCAGGAAGGTCTGCAATCTCCGATTTTCCCTTCTTCGCAACCTTCACCATCTCCCTGCCATACTTGAAATTCGAACCATAATGATCATCCCTTAACGTCCTCTGTCCTAATAGATTCTCCCTGAAAGTCCCGCCAGGAAAGTCATAGTCGTCCCACATCAAACCTCTCCTCTGCAATTCCGGCACCAACAGATCAACCACATCCTCAAAACTCCCCGGGTTGGAAACATAGGCAACATTGAACCCATCACAATCCGCTTCAGTGACCCATTCCTCGAATACATCTGCAACTTGGCTCACGCTACCCACAGGGCAAGGGTGCAAGCCACCGAGCGCCATACGCATGCCCAGACGACGGGGCGTCCATGGTTCAGAGGATGCGGCGTCGGAGGAAGAAGAATCTGTGCTGGCTTCGAATGCATTGAGAACCGACTGGATTCCCGCCCCTCCCTTCAACGTTGAGCTCGTGAACGGCTCATCCATGGGGAACACACTCATATCAATCCCTGTATACCCCGAGAACTGCGCCAGTCCTCCAATAACATCCGCAACATTCAACGCTTTCTCATGCTTCTCCTTTGCTTCCGCCTCCGTCCTACCAATGATCGGAACAATGCAAGGAAAGAACTTCAGACTGGCAGGATCTCTTCCTTCTGCAGCGGCAGCAGCTCGTGCTTCGGCAATGACCTTCTTTCCTTGTTTGACGTTACAGGGATTCAGGAACATAGCTTCCGCGTGTCGACTTGCGAAACCGATTCCGGACTTGCTGGTCCCGGCTTGGAAGAGGACAGGTGTGCGTTGCGGGGAGGGATGGAGTTGAGAGCGGCCGGACATTGAGAAGTATTTCCCTATCGAAGGTGATCAGCATCGTATTGTCCAGTCTAAAACTTGAAAAGTTTTAAATAAACTTACCTTTGTGTTCAATTTTCTTGATTTTGCTCGGGTCGTATGCAAGGTCATAGTCCCAGACGACCGAATCATCTGCCCACGAACTTTCCCAAAGTTTATACACTACCTCCATATACTCATCCGCAGCCAAATACCTCTCATCATGCTCCACTGGCTTCTCTTGGCCCATCGCCTTCGCAGCACCCTTCGTATAACTCGTAACAATGTTCCATCCTACCCTCCCATTTGTAAGATGATCGAGCGTGCTGAACTGTCTCGCCAATATGTATGGATTCACATAGCTCGTTGACACAGTAGCAGCGAACGAGACAGTATCTGTGACGGCTGCCATAGCGGATATGATTGGCACGGGGTCGAGATGGGCGACTTGGTGGCCCGAGGCGAGCATTGTGTCCAGTCCGCCACCGTAGACGTCGAAGCCCACATACCAGTCTGCTAGGAATATGGCACTGATTTTCCCACGCTCGGCGAGTTTTGCAAGGTCCATGTAGTATTTTAGACGGTCTTTGGTTTTGCCATTGTCCGTTGGGGAACTGGCTATTTATTAGGAAGCGCTGTGCGGCGGTGAGGAAGGGGGCATACCGCCATTGTCCGGATGCCATGTACGAGCCTGTGCAGGCTGTTTCTAGGAAGCAGAGTTGAATTCTTTTCTTTGCTGCCATCTTTCTTGATGGTTCTCAGTGAGTTATTGGTATAGAAATCGAAAGAATTGAGATTGTCAGGAATTATTCGATGCTTCGTAGTTACATCGTGGGTTTTCTAGAGCACCAGCTGAGACACTTCCGCTGCGGCAGCTTGGAATGGCTCCGTATCGAACACGGGATGATGCGCTCCAGCCATCAACATCATGTCATTGTCATGGTTCATGGTTGCTGATCATGTTCTCGATCTGCATTCTAGCTTGGGTTCTTCAATCATGTTCAAAGTGGGATAGATTGTGAAGGTTGAGGTGCAGCCTTGCGAGATAGGAAGCTAATCTAGCGTCCGAGACCCCTGAGTCGCGGCGGGACTAGGGTATCGCTTCGGGGCTTCGAGGGGTTCCCGACAGGGGCTCTTAGAAGGCGGCGAGAATTCACCTTTGTGGACGGATAGAATTCATGTGATTTTGAAGGAGGTCGTGTCTGCTCTTCTCGTTCTTTTCCCCTTGGAATGTGCCGCGAGTTCATAGAGTTCTCGATGAGGAGTCAGGGGCGTACGAGTTAGCGAGTCGCTTAAAATAATAGGGGTCAGAGGCACCGCTCTCGAGATTACGGGATTTTAATTGAATAGGATAATCCAACTTCAGCTTTGATCCAAGCTCAATTGCACACCGTGGTCCAAAATTAAAATTCACTGATTTCATGATCAACAAATTGCTACAATCCTAAGGTACTGCAAGTCCTCACATCAGGGGTATCACGTGTGAGACCCCATTCTTGAGGCTATTGAGATCTCCTTATCGTCAGATAAAACTGGGACCGATAACGCAAATTCAACTTCACGATCGTCGCCATGGAATCAGAAAGCATTTCTCCACCTAACACGCTCTTCTACCATTTCCCCCTGCACCAAGGAGGATGTAATGCCACTACCCCACGCACGACCACATCAAGACTTGCCAGTGGGAACGGATATGGAGAACTTGCAGCCGTCGTGGGGAGAAGCACCCCAGGGGTCGGCAGGTGGACGACCCGCCAAGAGAGCAAGAGTAGCACTCGCCTGTCAACGTTGCAAGACAAGGAAACAGAAGGTGAGTTTCTGCCATACATTCCACCAAGAAAGTATACTCTTCTGACTTATCCTCCTTTTCAAGTGTGATGGTATGCACCCAACATGCTCCAAATGCAGCAGAATGGGCTTAGCATGTGACTATGTTATTCCATCTAAACCCATGCCCTTTGGCAAGAATTACTATGTGGCCTCGTTGGAAAGGAGGGTTGTTGAGCTTGAGGAGTTCTTAGCGAAGAAGGGGATGCTGGATCAACTCCCCGCCTTCTCGCCGTATGACCTTAGAGACACGCGACCAGGCCCCGAGAATGGAAGCCAGGCTATTCTCAGCCCGGAGCCGCATGTGGCTGCTTTGTCGGGAGGAAAGAACTCTGCGTTCCGTGAGATGGAATCGAGGTCTAGCGACAGTGAAGAAGGCGAATCAATGGTTCGGATTCTGAGGGACCTGTCACTGGAAACGAATGGTGGGTACATTGGTGCTACTTCTCAAATCACTATGGGCAGACTTGTAGGATCTATCGTCAAGGGAAAGAAGTATAGTATCAGGGAAGAAGATCTAAGTCCCAGTCCAACGAACCTCCCGGAAATGGACGACTCAGCAGAGCTGCGATTATCAGATATCTCACCAGATGTTGCAGACAGGCTCCTCGTTGGGTACATGAAGCACATAGCCACAAGATATCCGGTGCTACATTCGGCATGGATAAGGGATTTGCATTCACGACGCCATTGCATCACGAATGCTTATGAAAGAAGTACCTTACATTTGATATATGCTACTGCTGGTCGATTCTTGGAGACAACGGGTGAAACAGCTCCCTCATATTTTCCCGAAAGGCATCATGCCGAAGTGCTGAAGGATTTGGACGAGATGTTACGGTATCATGATACCAGGTCTGTCGTCACGTTACTACTGCTAGCCGTCTTCAGTCTCAGAGCCAAAGGTGGACCAGGAGCGTGGGCATATATTGGTTTAGCTATGGTGAGACTCCTCTACAATCTCGGGAACATTGAATGCTGACAGCGATCCTTAGAGAATTGCAATAGACATGGGACTTCATAGGCAGACCACTGCTATGGATCGGACAGGTTTCGATGTTGAGATGAGAAAGAGACTCTTTTGGTCTTGCTACACTATGGACAGGCAGGTAGGACCTATTTTATCCCCATCACCACCACATTTAGCTCACGGTTATACAGGTATCTATCCCACTTGGTCGGCCTTTCTCAATATCCGATCGAGACATAGACGTGCAACTACCACTCGACGTAGATGAACACTGCCAAGATATTCACGTGCTAGAGCAAGCATCCAAAGTCGATCCGGACATAGCTCGAACCGAAAGCACATCACTTACAGCTTTCTTACACATCTTGCGACTTCGGAGAATAGAGCCAAGCATTCAACAAACTATTTATCGCGTTGATCAATCGACGAACGTTACGGATGCTGAGATTGAGTTTTATCTTGATCAGTTGGAGAATTGGAAGAGGTTAATTCCGTTGGATGCTAAGAAACAGGTTGATCGGGAATCTACTGCTTTTGATGGTTATGATTATTATGGTATGCTTGAGATCAGATGGCTGCATGAGATTGTTTATGCTAATGACTGGGCAGTTCGTATTGCACCCTTCGAGAACTGAGCTTCATGCTCGGACTCCCCCTTTTCAAGTTAAAGGCTTTCATTTTTTTCACTCCAGAGGCAAAAAGCATGCTAACACTCAAAACGACAGATGATCTTTTACTACAAGTGCCATAGACTGCTCTTATATCCTTTGATCTCAAAACCACGCGTGAATCCTCGATTCCTGAAGAGGTGTGCAGAAGTATGCGGAGGTGTAGCCCAAACGTACAAACGACTCCATCAAACATTATCAGTCGGATATTCATTGATGGCATTGCAAACCGTATTCATGGCTGGTAGCACTTCTTTCTGTCCTGATCTCTTAAATTTCCGAACTGATGGTCATAGGTCTCACCCTCATCTACTGCACCTGGATCTCCCCCGAAGAGATCTTCAGCAGCGCAACAAGCAACGACATAAACGCCTGTAGCATCGTCCTCTTTGTTATCACGGAACGCTGGCCAGGGGCCAAGAAATACCGCGATGCTTTCGAAGCTGTCAAGCAAAATGTAATCGACCCCCTGGCTGAAGGCAAGAACCACGGGCCTCGACATGCTATCGAATTCTTGAAATCGATAATCCCATCAACACTGCCTTCTGTGGAGATGGGTGAAGATAGACAGGAATATTCACGGATCGTGACTGATATGTCGGGACAGAATGTGGATTCTACACTGATGGAGACGTTTGGGGGACCAGCTTCAGTGGGGATGGAGCAGGTTCAGTACCAGTCTGGGGATGTACTTGGGAATGGACCTGCTCAGGAGTTTGAACAATATCGTGGGTTTAATGAGATGAATAATGATCAGGAGGTGATTGATGTGTTGAATCAATGGCCGCCGAGTGGGATGGACTTCTCGGTGGGCTTTGAGCCATTCGATTTGGATAGTTACTGTGTAAATATGGTAGAGCCTTTAGGACCGAGCATGAGATAGAATGTGCAACTTTCTTGCGAACTATTGCATTAGATAGCTTTACATTAGACTTTAATGAATGCCATTGCCGTTGGCATCTACCTTCAACCCTCCCACTTCCTTCGTCAGCACGACATCATCTCCCTCAAATGTAAATTTGCTTCCATAATGGTCACTTCTCAGGGTATGCTGGCCCGGCTGTCTCAACAAGTTTTCTCGGAATGTTCCTCCAGGGACGGCATAATCTTCGAAAATCAAGCCACGCTCTAGCAGCACTGGACGCAATAACGTGACTACGTCTTCGAAACTGCCAGGATTGCTGACGTATGCGATATTGAAGCCGTCAATATCTGCTTCATCGATCCACTGTCACAAAAGTGTTAGATTTTGTTCTGTCAACTTGTAGACGAGGGCCAGCACCTGCTCAATAATATCCGCAATCATCTGCGGTGTCCCCACAGGACTCGGATGCAACCCTCCCAACGCCATCTTCATACCCAGTTGTCTCGGCGTCCACGGTTCCTTCTCCGTACTAATACTATCAATATAATTACCCAGAAACCCATGAATGATGTTCTCCGCCGGATTCGAAGTGTCAAGCTTTAGTTCCTCGTCAAGAGGATACTTGCTCATGTCGATATTAGTGTAGCCTGAGAATTGGGCTAAACCTCCGACAATGTCGGCGTGTTGGGCGGCGCGGTCGAATTTGGCTTGAGCTTCTTCTAGCGTTCGCCCGATGAAGGGGGATATGGCTGCGAAGAACTTCATTGTGGTGGGGTCCCGGCCTTCTGATGCTGCTATTGCGCGGGATGCCTTGTGTGCGTGAACAAAATAAACAGAAGACAGGTCGAAGAGATGTGAGAACTCACTTTTATTTGAGCTGTAGCTTGCGATGGTACCATGCCACCAATATAAATTGCCTCGGCGTGTCTAGCTGCAAATGCCATGCCAGATTTTGATGTTCCTGCTTGGAAGAGTACAGGAGTTCTTTGAGGAGATGGATGAAGTTGATGTCGTGCGGAAAGTTTCAAGTGTGTTCCTGAATGGCTCGTTAGCAGGTAGCACAATAGCAATGATTTTAACTCTTTACCGTTATGCTCGATCTTCTTGATCCTCGACGGTTCATAAGCGACCCTGTTCACTTCATCCCATCGAACTGAATCGTCTGCCCAAGAACCATTCCATAATCTTCAGGTGTTAGCAGATACGCTGAACCGCATTGCTGGAGAAGGGAATTTACTTATAGACAACATCCATATACTCCTCCGCAATTTCATATCTTTTGTCATGTCCTTCTAGATCTCTTCCAAAAGCATTAGCTGCAGCTTTGGACCAGCTTGTAACCACGTTCCATGCAATTCTTCCATTTGTCAAATGATCCAAAGTGCTGAATGTTCGAGCGAGAGGAAACGGTGGTATGTAGCTGGTGCTTCCAGTTACGCCAAAAGAGACTGATTCTGTCACAGCCTACGTCAATCAGCCCTATCCTTTCATGGGGGGTAAAGGTAGTATCCTAACAGCCATAGCCGATATAATAACCAGCGGACCTAACTGAGCAACTTGAGTCCCAGCTCTCAGCACAGCATCCATGTTCCCAGCATATATATCATGACCAGCGTAACTGTCAGCGAAAAATATACATGTTATTTTGTGCTTTTCTGCTAATTTTGCAAGGTCGATATAATATTTCAGGCGGTCTTTGGTTCGGGAGTTGTCTCCAGGTGCGCTGTTTCCTTGTGAGCTTCAGTTCCAGACGAGATACGATGGTAAAAAATACCTCCACTGCCCTGCACACTCATGGTTTCCTGTACAAGCTGTTTCGAAAAAGTTGAGGTGGATCTTCTTCTTGGGAAACTTTTCTGTGGCAGCTGAAGGCATGTTGAGAGATTTTGAAATGATGCAAATGTTACGGGGAATTCAACTCAGTCAAGACACAGCGCAGAGATCGATGATGCTGAATTTAGTTGAAGACAACCCTTCTCCCTCGATAGCAAGGGAAATAAAGAGCGTCGTTCTGGGACATCTTCCGGCATACAAACCCTATAGCTCCACAGACCTGCAATTTGTCATACGGAAACTAGTTATCTAGTCAGTGTCAACTCTCCTTGCCTTTCTCGACGAACATATTTTGAAGCTCTCCCCCACTTTCTCCCGTTCCTTGACCTGCTCCACAATCCGGCGTGAAACTGCCACTGATCAACGCTAAGCCAAGGTCCAGCGGCCCCCATCTTTCCCTTCTGACTCGTGCAATTTTTGGAAGCTAGTTTACGTTCCGCCCTCGGGTGCATTCGCCGAGTCTGATAGCTCCTGCCGATTTCCGACGGTCAATGTACCGGCTACACTTCATCAAATCAACACCAGCAACGTACAGACCATGTAAACAATGAATTCGCCTTAGCATTTACAGTGCATCTTACCTTGGCTTTGGAATCAACTGCTGTGGTAAAGATAAGCAATCAAGCAGCGGCTCTCTCCTGCCAATGCCGCTGACGAGCCCCATCTCATTGCAGTAACTCTGATTCTTATCTCCGAATATCTTCCAGATATCTCAGACGCTATCTCTCCTCCGCAAGTTCCTTGGCCTAGCTTCGTAGCAAGGGCCAAGATTGCAGAATGGGTTGAGTAATTCGAGTATATGAACTCCATGCTTCTCCAATTTGCCAAAAGGAAGCAAGGACTTCATTCCCCACGTTGATCGGCGAACAATTCTCATACAACATCTTCGTCCTTCAAGTTTTCTGGAACCTGAGAGGACTTCATCTTCCTTTGGTTGGCGAATTATTCTCGCACGCTTCCTCCTTTTTTAAGTTAAAGTTATCTGGGTCTCGTAATCTGACATGGCCGCCCCCTTAGAAAACATAGACTTCTCCTCAAAACAGGAGCCCATCCTACGCGATATATCCAGTCTAAAACAAGGAAGCATCTCAGACGACGACCGCGAAGTCTTCAAAGCGAACGTCAACGGCGTCGAATACCGAACCGTCACTTGGCAACGCGCCATCGTGATCTTCATCAAAACCCAGATCGCCACTGGCGTGTTGGGTATCCCAAGTGCTCTGTACAATCTCGGTGCTGTTGGAGGCGGAATCTGCGTCGTTGCTTTCCAGGCGCTGAATCTATGTTCGTCTCCCTTATATCGCGTTTGAGTTATATTCTGGAGCTGACGGAAGCTGAATAGATACTACCATCATTGCGGGCAACTTCAGAAACAACCATCCAGAATGTCACACAATCGTAGACATGGCTGGAGTTGTCTGGGGTCCAATTGGTCGAGAATTCGTCGGGGTCATATTCGTAATCGCATTCATCTTCTGCACGAGTAGCAGTATCCTCGCTATATCCATCGGCCTCAACGCTCTTTCGAACCACGGGGCTTGCTCAGTGGCTTTCACGTTCGTCGGCACAGTTCTAACGATCATGTTCTCTTGCATCCGCACATGGGGCAAGATGACCTGGCCGCTGTACGTCTCTACTTATCTCCTACCCACAACCCTCTCTTAATCTAATTATCTGTGTTTTAGATCAATTGGTTTCATCTCCGTAATGGCTGGAGTTATGGTCGTCGTGATCGGTGTAACAACCAAATCTCGCCCTGCTGCTGCTCCTCAGACCGGTCCTTATGAGTTGGGATTTTACGCCATCGCCCACCCAACGTTCGCAGCTGGCATCACAGCCGCATGCTCAATCATGATATCTTCATGCGGGTGTCCCGGGTTCATCCCCGTCATCGCCGAAATGAAGAGACCGCAAGATTTCAAGAAGGCTGCCATTATCGTGGCTGCACTCGTCGGCGCCATCTATCTCTCTTTCTCAATGGTGGTATACAGATGGTGCGGCCAATGGATTGCCTCTCCCTCTTTAGGAAGTGCCGGCCCGTTGCTCAAGAAGGTTTCGTATGGAATTGCGTTGCCGAGTCTTGTTGTGAGCGCGGGGATCTTCAACCACACGTCCTCGAAATACCTCTTCGTGCGCTTCCTCCGGAATACAAAGCACCTGCAATCAAACAGCACGATCCACTGGTCAACCTGGATAGGGTGCAACGCCGGCGTCGGGATTCTCGCCTTTATCCTCGCGGAGGCGATTCCGGTCTTCAACTACATTCTCTCCCTCGAAGCAGCGCTGTTCTTCGCGCCTATGAGCTTGCTGTTCCCTGCGTGCTTTTGGATGTACGATCACAAGGAATATAGGACTGGGACCGGGAAGCAGAGATTGATATATGAGGGCCATGTATTCCTGGCCCTGATCGCGAGTTTCTTGGTTGTGGGTGGTACGTACGGGACGGTTGTGCAGATCAAGGCGAGTTATGATGCGGGGCAGCTGAGCAAGGTGTTCAGTTGTGCGGATAACTCGAATACAATCGGGGTGTAAAGAAAGGAGGGGGGGGGGAGGGCATCGATACGATAGTTGCGTTCGATGGTGTTGGAAATGTCGCGAACAATAGAATCAAGCTAAAATTTTGGTTTGGGTGATACCGTGATAGGATTGATAAATGGGGAGCTCTCAACAGTTATGAGACTCTAGAGATGTTTTGAATCAATCAGAAGACTTAGAAGACCTGACACTCGCCAGAACCACACTCGAGAATACGAAGCTCCCACTCACGAATACCATATTCCAACCAAGAATGCCTTAAAATGTAGTAAGGTAGTAAGTACAGGCATAGGCAGTGAGTACACCTATACAGGTCATAGGCTAGTTTAGGGGCTTATAGTAAGTGAGTTTTGTAACATTAGTAATAGGGAGCTTTAAGGCATTCCTGGTTGGCACAGTTATGAGCCCGGGGTCTTAGTTAGCATGTGCCACTCGTGAAGATGCCAGTGGCGGACAGGGTGACATTAGCGAATGGATGCTCTTCGCGAATGGGATAATTCGTGTTCGGCCCAGAACATATATCCTCGCAAACCCTCTCGCACGTGACCGCTTGTTCGTTCCTTCCTTTGCAAGTGAACCATGGATCCATTGCGGGAACTATATACGGCTCTGCACTAGAGCCACAACAACATACCATTTCTCATCCCACATCACAAGCTAGTTCCCTTCTAAACCGACTCTGAATGAATTTCTATCCTGACCTCTCACTCTCGACAAATACAATGCGGTTCGGTTTGTGGAAAAGGTTTCATCTTTAATTCTTCCAACCTCTTCTTCCTCTCGTATCGGAAATCTTCCAAATAGATACGCGCTGGTATTTCCTTCACAGAACAGGTGTGTCCTCTTTCGTCTTCTTACCCGAGTTTGAGTTCACTATCTAAGGGACTGCATCAATTATACCAACAACCGAACCCATGCATCTCGATGGACAATTCCACACAAATTTCCTCATATTGGAACGTCCAGCCTCCACTCCCAGCTCCAGCTCCAGCTGAAAACGGCAAACCTCAGACTGTACTGTCCTCGCGCGATGCAAAGCATTTGAAAGAGCTCGGTCTCTTGAGCTACGCTCCAGCAGGATTCTGCGGGATATCATTGGATATCATGCATGCCACCACTTATCCAAAGAAACGTCATAATGAGAACAAATATTTCGGGTTCTGGAGGAAACTGCCCCCCGAACTGCAGTTGGCGGTTATGGATAAGTGTAGGGATGAGGAGATTATGAGCTTAGGTATGCTATCCTCCTCTCCTCCGGATTTCCATAGGGCTAACTGGCGTTTTACAGCGAGGACGTCAAAAAGGACACGAAGACTGGCAGAAATAATTGTGGAGAAGAGGCAAGAAAGATTTGCGCGTCTGCCAATCATGGATCAAGGGCTCGCGACGCTGAAGTACCTGGGGTATACGGACTGGAAAGCCATTGAGCTTTGGGCGGATTGGGAGCTTCTTGCGTTCCTGGATGAGAGGGGATTTCTGGCGCATTGTCTGAGTCCGCTTTGGAGTATCAGTAATGAGGAGCACGCTGATGCGCTGGACGACAGCGATGATTGGCGGGCCATCATGTCGCACTGGGGAGTGAGCAGGGAGTGCCAGGACGCCATACTCGATCCCGCGTTCAGCGATATTCGACTTACTCAAAGCGCCGCGTACTGGGTTTGTAAGACGGTTGAGCTGAGGTGGAGCACGTTACGGTATATCCAGCGTGCGAGTTGGCATCGCGCTAATCCGAGGAAGATATTAAGGCTCCGTCCCGGTTTGCTCGAGCAGCCACCTGGCCCTCATCGGTACTATCGCCAATTCCAGCACCAAAAAGAGAAAGAAGTGGATATGACTGTCCTGTATAAAGCCATCGATGTCTGGACTGTGTATAGCGTGTTCATGAGTGGCCTGAAGCCGTTACTGTCGCTGTTCCGACTGCGAGAGCAAGAAGACGAGGAATGGACGGTCGATTTCTCGTGCTGGGAAGTGCCGTTTACGCTCTACCCTTCGCGTCTCCTCGCTGAGAAGTTCGCAAGGTACTCAGCGCGACGGTCGCGCGGCTATTCTCCAGCGGCTCTGCTGAAGGTGTGTATCACAACCAAAACTCTGAAGGATAAATTGAAGATTAAAGCTTTCGGTGATGGCGAGGGGAAAGGAAACGAAGAGGAGTGGAAGAAAGTTGTTTGGATTAATAGGGTGGAGGAGGACCCGGCGATTGATGTGGCGAATGGAGTCCCGAATCCGGTGGCGGATATGTGGGGGCTGGATCTTGTGGTGGGGAAGGTGAGCTGTAATAAGGGGAAGGCGATTGTTAAAATGGCGAGTTGGGAGGAGATTAGTGGGGATAATGTGTTGATGGTTGATGGAGGTGGTGGATTGGAGACTGCGGTGCAGTATTCGTTCTTAGGTGAGGATTGCTTCCTCGAATTGGACATGGATGCGCGGTTGGAGATAGCCCATGTGAGAGGTTGTGAGGGATGGATGAAGTAGCTGGATGTTTGTACTTTTTGGGATTCGGAACGCCATTAAGTTGTGAAGGAAACTCTTGATCCTAATAGTTTCCGTGACAAGAGCAAATCCCTAGTTCAATGCGAACTAGAATGACGCCGATGATCACGTGATAATCGATCACATGATATACCGGGACCCTCAATCTTCTTTCTGCGGGATAAAAGCTAGGGACTTGTACAAGGAAATGTGAGAGAACTTCTCAGGCTCTCATGGCAAGATTCAGCGAGGCAACTGCAAACCTCAACTACCCTTTTAAAAGAAGTATCCTCAAAAGTAAGCTTGAGCCTCGTATGATGTCATCATCCAAGCAACTGTTTGATGTGCTGAATGGGACGAGAAGGCAGGACGAAACGGATGCAAGAGATGCCGCTCTGATATAAGCTCGGAGATATCTGCGCCAGCTGTTTGACAGTTTTCTTGTGTATCGCGCAAACCCTTTCGACCGGCTGCGACTATGTAGGGCTTGTTCTAGCGGCGTTCCCCTCTGAAGGCTGTTTGGGAAGAGTGGAAACATTACAAATGTATCTAGTGACTGGTACGAAGGTGGTGAAATGACAACACTGGCAGTCATATAGTCTGTCACGCAAAATCAAGGGCTTGTAAATCATCGGCCGTATTTATTTGATTCCTAAATAGGGCGGATTACAGGGGCAGGCATGCCATTTTGTTCTTCGAAAGCTGAAGTTGAGAAGCAGAGCCGTCCGCACGGCTTGGCTTGCTGGGCTGAAGTAGGTGTGAGACCCAAGCCAAGGCTTTGTACAGTGAAATGTCTCTTGATGCTGCCGAATTGGGCCCTTTCTCTTCCACTGACGAGAAAATGTCTGATGGCGAAACGTGAGAAGGAGGCGCGTACGTACTGTAGGTCTATTGTGATTTGACATGAGACGGGGTGATGTTGCCTCTTGCATGGCCGGTGGCATGACGTTTCTGTATTCCTTCTGGATTTTGCATGATGACCACGGAAGAGTTCAGCCCAGCTTGGCAAGAGAATCGAAGCATAGGGGCCGTCTTACCTAATGGCTCACTAGATTGCCAATCACCAGGGTCACATCACAGTATCAGATAATCAGATAGCACAAATTGCCCGCTGCGTACAGTAGTGATGCTACTGTACGGAGTACTCATCACGGTGCAGCCTCTCGGTCTTGGCTCACAAATCTGCGATAGCGTAATAATCCTCAGGCAGACCTCGTAAAATCGGGTTCTCGTGAGCAGCTCTCGAAATAGCGGCCAGTCGCAGCAGCCGCCTTGCAACGTTTCGATCCAGTGGCAAGCCGCGGCTGCTGCCAGGCGTCGACTGCGCAGCTCTGTGGCTTTTCCGATTCGACGTTGTCGTTGGCGTCGCAGGCGTCCGCTGTTTGACCCCTCAGCCGGAGCGTGGAAGGGGGGAAGGGGGGAAGGGGGGCAGAGGCGTGAAAAAGGCTCGTGAAAATCGGCTCAGGGTCGGCACGCTAAACCCCTTTCCGCCGAGTTGCTCGGCCAGGATACTGAGGACGCCAGGAGATAACAAAAGTTGGTTAGACAGGGAGGAGGAATACGCAAGCCCCCCCAGAAATCGGACTTCGAACATCGAACATCGGACATCCAAACCTTTCGTTCTCGAACGCAAATCAACTGCACCACCACACTCGTTCAGCGCAAGCACATCCCCACCCAAACTCATCAATTGACGACACCAGGACCTCCGAACACTCAGTCTCTGACATCCCACATTCGTTTGACATCGCGACCCAGCTATTGGATCTTGATCAATGCCTTCGCAATTGCCCACACCACCCCATCTCTGAACCTCAACCAGGAGAAGGCTCGCTCTGCTGAGAAGCTCGAGGCCTCACCAGAGTGTTGTTTTCTGTCCATCCTCATGGGTAAATGTATGTCGCGACCCCCAGACTGACTGCATCCGACAGCTGCTGATCCGATTTCCAGGGCGATGGGGCGTGATCCTGGACGCGGGTTCGTCAGGGACTCGAGTCCACGTCTACAAATGGCTCAATCCAGCCAAGGCAAGAGAGGATGCCGATACCGAGCATCTACACCGTCTGCCGAAGCTGAAAACCAAGCCCGAATATACACACAAGATCAGGCCAGGTGTATCGACGTTCGGTGACAACCCAGCGGACGTCGGCCCAGAACATCTTCAGGAATTGCTCGACCATGCCTTGGAGATTGTGCCCGCGAATCAGGTCAAGGATACACCGATATTTCTGATGGCAACAGCAGGTGTTCGATTACTGGAACCGTTAAAACAAAAAGCTCTTCTCGGCGAGATTTGTTCCTACGCTCAAAGGCATACAGACTTCTCCTTACCCGATTGCGACCTCCATATTCAAGTCATCCCAGGAGACACAGAGGGTTTATATGGATGGATAGCGGCAAATTATTTATTAGGAGGGTTCGATAGCCCCCAAGCACACCAACACGGCAAGGGCCATCACACATATGGTTTCCTTGATATGGGAGGGGCATCAGCACAAATTGCTTTTGCACCGAACAGCACCGAAGCCAAAAAGCATGCCAATGATCTCAAGTTACTCCGAATGCGAACAATTAACGGAAACGCCGTGGAATACAAGGTATTTACAACGACTTGGCTAGGATTCGGAGTCAACCAAGCAAGGGAACGATACGTCGAGGCATTACAGGCCGAGCATTACACGACCCCCCACGAGTTGCTAGATCCGTGTCTACCCACAGGACTAAGGACAACGTTGGCTGGGGAAGTCGTAGAAGGTGAAAGCCCAGATACCACTATCCTGGGGCTTGGACAATTTGACAAGTGCCTCGCTAGAGCATATCCATTATTGGGCAAAGATTCTCCTTGTGAAGATGAGCCTTGTTTACTACATGGGCAACACGTACCGGCGATCGATTTCGAAGTCAACCATTTTGTTGGAGTTTCGGAATATTGGCATACAACACATGAAGTGTTCGAAATGGCACATAAAGACAAAGCGTACGATTGGGCAACTTACCAACGTATGGTGAAGGATTTCTGTAGTGAAGAATGGGACGACATCAAGGCCAATGTTGCAGCAAAGAAATGGGGCAAGAAAGTGGATGAGAAGACAGCACAAGAGGTTTGTTTCAAGGCCGCATGGTTAATCGACATTTTACATGACGGAATTGGGATACCCCGTGTTGGAATCGAAAAGAGCGCTGCTGGAATCAGCTACAACCGCACGAAAGAAATAGGCGCGCACGCCAAAGACAAAGGATTCCTCGACCCCTTCCAAGCCGTCAACAAAATCGACGACATGGAAGTCTCCTGGACGTTAGGGAAAATGGTCCTCTACGCAGCAGGTCAGATCCCCCCTTCGGGTGAAAATCTGCCCGTCGGGTTTGGCCCAAATCTAGGCCTAGGACCCTTCCAAGAAGCCGGCTCCAACTACAACCCCGTCCCCATCGGCGACGACGACGAATCTTGGTCCGAAGTCGCCGAGGACATGGCCGAGAAAGCACACTCGAGATCAACACCAGGCTTCCTCCTATTCATGTTCACGCTCATCTTCCTCTTCTACATTTTCCGGAAACGAGAGCGGCGCCTAAGACTCTACAGAGGCATCAACGCCACGTTCCGTCGCTCTCGCCGTCCTGGGTCGCCTCGCAAAGGAGGACGCGGATTTTTCTCTTCTAGTAAACTGTTCGGTAGGAGTTCAGGGAATTATGAACGGGTACTTGAAGACGGGATGCAAGCTCAAGATTTCGAGCTGGCGGAAGCGGATTCGAGCGATGATAACGAACACTCCGATTCCAGCGAGGGGTCCCGAATTGGGAGAACATCTGGCTTGGCGACGCCGAAAATGAATGTTGTTAACTTTGACTCGGCGAGTTACTTTGACGGTAGTTCGCAGATGGCAGCTCAGAGTGTGGGGCTGGGACTTGGCATGCATCAGGGCGGCTTGAGTGCTATGGATAGGAGCGGATTGGTGGTCCGGACGGAGAGCCGAGAGAGGCTGCAGATGCTGGGTGCAGGACGGAGGAGTAGAGCGGGCAGTCCGACGAGGATGAAAAGCCCGCTTATGACGCCTTTGGAGGAGGTTTAAATTGTAGTGGGATATTTGCTTAATACTATTAGCGCGGCGTGCTTGGAAGCGGCGTTCGGGACAATGGGTCAAGTCAATTCAAGGCACTTGTTTACTGGGTCCTGGGGCAGGCGGTGCATTCAACGGATGGATGGATGAAGGTTGCATAGCTTGAGCTTGTTTTGATTGGAATCGCGGCTTTGTGTAAATATAAAACTGCCTCTGGGTACTGTTAAGTTTAATTGAATAATGATGTTCGAGCAGTATCCCGGATGACGAAATGTAACCAGTCTCTACCACGGTAAGCTCCAATTGTAAACTTCCAATAGTCGGAAGTTATCAAAGCAATGGGTTCTACGTATGTTGAACGAATCCTCTTACTCGCCGCCCTTTCCCATCGATATGAAAGATGCTCTAAGTAGCGCACCTCAAGGACATGTCATGTGCATTTATTTGGTCGAGGGCCCTTTCTTCCCACCCAAGAACATGCAGAGCCAATCCACACAGGATCGAAAATATCTCCCTTTCCCTTTCAAGTTTCAACTCAAAGGAGGCACTCACTCTTTTAACCTTCTTTTCCCTTTCCCTGTATAGAGAACTCAAGGCCGTGCGAATCCCTTCTTCTTAAACCGGATAAGAGAAACTCATATTTGAACACTTGTGGATAGAGCAGGACCTGAGACTGCGATGGGGAGGGGGGTGAATGCGATGATAGTAGTGCAGTACCGGGTTGCAAAGACGCTTCTGCGTGGTATTCAAGCCTCCGCGCTTGCTGAAAGGGAGCACCAAATGACTCCCAGGAGGTATTGCCGATGGAGTAGAAAAGGGAGAGGGGGTAGAGACAAGGCGAGCGAGAAACAGGAGTTCTTATGCCTGGGAAATACGGACCGCAGTTTCCTAATACGCACTTGCTGTTTGATACTCTTCTCGGACAAATTAGTGATTATATGACGAAAAGATTTGTTTGGGTGGGTGAGATTGGGGATGTAGGTATGATGCAATGGAGACATAAGGTGGTTTGATGGTTGGTGTGTTAGAGGTACATACATGCAGCTAAAGGTGCCTCATACCGAGTCTTGAGTCTGCTGCTGTGCTTGTCAATCTGGCTCCTGCATTCGCAAATGGACCATTGCCTAAGAAGCCTGCTTATTACGCCTTCGTGCCATCGTCTCGTCATAGCAGTCAGCAAAGCTGCCTGGCCTGCGGTGCCTGTAGCTTTGGTCCTGAAACCGCCTTCTAACACCTCATCGATCACACCCTGCCCATTCTTCTCTTGGCTTCTCTCACCCAATACTCAGCACTTGGCCTTCTAAATCTCTCAACGTCTAAGCCACTCTTTCCCCCAGCCCCTTCACCAAACCAAAATCCCATATCTTCTCCTACAAACTCCTCAATCACCATCCCTTTCCAAAAATTCAGGATCACTCCTCACCCTCCCCTCAAACTTCCTCCACCACTCCTCAAACGCCTTCAATGGTACGACTTCCACCCCTGTCCCCCCTACATTCCCACTAAAGCTCGCTAGGAAGTTAAATGCGTTCTTGATGATCCTTTGCGCGAGGACTACTGTATCGACCTTTGATCCTCCTTGTCCTCCTCGATTAACTGGGACTAAAGCTTGTGAAGGAGATGTCGGGTTGGCGGTCGAGGAGTGTAAGGCAGCCATCTGTGACGCGACTGAGTCTGCGGATTCGAGGGATATGCCGAGTGTGATGTCTCCTCCTCCTCCTGGACTATCTTCTGGGGCATCCATATCGATTTCCCCATTCTGCACACCTTCCGCATTGGAAGCGGATAAGCCACTTATTTTGAATATAGCGCTTTCTTTCCCAGGACCGATTCCGCCTAGGAACTTGAATTGCGCCTGTTGAGGTGATTGGGAGGGTGAAGCAGGGAGAGAGATGTAGACTGCTGCTGCGGTGTTTGGTGGGAGGGTTATGCCGGGTAGGAGGAAGACGCAGATGTGGCTGAAAGGCTTTGTCGCGGGAAGTGTGAAGAGGAAGGATGTTGTTGAGGGGGCGGAGGAGGGGGTTGTTATGCAGGGCTGCCCGGTGGGAATCTGGGGATTGTTAGTCAGGTGAGGAATTGGGGGGGAGAGGGGGGCAGTGGCAGAAGAAGAGGAAGGAACATACGACCCCAAACAGCTGCGGGAGCTGTGCCTGCGCCATTGCTGTTCAATTGCTTTAGACCAGAATGCCCTTCTCTACTGCGTGAAACCAAAAGTTGAGCTGTTGAACACAACTTACGAAGCTAGGATCGTGAAGTGTGGTGGTACTTAACCCAAACTGTTGTGAGGCGAGGTGAGTTGCATGGTGGGGTTGTTCGACTGCCCCGCATTCGGAGAACTTCTGGAACAAGCTGGAATTTCGACACTGCAGCAACAGCAACTACAGCGGAACTGCATTTTTCGTACCCAATGAGAAATAGAAAAGATGAAGTCCAATTTAGACTTGATGGATGAGTGCGATGTGTAAGTCTTTCGTCTTTCATCTCAATTGGCGTTGAAAAGGAAAGGAAAGGTGGGGGTAGGGTAGCTGCTCCAGGGACATACCTGCCTCAAGAAGCTGTGCAACGTACCCCAGGTTCCATATCCCCATGCTGCTCACTATCCCATCTTTTTCAATTCATAAGTCACTACTCAGGAATGAACCTAACCTCCTGCCCCAGCTTCCCATACCCAGGAACGGAAGCTCACGCCTCCCTCATCCCAACTCTCTACACCCTCCTATCCCCCACCGGCACACCCATAGGCTACATGACCGAAGTCGTTTTCAACGCCCTGGTTAAAGTGCCCATCCACATAAAAGGCGAGCTCGAAGTAAACCGTTCTGCTCGGACGATAACCGCTTTCACCCAGCCGACTGAAAAAGAGCGCTCTTCCGCCGTAGCAGCAACCTGCGATTACTGGCGTGGCAACAAAACATTCGAAGTCCTAGCCGGATGGAGAGACGAGCTATACCCCGTATATGACGAGACGGTGGAGGGAGGGAAGGTATATGATATTGAACGGAGTGCATCCTGTTTGTTTGGCGTTGTGACGTATGGGATCCATATGACTGCTTATGTTCGAGCCAAGGATGAAAAGCATGGGATTAAGATCTGGGTTCCTAGGAGAGCGAAGACGAAGAGTACGTATGGGGGAATGTTGGATAATACTGTTGCGGGTGGAATTGAGTCCGGGGAGGATCCTTGGGAGTGTCTGGTTAGGGAGAGTGGAGAGGAGGCTTCGTTGCCGGAGGAGTTGGTTAGAGCGAAGGCGGAGCCGAAGGGCACGATTACTTATGTTTACATAAGAGAACCCAGAGCGGGAGGAGAAAGCGGATTGGTGCAGCCCGAGTGTCAGTATGTTTATGATCTCGAGCTTCCCCAGGAAGTCATCCCGAAACCGAATGATAGCGAGGTAGAATGCTTTTATCTCTGGAGTGTAGAGGAGGTGCAGGCTGCGATGGGGAGGGGAGAGTTCAAGCCGAACTGCGCGTTGCTTGTGCTGGATTTCTTTGTTAGGCGGGGGATTCTGAATGAGGGGAATGAGGGAAGTTATGGGGAGATTAAGAGGCGGTTGCATAGGGAGTTGGAGTTTCCGGGGCCGCATAGAGGGGCTTGAATTCACTGGCTATCTAAGGTATTCCCATTGTTCCGCAACGCCTCTGAACTTTTGAGATCCCAAACGCCATTGCCATGCTTCAGATGAAGAGGGAAGTGAATGTGACCGGAAGCTGCTGGATCAATGACCAAGCTGCCATCGCCATAGTTCCACTCGTAAATCGTACAATCGTGTTCCTCAGCTCTTGAATCTGCCAGTTGTGAGTCATAAAACGGTGGCTCGGTGTCACAAAAATCGAGGGCGTTCATTTTTTGAGAAGAAGGTAGACGTAATCGACTCGGAGAGGCGTAAGCTTCTTATACGGACCCTCAAGAGCCATCAGAAGACCACCGAACGAGATGTACGCCTTGCTGCTTCACATTAGCCCAGTTCCTTCATAAAATCTCACAAAACTTACATAGTCTGACCGTCCTCCCCATCCTCAAACTTGTAGATCTTCCCATGACAAACATAATCAAACATATCCGCCAACGTTGGCTCCGCACCATCTACGTTCCGGCCCACGTCTCTCCATCCCTTCCCATCATCCTTGGTGCCGTCGAGCGAAAGCGAAGAGGCAAGAACGCAGTGCAGTGTCTCGCCCACCTGGCACGGGTAGAGTTCCGTGTTGATGTCGAGTGTCATGACGGTTTGGTGGTCTGCAGAGGTTGCTCCATATCGTCCAACGCGATCGTACTTTGCGTGGTCTTCGGTGGTGATTGTGAAGGACTCGTCGAAGAGCTGGGTGTCACCGGCGGTCGCCATATTGTATCTGCCCTCGCTGATCAAGCGGCTCGGTGAAGTTCTTGTATGTGTAATAGTGATGTTTTCGGGGCGAATTGATCTGTTGTGCTCGAACTTCACAGACCTCGGATTTTTGCCGGAGTTGGAATAATGTTTATCCGGTGGATGCGGCCGCTTTGCCCCACTCCTTCGTTTAATTTGCCTCCAATGGACCAGGACTTCTCTGTACATTAAGACGTCAACGTTCCATCTAGCTGCAGGTGATTGTGTTCATCCACCTGCAGCTCTTGAGATGGCATCGTCGTTCCGGAAGAGGCACGTGCCTGTAAGGTCAGGTGGTTTGGTATCTAGTGAACCAAAGTCAGCCAAGCAAGAACTACCTAAAGGAGTGCGTCCATCGCCTATCGATGGTCGATCTACCACTTCCACAGGGACACGCTCTTTGGATGGCTTACTGGCGGGTCATGCTGGGTTGGCTTTGGGTACTTCTCTTTTGGTTGAGGAGAGCGGGACGACTGATTTTGGTGGCTCTTTACTTCGTTACTACGCAAGTGAAGGTGTTGTGCAAGGCCATCATGTTCATGTTCTGGGCATGAATGAGGTGTGGGGAAGAGACTTACCAGGTTTGGTTGAGGCAGTGTCTCGAAAGACTGCGCCTGTCGAGGTTGTCAATGAACGTGTCCTGTCTGGGACAATTGAGGGCAATGAAGATGCAGGTTCTGGGACTATCGGTCCAGGTACAAAGCAAGTTGCTGATGGAAGTGGTAGTGGAGCGGGAGAGAAAATGAAGATCGCCTGGAGATATGAAAGGCTTGGGGAGTTCGGACCAAAAGGTACGTCTTCCCCCTCGAGCGTGTAGTGCTCAGTGCTTGCACCAAAAATGGGATCAGCTGACGCTTGCGTACGGTTCACTTGCTAATTCAATCGACAGGACCGTCTACTTCAAGCTCAGGGGAAGTATTTTGCCATGACTTTGATCTCAGCAAACGTCTGGTGTTGCCTTCTCCATCCCTTATGTACTTTGTTCCCTCAACAGCCAAGCCAGACTTCGAATTTAGAGGCGGGAGCACCTCTGCATCTCCTTTCAACAGATTCTTGGACCACCTTATCACGCATCTATCCGCCTCTCCCAGCACGGCACTTCACCGCGTTGTTATTCCAAACCTCCTTTCTCCAGCACTCTATTCGTCTGAAGTTTCCAGGCCAGAGAGTATTCTGCAGTTCCTCCATGCTTTGAGAGCTCTGATACGAAAGTACTCGACACAACTTACAGCAATGATCACTCTTCCCCTAACACTCTACCCACGGAGTACAGGCTTGACTCGGTGGATGGAACTATTGAACGATGGCGTTCTCGAACTTGCCCCGTTCCCATCAACAGCAATTGCTACCAAAAGCACACCTGGAGCTTCGACTGTCCATGAAGAGCCGCCACAGGGAATGTTGAAGATCCATCGATTGCCGATTTTCCACGAAAAAGGGGGTGGCGGGGGAGAAGCGAGTGGACATGGCGATGATTTGGCATTTACGTTAAGCAGGAGAAAAGGTCTTGTCATCAAGCTTTTTAGCTTGCCGCCTGTTGAGGGAGACTCGGAAGCTCAACAAGGTGGACTTGAGCATGATCACGGGAAGGCGACGAAAGTTGATATTGAGTTTTGAGCTCGAGGACGCGAAAGTTTGGTGCCCGTTATCAGGATGCTGGACATGGACGATGTTGGCTCTGGAGTTTGGGGGAAATGTGGCGCATGGAATAGACTGGGTTTGGGTGCATAGCGTTGGCGTACGTCAGATGCAAAGGGGCTGCATATAATCGTGGTTCTCATCTTAGGAAGACTCGAAATTGGTCCCATCTCAGAGCGGATGGGATGCTCGACGATCCTCAGATTCAATGGAAGTTCGAGGGCTGTCTCCAAGCATATCTTCCATCTCAATTTGATTCCACGTGCCGTGACCGCTTGAAGTAACCGTTCTCAGATAATTTCGGTCGAACAATGCTTGACGCGGATTGATCGAAACATTGGAAAAGGTGAGTCTGAAATTATCTCCGAGACATGAGGACACAATCAACCAAGCTATTTCAGCATTAGAGTTATTATTAAAGCATGATATGCTAGAGAAGAGGGGGACACATGCCTATGAACAGGGCTAGAGGGACAGTAATGAGCAGAGCTAGGAGCCAGAGAGAAGCCATTGGATCTACTAGTATTCGAAGGGCTACAGAAATGTATGTCTCAAAGGTCTTCACGGTTTGAAGTGAATTGTGAAGTTTGTGAAGGATCAGGACCACGAGATGAGGTTGGAGTGTGCTCCAGGAAAGGAAAGGCGCGTTCAGGGTCCCGCACTAGCCGAGAATGAAAATGACTCCAAAATTTCCTCCAAACTACACCTTCTCCTTCCCACAAACTCAGGAAGGAGAATTCCGCAAACGCCTGGTAAGCCCAACCCTTCCTTTCTATTGTTCTCCCTTCGATATGATTACAAAACCGATCTGTCAATCCCCTGAAACCAGATTTTCTCTGGATATGATGTACCAATAATATGTTTTAATTCATGATCCATCGTCCCTCTACCACCACTTCGTCCTCGAACCTTGGCTCAAGCCCCATACTGACTTGACTTGAATACAGTGATTGCTTCTAGGTCTGTGGACCTGAGCCAGCGCAATGGCGGAACCGTATGACTCAATCTCTGAACCCATCCCGGTCTCCTTGATCGCTGGCCGATACTTGCTATTCGACGTCAATGTCGTGACTTACCTTCGCAGAACTCACAATATTTGCGGGTCTCTCATTGGCGGTATCCCACAGCATCCGCAGCAGAATGTCTTCCTTGGTCTCCCTGTCGAGTTAATGCCCGAAGAAGCAACGTTGCTTGTAAAGAAGGAGATAGGTTACATTGTTGATGATGTCGCGTGGCACACACAAAGATTCAACACCTTCGTTGGACAGGATAGGCAGAAATACTTGGCTTCTCTGAGATCCCAAGGTCTGAAAGCCCGCAGGGTTGCGCAGAGTGACGCGGTGAAAAGATCAGAACATCATTTGCGGAAGAAGGCTACTGAGAAGGCGAGAGAGAAAGCAAAGAAAGGCGCAGATGCCCCGGAAGACGGCACTCCAGACATATCCTTGGATGACAGCACTGCAGACTCGCCAGAAGCACTCTTCGACTCCGATCGGGCTCTTTCACCAGTCCCGTCAAGTACTGCATTTGCTTCTACCGAGCCATATGCCGTCACTCCCTCCACCAGTTACTCTTCCTCTGAGTTACCACAGAATATTTCTCTGCCTCCAGATCCTCCTGCCGTCCCAGGCTACGCTCTATTCGAACACTTACATTCGCACGGATACTTCATGATGCCAGGGCTACGGTTCGGATGCAATTTCAATGTGTACCCAGGAGACCCTTTGCGTTTCCACGCCCACTTTCTTGCATCTGCCTATGAATTTGACGAAGAGATCCCGTTGCTGGATTTGATAGGTGGTGGCCGATTAGGTACAGCAGTCAAGAAAGGCTTTCTAATTGGAGGTGAGGACCTGGACGCAGAGGCAGAATCAGGAAGGAAGATGAGAACCTTCTGTATTGAGTGGGGCGGCATGTGAGAGTCAGATCTTCCACTGGAAATCCAGACTTGCTGCCATGATGGACCCGGTCTCAGTTTCCAGGGATTCATGAAGCAATGACACCATAGATAGATACCCAATGATACCCTCTTCAGAATTTTCAGTCTTGTGAGATGTTTCGTGACTTCTGCGGCCCGGGTTCAGCACCCCTGATTTTTAGTTGCTTCGGAGCAGACGGCCCGAACGTGGGGAAACCTTCAAACCGGATCTGGTGGATGGCCGCATGTTTATCAACTCTTTAGAAACACGCGACAATCAAGAGGTTATTGGTGACATCTTTCTGATCCAACACCTACTTCTATTATTTGGGAATGCGTTCTATTCTTCAGCTAATGATTCGATGACTGAAGACCACCACTGCTGATAATCTGCGGCACCAGCAGTCATCGTTCCCCCACGAGCTCGGTCAGCGCCACGATACCCTTTGCCATGGCCGCCGCAGTATTCGACCATACCCACAAGTTAGATGTTGCTTCGTGGAACTGGACAAGTTTCAACGCCTCGCAATATGTTCCCTCAGCGAAAGACCTGGCTCTCGCAGGCCCGCGAATGTTCATGAAGCTAAGCTCCTTCCTTGCTGTCCCGGAAGCTGTCGACAACATATTTGGCTTGAGGGTTGGATTGGGACAGCGGATTATACCTGAAGCTACGGGAGGAGCTGGGGCAGGAATTGTGGATGCGGCGACTACGGCTGCTGCGGGTGGCATGGCAGCAAGAGAGGCAATGAACGCGGGAACACAGATGGTGATTGATATGGATGACGCGGGGAATGGCCTGGCATCAAAGTTTACTCTGGAGGGGATTCGCAGCTTGGGGAATGTCTTCAGCTATGCAACTAGCAAATGGGCTCTGGGTTGTGTCATAATCGCTGTCGTCCTCAACCGCACGTATTGCTACGCCTCTACAAGACGGAATCTTGTCCTCCCATGGAAAATCCGCGTCCTCCTTCGAATTTCACCTATCATCCTTCTTGCGGTACAGGCTCGGTCTCTACTTCAGTCAATACAATGCCAAACTTCTCCGGACTTCGGTATGCTGCGGTGGGGAAACGCTTCCAAGACGTCAGACCTACTCTTTACACAGAACGGGGGATTTCTGCATGAGCTCAGTCAGACGCTCTTGTTTGGAGCAAGTAATGAGGAGTCATGCTTAGCCGTTAGTATGATACCCCCCGACTACGACGAGGAAGTTGCCAAGGCATCACCAGATGGGTTGATGCCAAAAGCGGACTTGACCGGATCGCTGTCCCTTCTGTGGCCCTTGTTCAAGACTTTCGGGTTTAGTCAGTGGGTAGAGACAATCTCTTGTGCAGTTCAAGGGCGGCAGGTAGCAGCTGAGACCGGAATGACCCTGTTTGAGCACTCGCTGGCCTTCGCCGAGGCTGATTCGCAAATCGGCAGTCAACTCGGCGCTTTTGGGTCTTTTGGAACTACGAAGCGTGTCTGGGCGAACACAACTTCTCACGATGAAGCAACTCAAATCGCAATCACACGTACCATGATCATGAAGAAGGTCAATACGGCTCCTGAAGTGCTGTTCGTAGGCTTCTTATCGGCTATGAATCACCTTACGAGTCACTTTCTTGCAATCTTCAATCTTCAAGGGAAGCTACGGTTGCTGAGTACTGGATTCTGGGGCTTGTCGTTCATGTCAGCCATCGTTTGGAGTGTTTGGACGTTCTCAATCGACGACTTCGAGAATCAGAGCCTCCTACGATTCCCAACGGTATGCATCGTTGGATTCATTCCACATGTGCTGGTCCTGCTTGGAATTCTAGCATGCGGAGCTATTTACGGGGCAGCTCTGCTATTATCTGCCCTCTCTCCTCCCGCGGTCGAGGAAGGAAGTGCGGATGACCAACCAACCCCTACAAACACATGGTCCGCTTTTATGAGACGGCTGGCATTTGCGCACCGAAACATGCAATCAAACGGGACATTGATGTCGAGCCTTCGGATCACTATGCATATGGATTTCTATACCGCTTTGTTGAGAACAGGGTTTGCGGTCATGACTATGGCGAGTGAAGCAGTATATTTGAACGAAAGCCGTGGAGTTAGTGTCAAGCAACGGACGTGGCTGGAAGAGGATAGATTACGAGAGCTCGAAACCGTCGGAGCTCAATGGCTTGGGCCAACATTTAGAATCCATGATCCGGATTCTGGTCTTGCAGATGGGTTGGCAAACAATGTTGGGCTTGTGGCAGCTAAAGACCAGCCAATGGATCTGCTGCAGAAGTCGTCAAGCGGGTATGCTAGAGAGATGACAGCAAAGAAAGTTCCAAAGCTTTCAAGAGGACGAGAGCCAGCTGGAATGCGGAATGGAATTGGTGCTACAGAACGAAGTGGGAGATGGGTCATGGCATTGGAGTTCTTCATTGGTATTAACAGGTTGTTGTTAAGCTGGTGGGCTTCTGTTGCTTTGAAGCTGCTAGGTATTGCTGGAATCCAGAGCCGACCTCGTTGGCTTCTATGGCTTGTCAAGCATCCAAGATCGACTCAAGCAGATGCTAAGCCACCAGACAGCAGCGATCCTGAGTCATTGAATTTCTGGCTCTTGAGCATCGACGGAGAATTGACTCTGCCGAAGGATGAGAATGTTGATGTCGAGGCGGAAATGAGGAACCGACTTCGTGAGAACCAGGGATACTGGAATGATACTGAGGAGAAGAAGTTGGATTCTAACTTATATAAATGGTGGCTGGGTGGTGGATGGTGGGGCTCCGATGACCACAGTGGAAACTTCAATCCAAACGAGAAGGAATTGGATGAAGATATGACCAGTATTGTATCATTCTCCACTACAGAAGACGAGCAGGATTGGATTTCAGATGACAATGATGATGGACGAAGAACACCAACTCAAGAGTCGCCCCAGTTCTCCAGAGAGTCTACTCCTTTCCTGGACACACCTCTCAACCCCGCCGACCTAGCACAACTTTTGCATCCCAAAACCCCCGAGCAGCGAGCTGAAGCCCAAGCTCTATCCGCACACCTTGCAAGCGACAGCATCGTCACCCGCTCTCGCTACCGCAACCTCCTCCAACGCGAGCGAGCCAAAGTCCTAACCTCCACCCGAGAACGACCCGAAAACTTCACCGCCTCCTCTGCAACCGGCAAGCTGACCCTCGAAGAAGAAGCTCAAATCCTCGAGCACCTCATCATCTCCCGCCGAAACTTCCACAACGCCACATCCTCATCCTCAAAACCAACATCTTGGGCAAAAGGTGCATCCGGGATGGGCGAAGGCGGGCCGCAATGTGTGGTCTGCCAGAGCTCTCCGAGAAGTATCATCGTTTGGCCGTGTCGCTGCTTGAGTTTGTGTGATGATTGCAGAGTTACGCTTGCGATGAACAACTTCGATAAGTGTGTTTGCTGCAGAAGGGATGTGGCGAGCTTTAGTCGGATTTTCGTTCCATAAGGTCCCGTCGAGTGTCAATTAGGATATTTGGGAGGTTGGGGTCTGTGCATACGATACGGGTAGGGATTGGAGTTTGGTGCATTGCTAGGGTGGATGAATGATGCATGAAACAAGCGTGCAGTTCAGTTAAACTGTGTACCGATCCGAGGCAGCGCGTTTCTCTTTCTTGTGTAGTTATTAGCGGCTACGGTACATACAATAAGCGTGTGAGAGATACTACTATGAAATCCATTATTTGCCAAACGTTCTCTTCCGTCCTACCCATTCTCTCGAACCCGAACCTCAATCTCAACAAAGTCTGGCGAGAACTTTGCATTTACACAGATTTCCTCGGCTTCCCGCCCTGCTCCCACGCCTCAACAATACTATACTCATTTCCCCAATAAGCAGGATATCCATTTTGAATCACCACATTTCCAACTGGAATCATGCCCTCCCATGCTCTGCCATCACTCGGTGGCATGTATCTCGGAACCGCAGCCCCATTCACACGCCGTTGTCCACCAACACTCCTTCCTCCATACCCATTATTGGCACCATTCGTTCCCTCTTCTCTCGTCTCTCGTCCTCCCCCAACCACTCGTTGTGTGGGGACAAGAGCAGTCTGTTGGGAAACAGAAGAACAACCCGGCTTCGCCTTTCGCAACTTGGCAAGTGGAACTTCGTCCTCGGAATCCCAGCCCCATTCTGTATCACTGCCACTTCCGCTCTCCCATCCTGCGCTGTCATCTTCGTCTTCCTTCTTGATCTTCCATTTCTTCACTTCCAATTCGTCCTTCTCTGCCTTGACCCCCTTTCCAACGTTCCCAACACTATCTCCCTTAAAACCGCACTCTTCCTCATCCTCACCCTCACCCTCCCCTCCACCTCTGGAAGTTCTCTTCCTCTTTAGCTTCTCAGAATGGCCGAAGTTGGGAGAAGTAGAGGAAGAGTGGTGGGACAAGAAGGGTGTACCGTGCGTTCCGATCAGTGTTCCGCTTTCTATCTGTCGACGGAGGCGCGTGTAGCGCATCCTGGCGGCCGGAGGCTTGAGGGAGGTTGCGTGGCCTACAGCTGCGAAGTCGATCTTGAGAGTGTCAGCCAGCATCCACTAGTATTTTGAGCTTGAACTAGAGAGAAGTGGGCTGAGAAGGGTGGTGGGAGATAGGGGGTTTGGGTTGGTATGAGGGATGGGAAATGGGAAATGGGAAGGGAGTAAAGGGGACGTACGGATTTCATATCGCTTTTCTGGAGGCAGATGTATAGAAACCAGAGGTTTTCGTCGAGTTGGATTTTTGAGGGCATGCTTCTGAGCTTTGGGGAAAGAGAGCGTGAGTGGAATTGAGACGTGGGATGAGCAGGTCCAGCTGGTGATTGAGAGTTTTGCGAGGTGTGATCTGGTTTGAGTTGAGTGTGATATCGGGTGGTATGCGGAAATGATGAGAATTGAGAGAAACAAGTTGAGAAAGGGTGAAGATATACGAGTAGCGAAAAGGGGTCCCGTTGGATGGACAAAGAGAAAGCTGTTTGCGCTTGTTGCTGCTTCTTACCTGAGATCAGAGAGAGGATACACTGATTGAAACCCGTACACAAAGGTTCTGGCAGGAGGTTGCAGAGGAAGCAAATATAAACCTGACATTGGATGCAGACAACCTTCATCTGAAAGAGATGTCGAAACCCAGCTAGCCAGACAATACTCCAACGCCGACACTAGACGTCCAAATGTCCAGTACAATGCACCCATTCTGTTTCCTAACGCCACACACATATGCATCATCATGAACTCATGATCGACCTAACTTCATATCCGCAGTCTCCTTTAATGCAGCCACAAGTACCCGATGTGACCCCAAAGCAGCCTGCACCGCATTATCTGCCAGCTCCTCATACGAAGAACTCTGCACAGCCTGATTGCCAATATCTCCTTTGACCCACAAGTCCGTAATCTCATCCCTCGCAGGAAGATACGCCACAATAGCAGCCGCCAAAATCTCCTGATGCTCAGGAGGAACAGGATCCAATACCAACGCAGTACTCTGCTTTCCCTGCCCTCTAACCACAGCAGCAACGCCCCCAGAAACAACATCCACGCAGTCAATGCCAGCATCGGCAATCGCAGCAGAAGCAACGGTTATGCAGCCGCTGAGAACACTCATCATTCCCCATTCTCCAGCCGTGACTTGGCCCCGTCCTCGATCGTCGCCCCACCATTGGTCTTCTTCTCCTTCTAGAATGGTGATTATGACTTCTACTCCGCTTTTTGGCCAGCGGTCGCCAATAATCACGCCTCGTAATGCTGTTTCCAAGTGCACCCCTAGATCTCTTTCACTCGAATCCCGCAGGTATCCTCTTCGTTTCCGTGTCGCAAAGGGGGCATATTTGACGTGTGTTGAAAGAATGATATGAGGGGAGAATGGCGCCGATTTTGGTAATGGTCGTGGGCCGTGGACGGTACATGTGAGCTTCAAGCCGGATGTGGAGAGGGACGCAAGCCCAGGTGTGTTGGTGTTTGTGGATTTTGAGGCTTCGAGTTCGAGGTATGCTGATCCTGAAGCTGAAGGTGTGACGCCTGTCTTCAGAACTATTACTTGTTAATATATGCCTAATTTTCTGAGCAGGCTGTACGTACACATTTTCCTGAGGACATTTGGGGCTCTTGATCTCATTGGTCTCTCTATTTGCGTCGAGGCGTCTTTGGTTAGGTACTTCGAATAGACTGGTGCTGAGGTCCCGCCCGAAGGCCCATTGATCCTCCTCCTGTCCGTCATCTTGAATGAGGTTGTGTGAGACTGATGAGCTGCTATCGATCATGCATTGTTTATTTCAAGCGTAGTAGAATTCCAACCAAAAAGTAAAGTTCGGAAAATCCGTCGGGCCGCCTCTGTTAGCGCGGACAGGGGTCCCAGCTTCCCGCCCTCAAAAATTCTCGAGCTCTTGAAGTCCCACAACCACCAAATTTCTTGATCACAGCCAACTTCAACGGCACCACCCTGCTGCGCATGCGCTGTCTGGCAATGATGCCAGAAATTGCTACCATTTGTCTGCCACTAATATCTGATGTTGTTCCACGAACATCACAGCTTGGTAAGTACCAATTGATTTCTCTTTCGCTGTCATGCTCCTGATGATTTCCTTCACACCAGTTCTTAGGCGATCTCCTGAGCCACTGAACAACATGCATCACCATCTGAAGCACTTCAATTATATCTGTCTGCTGTTCTAGTTGGGATCAATCAATCGCTGACCTGTTGGCAAGATAGGATCTGTCACCCAGCACCGCCGCGTGAAGAGCGCCATGATCAGTGAGAACTGTAGCCCTGCCAAGTATGATCGAAGCATCGAGCAATAACATACCTGGACGCAAATTGGGAGCATATACTCTTACGAGCTTGGCGTGATAACGGTCAGTACGATTTGATTCTCTACGAATCCATTCCTCTTTCATGATGAAAACAATTTCAATCAGTTCTGCTTCTGAACTCCTTGATGACAACCAAAATACCAAAAACTTTCTGAATACCTCCTGTCGAATGTCTTCTTCAATTGTGTTCTCTGTACGAAAACAACGAGCTGACCTCACACAGACCAGATCTGCATCATCTCACCAGACTTACCAAAGGTGCGGCGTGCCTGTCAATCCCTTTACCTCTTGCCCTGATGATCACAGCTTATCCATTCCCTGAATGCTCCTCTTCCAAGCTCTACTCCCGCACCGGACTAGTTGATCTTCGGATTGATTGGGATGATCGGTTGTGGAGATTTGCGCTTCAGTGCTTCGGTTCTCTGCATTGCGTCTTGTAATGTGGGGTTCAGTCGCCGGTCGAGGTGCCTGATTAAATCGGCTTGTCTGAGCATTCTTCTTTTCTAATTTTCAGTTCACATGAATCTGTTCATGCACGCGCTAATTCTTCAGTTTAGGATTCTCGGATTTCTGTCAACGACGGAGAGTGGGCTGGAGGGATGTATGTCTTGCAATGGACTTTGGTCTTGTATCTTTACAGCTAGATCTCCAGCTTATGAGAGAAGATTTAGACGCAGACCCACTCAGCCAGACTCGGGATAATTGTCGATCAGACACTAGATATATCCAGAAACATTGTAAGTTGCAAGTATATATAGACTAGAATTCAGTAGCGATAATTGCTTTACACGTGCCTCTGGATTCTCGGGATCTGATTCTCACTTTCGTTTGTGAATCCAAAGATATCTTCTTCCTTGCTTTTTTGTGACACATGGAATGGTGATTGTTGGTTGCACGAAGTTCCGATGATGCTTCCAATCAAATAATGCTTAAAACAATTAATAAGGTTTGGCGGCGTATAGAATAACATCTCTTGACGCCAACACCCCCTTTCACTTCGGATGGAGTGTGGGGAATAACACTGCGCCTGCTTACAGCATTTCGGCTGACGTTGAATCTTGCTCCCTGGGGTGAGATCATCGTGAGGGTTCTAAATTGGGTTGCGCGCCTGGCGTCTGTTTCACATTTTTAGGTGCAGCAAATGCAAGCAAGCGAGCTGGTCTCCTTAGAGAAATAATTCCGCCCGAATCTTTCTCCCCATGCTAAACTTCCATTCTCACGGCCGAGCCAAACACGCCGATGAGGTTCACTCCTTCAACATTGTCCCTCGAATCCGCCACGTTCCGCACTTCACCTCGTGCCTATCCTGGTCGATCCAACAATCAGAGGGCAGGACGGCCCGGGACGTGAACACGAAGCCAGCTCAAATCGCCAGGCTGGCTAATTCAAATTTCTCAACCATATCCTTGCACGTCGTCCGCGCATCTCCTAATTAGAAGGCTCTCAAGAAGATGCTACCACGTCATCATGCGAGCAATGGCTATCCACAAGGGAAGAACGAGTACAAGGAGACGTACTCGATAAGTCCTCATAGGTACACGCAATCCCTTCAAAGCGTCAACAACCTATCAATTTAATTCTAATGGACTTGCGCATACAGATTCCAGCCCAGAACAACGCCTGCAGCCCTCCGGCGGCGACGGCAACTTCTCGTTCGATTTACGCTCATTGTAGTAGTTCTCCTATTTGGATTTTTCGTATGGCCCGGGGCCTCAATACTTCCAGTCCTTTCACTAGGCTTGATGTCTTCCGGCGAGGATTTCCAGCTCGAAACAGTACGGTATTATGATCTTTCGAATGTTCAGGGAACGGCGAGAGGTTGGGAAAGGGAGGAACGGATACTGCTTTGCGCGCCCTTGCGTGATGCTGAGTCCCATCTGCGAATGTTCTTTGGACACCTTCACAATTTCACATATCCTCATCACCTAATAGATTTAGCGTTCCTCGTGTCGGATTCCAAGGATCAGACATTACCGCTGCTTTCTCAATTGTTGGAAGAGCTCCAGGCAGACGAGGACCCGAAGCAACCATATGGGGAGATCTCGATCATCGAGAAGGATTTTGGGCAGAAGGTCAATCAGGACGTTGAGAGTCGTCACGGGTTTGCTGCGCAAGCAAGTCGAAGAAAATTGATGGCACAAGCAAGAAATTGGTTACTCAGCGCAGCATTACGGCCTTATCATAGCTGGGTATATTGGAGAGATGTGGATGTTGAGACTGCACCGTTTACGATTCTGGAAGACTTGATGCGCCATAACAAGGACGTTATTGTACCCAGTGAGTCCCATGCCTTCCGCTGAAGATATGATCTAACAAGTTTTTAGATGTCTGGCGACCACTTCCGGACTGGCTTGGCGGCGAACAACCTTACGATTTGAATTCATGGCAAGAATCAGAGACAGCATTGGCATTAGCGGATACCTTGGACGAAGATGCCGTCATTGTGGAAGGTTACGCAGAATATGCTACTTGGCGGCCTCATCTTGCATACCTACGGGACCCATACGGAGACCCTGATATGGAAATGGATATTGATGGTGTGGGTGGTGTTAGTATTTTGGCAAAGGCCAAAGTGTTCAGATCTGGGGTCCACTTTCCTGCATTCAGTTTTGAGAAGCATGCGGAGACTGAAGGATTCGGAAAGGTCAGATTCTCTGATCCTCAAGTGTCACAGAAGCTAATCTTATGCAGATGGCGAAACGTATGCAATTCTCTGTTGTGGGATTGCCACATTATACGATCTGGCATTTGTACGAGCCCAGTGTGGATGATATTCGTCATATGGAGGTTAGTCATATTCTACCTCATGGATACGTAGTCACTAACAGGCTTTAGGAAATGGAGAAGGAACGCATTGCCCACGAAGAAGAAGAGAAAGAGCGTGTGGAGCGCATGAAGAAGATCAAAGAGCAGTTCACGGATCCAAATAGCCAATGGGAGAAGGACAAGACAGATATTCAGAATGAAGCTATGAGAGAGAAGGCTATAGAGAAAGCGAAAGCAGAAGCTGCAGCTAAGGAGGCTAAATTGGAAAAAGAGTCAGAGGCGGCGCCAAAAGAAGCGACGGGGGAATCGAAAGTTGAGTCTAAGGCTGAGTCCAAGGCTGATACCAAGGTCCCGGCAAAGGCTCAATAGATCAAGAGGGTAAGAGCAAATCCAAGCCTTTGTCCAAAGGCTCTAGTGCTGACAGAACACAGGTCTGAGGGAGCTCACTGAAACTCCTCTTCATTATCGCATTATTTTACCCCGTTCACCGGGTTTAGTTCTCACAAGAAGCGACAGAAGCTTCGGGCCTGCTGTAAAATTATAGATCTGCAGCAGCAGATATGACTTTCGGATATAGGAACACAAAGCGTGGGGTTCGGATTGCATACACTGGGGTCTGTCTGGAGATCTCGGTATGCTTGCTAAAAAGGTGGCACCATTAAACTTGCTCCTTGTAGTAATTTGGGTTGGAGTTTGTATGATAGACAGGCGTATCAAAAATGCCATTCCATGTTATATGGAAACTAAATAATCGACTTCTATCTAGAAACGTGCACCTCTTTTCAACTTAGTAACCCGCTCATCCTGATGTTAAGGTCACGTGCCAGGCAAGTATTGAGAACACCTTGAACCCTCGGGAACTTTTTGAGGCAGGATATTATTTTTTGGACACCCTCCAACGACAGCTCCACAGCTCGGCGACTTTGGCAGTCAATCGACACCTGTCTACTGCCTAATTACTAGTACAAGTCGCCCTAATCCATAATATTCAACGTGGCATCGATGTTGCGCCAGTATCGAAGCCAGTATGAGCAATGATGCCCCAGCCGTGAATTCGCAAGCACTAGGACCGAATACAGATTCTCCAACACCATCTCTACGTGGCCTCGGTTTGTATTCGATCAAAAAGAACAGATGGGAAAGCCTTGAAGCTGCACAACTCGACGACGATACCATGAGCTCGAGAACATCACCCATATCTGTGGCGGTCGACCCCGTGGCCTTGATCACCACAGAATGTATTACAGTCACATCTGCCATGCGAAAGCATGCAAGATGGGCGCATTCTTCGGTGTCTGCGATCCTGGGCGGAAGCTCCAGCCCCATGAATCCCAGCATGCAAGGCTCCAGGCCTTCAACACCTCGAGATGAACCTGGACATCGAAAGGGACACAAGGGCAGGTCTTCGTCTGGACTTGGAGGAGATGTCTTCGATGATGGAGGACTGGCAAACAGATGGGGTCTACGTGGAAAGAAGGGCAAGAGCATGCAAGATAATCCATTAATGGCTGGGTTCGGGAGGCTGAGGCGTGAACTGACTGGCTGCAAAGGTACGTTCAAGCTATTACCTAGGCACCTGTATACTAACTTGAGAACAGATATTCACAAGTTCGATACGCCATCCTTATTACATCCTTTCCTCCAAGTGATTCAAGCTTCTGCGACCTCTGCCCCAATTACTTCTCTAGCCCTCGTAGCTATCACAAAATTCTTCTCGTACAACCTCATAAGCCCAGACTCGCCACGGCTTGCATTAGCTATGCAGTCTCTTTCTGCTGCTATAACACATTGTCGATTCGAAGCCAGCGATACATCTGCTGACGAAATCGTCCTCTTGCGGATATTGAAGCTTATGGAGGGGATGCTGTCAGGGCCTGGTGGAGATCTACTTGGCGACGAAAGTGTCTGCGAAATGATGGAGACGGGACTAAGCATGTGTTGTCAGTCGAGATTATCAGAGCTTCTTCGGAGATCCGCCGAGATGTCCATGGTCAAGATGACCCAAGTAATTTTTGAAAGGCTGAAACACTTGGAAATCGAGGCTGGAGACGATCTTCAGGCTTTGGACGAGAAGACCAGGGAGGATATGGATACAGTGAAGATGGATCCTTCGGCCAATGGCAATGATGCTATCAAGTCCTCACTTGCAGCCCCCCCTACCGAGTCAACACCATCTTCAAGTTTTGACAAAGCGAGAAATGGAGCTCTGACTGCATCTTCTGCAGACAATGCTTCGGAAGTTGGCGTTGCCCCTGCTTCAGAAGCCTCTGATGATCCTCCTATAAAACCCTATTCATTGCCGTCAATACGAGAACTATTTCGAGTTCTCGTAGATTTACTGGATCCCCATGACCGTCAACATGCCGATGCCATGAGAGTCATGGCCCTCCGCATCATTGATGTAGCGCTCGAGGTTGCTGGCCCCTCCATTGCCAAGCACCCGACCTTGGCCACCTTGGCTGAAGATCGTCTGTGTCGATATCTGTTTCAACTCGTCCGATCAGATAACATGGCAATTTTACACGAGTCACTTATTGTCGCCGGCACCTTATTGGCTACCTGCCGTGGAGTGCTGAAGTTACAGCAAGAGTTGTTCTTGTCATATTTGGTGGCTTGTTTACATCCTCGGGTGGAGATCCCAAGAGAACCGGGGATAGATCCTTCTCTTTATTCGGGTGTGCCTCAAGCACCAAAGCTTGTGAAACCGTCAAACAGTGGGATAGCAACTCCTGTTCCTGTGAAGGATCGACAAAAATTGGGAATGGAAGGTGGATCACGGAAACCTGATGCCAGGGAAGCCATGGTGGAGAGCGTTGGTGCTCTTGCGCGGATACCAAGCTTCATGGTGGAGTTGTTCGTCAACTACGACTGCGAGGTTGACCGAAGCGACTTATGTGAGGACATGGTGGGACTGTTGTCCCGAAATGCAATCCCAGATTCGGCCACTTGGAGCACGACGAGCGTGCCACCATTGTGTCTCGACGCTCTTCTGGGTTATATCCAGTTCATTGCTGAACGGCTCGACGAGGAACCCAAGTATGATGGATATCCAGACCAGGACAGACTCCGTGAACAACGGAGGAAAAAGAGATTAATCATTATCGGCGCGTCAAAGTTCAACGAAAGCCCCAAAGCTGGGCTTGCTTATCTCCACGCTCAAGGAATCATTAAAGATGTCGACGATTCCAAATCAGTCGCGGCTTTCTTAAGAGGAACGACGCGAATCTCGAAGAAGGTTCTCGGTGACTTCATTTCAAAGAAAGGCAACGATGCTGTCCTCGAGGCCTTCGTAGGCGAATTCAACTTCGATGGCAAGCGGATAGACGAAGCGATGCGGGAACTCTTGGAATCATTTCGCTTACCCGGAGAGTCACCTCTGATCGAGAGAATCATGACCGTGTTTTCTGAACAGTATTGCGCAAGCGATATTCCAGAAGGCGTTGCGGACAAAGACGCTGCTTTTGTCTTGACGTACGCCATCCTCATGTTGAACACGGATCAGTATAACCCGAATCTCAAGTCATCGGCCCGCATGGGCTACACAGACTTCGCGAAAAATCTTCGTGGAGTAAACAACAAGGCAGACTTTGCCCCGGAATATCTGCAAGCCATTTTCGACTCTATCAAGGCGAATGAGATTATTCTTCCAGATGAGCACGACAACAAGCATGCTTTTGATTATGCTTGGAAGGAGCTTCTATTGAAGACCGAGTCGGCTGGTAGCCTTGTGCTGTGCGATACGAATATCTATGATGCGGATATGTTCGCAGCCACTTGGAAACCCGTCGTTGCGACTCTATCTTATGTCTTCATGTCCGCTAGTGACGATGCTGTCTTCTCAAGGGTCATTACAGGCTTTGATCAATGTGCACGTATTGCTGCGAAGTATGGTTTGAATGAGGCTGTTGATCAGGTTGTGTATTGCCTGAGTACCATCACCACCTTGTCGACTGAAACGCCATCAAATACTGCTTTGAACACCGAGATCCAGGTCGAGAAGAACAGTGTGATGGTCAGTGAGCTTGCAGTTAAATTCGGCAGAGACTTCAAGGCACAATTGGCCACAGTCGTATTATTCCGTGTCGTTACTGGTAGTGAAACTGTCATCAGCGACAGCTGGCAACATGTGAGCTTTATCCTTTGTAAAAGCACTACCTACCTGAAACTAATAATATTAGATTGTCCGCATTTGGCTGAACCTCTTCGTCAACTCCCTGATTCCTCCCTTCTTTGCGCCAAATCGGATGGAGATTCCTGCAATACCCTTGCAGAACCCTTCGCAGGTCATCGATCGAGGACAAAAGCCTAGCGAGGCTGGTTTATTCTCAGCATTCACATCATACATTTCTAGTTATGCTGCTGGTGACCCACCAGAACCTTCGGACGAGGAGCTAGAGAGTACTTTGTGCACAGTAGATTGTGTCAATGCTTGTTATATGGGGGACGTCTTCGCCAACGTCGTCAACATGCCCGCCAAGTCTTTGGTCCCTCTCGTCTCAGCTTTGCTCGCCGAGCTACCTGACGATCCATCGTCAGTAATCATAAGTGTCAAATCGGAGAATGACAATCAAAGCCCAGCAAATGGACAGAAACCGACATCCAGCGGGCCAGTCTACGATCCAGCGATGGTTTACCTCCTGGAATTATGTACTGTGCTTGCCCTTCGAGATGAAGAAACGGTTGAAAGGCTTGGTGCCGCTGTAGCGGGGGCTTTACAGAATGTTATGCGTAACGCTGCGAGCTACCATAGCATTCTGATCTCTAGAACAATGTTCTACTTGCTTCACTTGTTGCACGCTAGCTATGTAAGTGCCAACCTGTAGTATTTCTAGAAAACACTCTAACCTTTGCAGCAACACGACTTCATCCGCGTCCCAGTAGTACTCCACACGATATCATCCTTCAAGAAGGACCTCTTCGACAAATCTGCACCTCTGGTACTCCAGGGATTAACGCAGTGCATCAAAGAGCCCGGCCCTCTCAGAAACGAGATCATGACCTCGCCTGACTTCTGGGTTATCCTCCGGAGTCTCACACGAAATGTGAAGTCCGCACCAACTGTCTTCGAGATTCTCGAAGGGATAGCAGTTGGTTCGCCACCAACGATTATGGCAGATAACTATGAGTCTGCTGTGAAGCTACTGAATGACTTCGCGTCTGCTGGGAGTGTTGGATCGACAATTGAGCAGAAGCAGGATAGAAAAGCGAAGAGGGGTCAACAAGCTCAAAAGCAGACGAAGCCACATCCACAGGTCGATGCCGCAGTTGCAAGGGGCGTGAAAGCCATCACGATGATCTACTCCTTAACCACCCACATTCCAGTACTAATACAGCAATCCCACCTCGAGAGCAAAGAAGCCTGGGCAGCATATTGGTCTCCCATCTTCCGCGCCCTCACAACGCAATGCACGAACCCGTGTCGCGAAATCCGCCATCAATCTTTCACCTCCCTCCAACGCGCTCTCTTCTCCCCCGAACTCACATCAGGCGAACACGAAGAGTGGACCGCCATATTTGGCGAAGTCCTCCTCCCGCTCATCGTCCGCCTTCTAAAACCAGAAGTCTACTCCTCCGACCCAGTAGGTATGAGCGAGACGAGAGTGCAGGCCGCGACTCTGCTCTGCAAAACGTTTTTGCATTACCTAGAGTTGCTTTCGGAGTGGGATGGCATGTTGGATCTCTGGCTGAAGATCCTGGATATCATGGATAGACTGATGAATAGCGGGCAAGGCGATAGCCTAGTATGTTTTCCCCTTCCCATCTCTCCCCCTAATTACTTTATTCATACTAATTATCTTGTTCCGCATAGGAGGAGGCCGTCCCCGAGTCCCTAAAGAACATGATGCTTGTAATGGCTAAAGGCGGCTACCTGGTCCCCCCCTCCGAAGACCCATCGAAAGAGAAACTCTGGGTCGAAACCTGGAAGAGATTAGATCGCTTCCTTCCTGATTTGCGGAAAGAACTTCCGCAGCTTGCTGAACCTGAAGGATCGAAGGAGAAAGAAGAGGTGAAGAGCCCGGTTGTTGAGCAGGCGGCTGGTAAGGAGGAGAGTGCTGCCAAGGCGTAGAGATGATGGACCGGGTTGTGTAATAGATTTTGTACAGATAGAAGGAGGGAGGAGGAGAGAAGTTTCTTTGGTTTTGGATGAAATGGGGAAGAATAAAGCTGGCACGGAATGTCCTCGTTAGCGATTTTCATGGCATAGATAGCGGATGGTGGTAAAGTCATGTTGTATAAACGCTTTGAATTCCTATGCTATGCTAGTGATATCTTGCTTGATATTTGATGTTGTGTTCGTCTTGCCCCAGAAGCGCGCCAAGTCGGCGTCAAATTGTTTCCTTTCCAGAAGTGTCCACTGCGGCGCTAACTGCCAGGGGTTGGCGGCGTTGGGTAGTCCTGATTGGTTGACCTTGCATCCTTCTTGCATAACCGCATTCTTTGTTCAGCCTTCAATCTTCTCAGCTTTGTCATTTTTCGAGATCCTTTCACTTTTCTCTCGGGGACTCTCAACACCAAGAAATCCAGGAATATGGCTGATAAATGTCAAACTTGCGGGCTAGGCACGATAATGGCTGGTGGAAGCGATCCAATAATCCTTCATGAAGTTCGTTTTCTTCTGAATGATCTACTTACCGCTTCTCAAACATGCTTTGTATGCGGGATGCTCTATGAGGGGGTCTCTTTACTGCCTAATTTTGAAGATGTTCAAGAAATCGAGGTCAACAAGAGCGAAGGCGCCCTGGCACCCCTCGAAGTTACAATTCGGCAGATAGGGCAGAACGTGGGCATAACGTATGAGTTCTACATCCCCTCAAGTATGTCATGCCCCAACTTTGTTCGCTGATGGTTAACGTGATTCCTGATACATTTGTTGTAGATGTGCCTGTTACCAAATCTCCATGGCCGATACTATCAATTGGCTATGATCTCCGTTCATCAACAGAAGAGCGCCTCGGCCTTACGCGTTCATGGCTCGAAACTTGCATTAACACACATCAAAATTGCCCCCCTGCTGTACAAAAGCTGCCCAAACGGGTCATTGCCCTGGATCCCCACAGTTCCAAGATCAAACTCAAGGAAACCGCTAACGGAGATGGAAGGTATGCGGCATTGAGCTATTGCTGGGGCCGCACAGGGAATATCACCACCACGAAAGGCAATATCGCGAGTATGCTGGCAGGTATCGCACTTATAGTTCTTCCCCAGACCATTAAGGAAGCGGTCCAGGTAACCAAGCATCTTGGAATTGACAATCTCTGGGTGGACTCACTCTGCATCATCCAGGACTCCCAAGAGGACTGGATTCAGCAAGCCGCACTCATGTGTGATATTTACACCAACCAGTGTGGGCTCCGATAAATTATCGATCGAAATTATCGATTAGTAATCGTTATCGGCTAAGCGATCGATAAACGATCGATATCGATAATTATCGTTAATAAAAGTGGGCCCAGCCATTAAACGAGCCCTATTACGGCTTTCTAGTTCAATTATAAACCGATTAGTATTAAGATTAGTATAAAAGTATACTATTATTACTATACTATTAGACTTTTTAATTTTTTATTTAATAGTCTATTATATAACGTAGACTAGCTAGTATTTAATCCAGTTATCGATAATTCCATTAATAAAAGTGGGCCCAGCCAGCCATTAAGCGAGCCCCATTACCTCGATAATCATTGATAAAAGTGGGCCCAGCCAGCCATTAAGCGAGCCCCATTACCTCGATAATCATTGATAAAAGTGGGCCCAGCCAGCCATTAAGCGAGCCCCATTACCTCGATAATCATTGATAAAAGTAGGCCCAGCCAGCCAGCGAGCCCCATTGCCTCGATAATCATTAATAAAAGTGGGCCCAGCCATTAAACGAGCCCCATTACGGCTTTCTAGTTCAATTACAAACCGATTAGTATTAAGATTAGTATAAAAGTAGACTATTATTACTATACTATTAGACTTTTTAACTTTCCATTTAATAGTCTATTATATAACGTAGACTAGCTAGTATTTAATCCAGTTATTAATAATTCCATTAATAAAAGTGGGCCCAGCCAGCCATTAAGCGAGCCCTATCACCTCGATAATTATTAATAAAAGTGGGCCCAGCCAGCCATTAAGCGAGCCCCATTACCTCGATAATTATTAATAAAAGTGGGCCCAGCCAGCCATTAAGCGAGCCCCATTACCTCAATAATCATTAATAAAAGTGGGCCTAGCCAGCCATTAAGCGAGTCCCATTACATGAACATCTCGCTTTCTAGTTTAATTATAAACCGATTAGTATAAAGATTAGTATAAAAGTAGACTATTATAAATATACTATTATACTTTCTATTTAATAGTCTATTATATAACGTAGACTAGCTAGTATTTAACACGTGATACTAAGATTCACACCGCTATTTCTTCTAAAAAAGATTAAAATTTTTATACTCTCTTTTATCCTCTCTTTAATATATAATAGTACTTTATTTTCTATTATTTAAATATGGCTTCTGAATCTGCCTCATTAATCTATTAAGCCTCTACTAATATAGACTCGACTTAATCCAAATCTGATTCCAAATAGGGAGAACTTGCGAGAGCTATTTGGGCTTATACTTGTCTCGGGCATCCAGATACAGGAGAACTACCCAAATACTACTATTATCTTCCTTGCGAAAAGGAAAATCTACCGAATATTTATTTGACTTTAGTCTCTACTAATTAACGTAATTATCTTAAGTCAGTATATGATATTATTATTAAGAGCGGATCAGAAATTAGTCCACTTTAATTAAAAGTAATTAACTAGCTATAATAGCTTTACTTATAAGTAAAGTTATCTGGCCAAATAACTAAAATTAATATATATATCTTTTAATAATACCTTAATTAGGTAGTAATTTATAAAGCTTTAATTTTATTAATTATTATTTATAATCTACCTTTTTAAGTAATTAAATAGCCCGAATTTCATACCTTTTATCGAGTACTTAATCCAGAATCTTAGCCCTTTCTTTCTATAACTTACTCTTATATAAGAAAAAAGCTTGGGAAGTACTAGATTAGCTTAAAGGATATTATATAACGAAAACTCTAGTTTATAGTTTCAAGTATTTATCTCGCTCTTAATATCTGGACTTCTTTATAAGAATATCTTCTTTTAGGTATTATTATATATTTTATTAAATAATAAGATGAGAATTACGTAAAGGCCCTTCTAGCTCTTCGTATAGTACTAGGTTATTTAGGAGAAGACTAATTTACGGTTTTATAACCTATACTTTAAGACTATGGTATTACTAAATAACTTGGAGCTATTATTAGTAATAATACTAGTATAAATAGTATATTATATCGAGCTATTCAGGCTTATTTACTAAGGAAAGAAGGATTAGAATAGGATACTTCGTAATAGCAGGTTCGTTATTTAGGATATATTATTAATCTTTCTATATAAGCCTTTTTATTTCATAATATTTTTATAGATAGAGAATTAGAGGCGCTTAATAAGTAAGAGAACTTGAGAGATTTGAAAGCCCTATTAAGTAATAAGGAAAAACAAATGAAATTTCGACTTTTGGGACTATTAGGCTAGCTTTATAATATTATTATATATATTTGTTACTTTCCTAGTCAGATTACCAGATTTAAAGCTCTTGCTAGAAGAATAATTTCTCTTAATAATCGGATGCAATGAAATAGCTAGTATATAATACTTAATATTACTCTTTAGTAGTATACTTATCTTAATACTTATTATAAGAAGTATCTCGCGAATCTGAAATCAGATTACCTTAGTCCGGAAAACTAGGGAAGGCTTCGAATAATTTCTACCTTTCTTAAACTATTTTATAGAGCTATTCTTAAGACTCAAGGAGATACTATAACTATTAATCGGGTGCTTTTTATAATAGATGTTTTAATTCGAGTATTTAATAGATTACTAGTAAGTAATAATTTTTATACTAATTTTTATACTAATCTTTATACTAATCTTTATTACTTGAATTAATAATACTAACTATAATATAATAGAATATATATATAAATAATAAAGACTTTTATACTCGAATCCGGAAAGGGTAAGAGGTCTTTAATATATATTACTATAAGTCCAATAATATGCCTCTTTATACTACTACTCTTATACTTTATCCGAATTACTATATAAAGTATATTAGGGCTAATTAGGAGAAAAGATAGGTTTAGCTTACCTTAACTAAAGTCAAAAAGCTTTGGGAGAAATATCGAGATCAGATATCTACCCCTAATAATTCGGTACTAGTTAAGGAGATTAAATAGCTAGTAGAGAGAGAACTAGACGATTTTAATAAGATTACTCAGATATTAGGGGAATATATATGGCTAGCAAGTTAAGATAAATACGAGAATTATTATTAGAAGGAGCTATATAATATTAGGGACTTGTTTATACTTTAATAGTAGTATTAAGATATATAAAGAAGGCACTAGCCAAAGCTCTTACTTATAGTAATTAATATTCTCTTAATTCTAGTAATAAGTACTAAAGTAGAGCAAATCTTTTCAGGTACTCGCCATATAGTATTATGGGATAGGACCTAAATAATAGCTAAGACTTTAGAGATAGTAGAATATTTAAAGTATTAGAAAAGAAGTGGGATTTTGAGTATTTTTATTAATACTAATAAGGGGTAATAAGATTAGTACAAAAATTAGTATAATTATAATTATTTTCTTTATAATTTATAATTACTAGTATCTTAAAGACATAGTACCTAGCTAACTACCGCTTTTACTAAAGAAGTTTCTTAAATATTATTAAGTAGCTATAGTATCTTCCATAACCCATAACTCAGAGTTAGATAGGAAGATATATTAGTATAAGCCATTCTTTGGCTTCTTTCTAGTATATACTAGTAGTATTACTACTTTATGGCCTTTTCGAGATTTAGTAAAGAAGTAAAAGCTAGTAGTATTTAACTTAGCCTCGGATTCTGGCTACCAAGTAACAGGACCAGGAAGGTTAACTCATTTATTATCTCCCTATACCTAACTAGCCAAGTTTCTCCAAATAGCCTTTTTGCCTGGTATAAAGAATTTAGTAGGACTAATAAGCGTAATATGGTTACTATATAATAATTAGTAATTAATATAAAGATAAGTAAAATCCATACTTACTATATAATAATCTAATCTTATGAAATAAGGATCTTTTCTTCTTTTGCCAAGTTTCCTATTATGCCGTAAACTTAATACGCTTGTATTTCTATTTTAGTCAGTTTTATACTAATCTTTATACTAATCCAAAAAGAGATTATATACCTTAGCTAAAGCTCTTTATATACTATTAGCCTTTTCTTTTATTTCATTCTCTAAAACTCGCTTAATCTCTTTCTCTTAATTAAGCTTTTCCTTAGTCTTCTATATCTCCTTAAACTATATATTATTCTCGGAATTATATTTAATATCTTCCCATACCGGGTTACTATTATCCCAAGCTATATATAAGCCACTATACTTACTATAGCCAAGTAATTATTTAATTACTTTCTAATTCTTTCCTTATTATTCTCTAAAGCCAGATTAGTATAAAGATTAGTATAGGAATATTCTGAAAATACCTCCTTAATTTAATACTCGTAATAGACTCCTATACTATTTCCTGCTATCTTAATAGTAAAGCACTCTTATATACTGCCGAGCTTACTACCTTGCATTTTGCTACTATAATTATACCTTAATCTGCTACCTTTACCTTCTTAATCTTAGTATGGATAGGGTCTTTTACAAGAGCTTTATTACGCTTATACGCTTTTATAGTATTTGGGTTTTGAGACAGATCCGTCGGTGCTTTTCTCTTGCGAGTAGTAGTATAGATAGATCTAATAGAAGAGGCTAGTTGAGATACTATATTAATATGGCTACTATCCTATAATATTATAATTAGTATAAAGATTAATATAATATAAGTATAGACTTACCTTAGGCTCTGGGAATAATTTAATAATAATTAGTAATATTTTGCGATTACTAATATATTTGGTATACTAATTATAGTTCATTGCTATAGAATATACTATAAGGACGATCTATATAGAGATTAGTAGATTAATTAGTATATTAGAATACTAACTTATAGGTTATGGTATAAAGTTATATAGTAGTATAATTGAGTTATTAAGAAGAGATTAAAAGGTAAGCAAAGTAAGGTGAAATAAAATTAACTTTATAATATAAAATAATTCACTTTTAAGGCACATGAAATTTTTTTTAAGCTATTACCTTACTTTTCCCTATTACTTTACCTTAGCTAATACCTTTCCTTTAACTATACTACTTTAACCCCTTAATTAACCCCTTAATTAACCTCTTCTATAGTATATCTCTTGATTTATATTAATTACTATACTAATTAAGACATAGTAATTGCAATCTCTAGTTAATTATTTAACCATAGTACAAACTAAGCAAACTAATGGCAAGCATATTACTTCTAGAAAGGCTCTTGCAGGCAAGGTTCCAAGAAAGACACTTGGCGGAAAAGGCCGTATTCCTACTATTATATAAAAGAGAAAATATAGGTTTAGACCTGGCAATTAGTTAATTAGTAAAAATATTAGTATATCTACTAACTAGATTTATAGCCAAGGCCCTTTAAGAAATCAGAAAATATTAGAGAAGCACTGATTTATTAATTCCAAAGGTACTATTTCATTAATTAGTAAAGGAGATTTTGGCTCAGAAAAGTAAATAAGATATGTATATCTAAGCTTTAGCTTTATATACTTTGCAAGAGTCTGCGGAGGCGCTTCTTATTACGGAGTTTAAGTATAAGTCATTTTTCTTAATTATACTAATTTTTATACTAATCTAATTCCAGTAATGAATCTTGTAGCTATTTATATAAAGCGGGTTACTATCCAGAAAAAGGATATAAAGCTAGTCTAACGAATAAGATTAGGAATAATGGGCATTAGTAAGGTTAGCAAATGCCTTGGAGTAGTACTATAGGGTAGTTAGTTTACTTGGGTTACTAGTAAAGTAACCAGGTCAGGCATTAGGGAATTAATCTTTGTATCTAAGGCAAAGCAGTTAGCTAGCCATTAGATTAATAAAGCAATAACTCAAATTATTACTTTTTTAATATATCTCAAATTAGTTATATTCTTTAAAGAACTAGTATAAAGATTAATTAATTAATTAATTAATTGGAATAGAGAGCAGGAGGGGCAGATTCTGCCGGGCCCCTTACCGCCTAGAACGATAATTATCGCCAATTATCGATAATTATCGATTATCGACAAATTAGCGCGATTATCTAATCATCGCTTATCGAGCTTATCGGAGCCCATACTGACACCAACGCCACCGTCGTTATTGCCGTGCACTCAGGATCAGATGCTAACAGCGGCTGCCTCCACACCGACGACTCAAGAAACATGCAACTAGCTACATTCATTGCCTCAATCAATAGTGTCACGGACGTCAAAGTATCGATTCGCAACTCCTCATGGTCCGGCGAAGCCTCTCCAACCCACCGAACCAAACGCGGAATCTCATTCCTGAACCGGCGAGGTTGGACTTTCCAAGAGTATGTGCTGGGCGGGAGAATGTTGCATTGTACCAGCCACGAACTGGGCTGGCAGTGTCAAGAAACTTATTCCTGCGAGTGTCGCCCGCTCTTTCCGTTGGTACCTGCTCTAGCCGAGTTTAAGAAGCTAGTCATTGGTCACTTGACCGTTGGTGGGCAAAAATTGAGCGACAACGTACACCATCATCCCCAGTTACATAGTACGTGGCGAGATCTGGTGCACGAGTACGCGAAACGTAACTTCACTGTCAGCACAGACAATCTACCTGCTTTATCTGGCTTTGTCACTGCTTTGTCTAGAAGATATCCTCAATGCTTTAGACGCGAAGATTATATGTTTGGGGTGTGGCGTGGGGATCTAGTGCGGCATCTACTCTGGAATACTGGGGCTCTTCAGGGCCCCTCGCGCCGCTTGCCACTTGATAATGCCCCATCTTGGTCCTGGGCATCACGTGGAACCAGCGGCATTGGATACAAGGAGATGCGGTGGGCCAGAGTTGGGCTACAGATTACCGAGTTAGTTAAGGTTGTCAATGTCTCCTGTATACTCACCACCGAGAACCCTTTCGGGCCTGGCAAAGGACAGCTATCCTTGCACGGAACATTGCAACCAGTACGACTGCACTGGACTGCACCGAAGCAGCTTTCTGAATTTTCAAATGTGCTGAGTCGGTCAGGCACACCGATTGACTACATATCACTCGAACTGGACGATGGTTCTGGTGCTGAGGTTGATCCAGATTGCCAGCACTACTTTTTGGCTCTCGCTACTTGGACTCTCAGTTATGAGGTCCACGGAGTCTCTTACGATATCTGGCATGGAGTCTTGATAGCCCCAATGCCAGGTACAGTCGACTCGTTTCGTAGAGTTGCTTATGCGCATACGAAAGGCTTGAGCACGGGAGAGGACCTTTCAACTTGGGAACTCCCCTTGAACGAAGAAAGGACGTTTAATCTTATTTAATGAACTAATAGGGTCAGAGATACATATGTTTCTAGACTTGATGAAAAGTGGGTTTTATTTAGAGAGGTGGGAGAGTCTGGGAAACCAATCTAGCCTTCCCGATGTGAGCTTCACCTCGCTACGTTATATAGAAGTATGACGACCAGCTTTGCTGCTCACTCTCGCCTAGAGAAACGAAAGAATACGAGCGTCGAGGAGATTTCTACCCTGGTAAAATACTCGACTAATTTGAGCATTCGCCGTAATATGAATACTCATTTCTATTGTTCACAAGTAACATACGCTGCCTCGCTTGGCTATTATGAGCTCGAGCTGAACCCCCTTTTCCGATTGGAGGATACTGCAATCCGTTCGGTTGGCTGGTGTTTCAAACCAGGCAGCAACGTAACATCAAGACCTCTTCAACATCGCTAGCAACAGTATTTCTGTCATTATCCATCCGCAAAACAAAGCATCACATAGCTCAGGAACTAAGCTATTCGGCTGTCAAGATGAGCCGTTGGTCCCCGGAGGATTCGGTATGAGAGCCTCTCAAGTCCCAATCTTCGTACATCTCCTCCTAACCCAACCAGGACGAGGGTCGCCTGCCGGAAGGCATGCAACGTGTTGGCTATGATGCCGATACACAACAATACAGCTACCGAGATCAGGACGGTAGCTACTGGGAAGGAGCTCCCGGTGCAAGATACGGGGTACTTCACCGAAGTAAAAAAAACCCTCTCGAGTAGACGCGATCAAAATTAACAGCATTTCATCTAGGCGGCAGCAGCTATCAGCCCATGACAATAGCCAACGTAGGTGTCACTCGAGAAGAGTTGCCCTCCTCAGCAAACAGACCCCACAAGCAGCTGTTTGGCTTATTGTCCAACGGCTGTGGCAAGCTTCTAGTCACTCTCGACCTGATCTATACTGGAATATTTAAGAAGGTGTCGCATGCTAAGCAACAGGGACAACGACACAGCAGGCGACAGCCACAACGACATACTCAGCGACGCAGACGACGGCCTCATAAGTGGAATGAAAAGTAGCCGGTCAGAAGGGCTCGTTTGGCTGACGGAGCTACACTTCCATCTTAATGAAAGCACCACTAATAGTGTCAAGGAACAAAATATACGTAAAGCTGATAATGAGGCTTGGCGCTATATACTGCCGTTCTTCATGCTAGTTTCGGTGGTCCTATTCGCTCTATTCCGGTTCCTTGGATCTGCGGCTGGCCCAACGCCACTTGTCTGTCCAGAGAAGTCCGTTCGATACCCAGTCAAAGTTGGAGACTCATGCTGAGCTATTGCGAATAGCCACAGTGTGAAAGTAGCAGATCTGATGAGGCTGAATTATAGTATGGACTGTAGCTTGTGAAGGCTGGTAGAGAGATTTGCGTACTAGCCAGCGAGTAGCCACTGAGGCCGTTTGATGTACATCATGTTGTAATTAAACGTGAAGGAAAAAAGGAAGGGCAGGGCAAATAAGAACAAGTAAGAGAAAAAGTAATTTACTTAGCGTGTTGTGTATTTAATGAGAAGTATAAAACTATAAGCTAAGTTGAAGTTTTCGGTCTCCATTGTGATAAGTTGCAAAGATTTGATGTGCGAGGAAATTATAGACTAGCAAGTATATTAAAGCTATTAGTATAGTATATGGATATGGTTATTCTCGAGAGCGGGGCTTGACATTAGTCACAGGACCGAGCTGGCGCCGAACGTTCAAAGACATGTGTAATGCTCCAGGAAGCATCAACAAGGCAAAGCGAGGCTGAATTGGGAGCGTTAAAACAATTTATCAAGTGAAAACAGGACAGTGCCTCGGTGGAAATTTTGAGAAATGATCCACAAGGATCAGCTCACGGAGATCCCGCTCTTTAGTGACGGAAATGCGGTGCACGTACCACCGAAGGTGGGTGATTCGAGGAACTCCATTGGTTTTGACTCTTGAGACTTCGTTACATCGTATGGGAACGGGGCGTAGATCGGTCTAGTTAGTACTTTTCAGCCTAAGATTTAGAAAGCTCTCTAACTCAGCCAGTACCTTCCTCATACGGTCTTCGTTCGACATTTTGTGGGCGTTTAAAGGTAGGTGATCTCTTTGTGGCCTCGCTATCCATGGTCGGCGATGCGGCCGTACGGCGCAGCAAGGGGTTTTTACACGGGTACGAAGGCTTAATATTGGACCTTCCACACTAAGACGCCTAGCCCCAGAAAATCAAATCTGTACCATGTAGATCAAAGTCGCTGTGCCACTGCTAAGATATGGACCGAGCTTTTGAGCTTCACTTCACCTAAGCGCCCTTGTATGTGGTCTTAGCGCAAAGATTATTACCTCGATGTGGTAGTACATCCGAAAAACCGACATGCTACGGCTATGACGGGTGTCTGACTAGATTACTGTTAAGGCTTTCCTTATACATCACCTGAACATGCTGGCCTTGGCAGAGTCGAAGCTGCATGTCTATTGGACTACAACGGACATTTCTTTTTAAAAAGCTTTGACCATAACATCTCGGCGACTTGGCAAGGGGCACAGCATACGCCATAGTGAATCTAGTGAATGGTTGTTATTAACATTTCATGCTATGAAGGAACTCCTATGTATATAGCATGCTGTGTCGATATTTGAAGTCTGATCTTTTTTACTTAACAGTGTCACTCTGCAAGATCAACACTTTGATCTTTGATCTAGCTCTGTTAGCCCCATTATCCCTTCAAATTTCTACTTACCAAAGTACCTCACATCCCAAAATCTTCAATCATCTATCAAACAAGACCACTGTTGACTATGAAGCTCTTTACTACCCTCGCCACAACCCTGGTTTTCACGCTCCCTACTCTAGCTTGTCTCCGTGTCCATGGTGGCATCACCCACGATCCTTTGCCTGGTCTAAGTGGTATATACGGCGTGGAGGCCATCGACAACGGTCTCGTAGTCTGCAGCGTTGGTATGGGAAGCCGGATTGACCAGGACGGTCATTATTCATTGTGAGTGCTTAATATTTCAAAACAAGACTCCTTACAAAGCTTAACATTGGTGCTGCATCTCTCACAAGTCATAACTCTGATACATGTATCTCTTTTCTGGGTTATTTAAAGAGGCGTGCTAACAGAGACGTTCTGCCATCTAGGGGTTGCCTCCCAGGATACGTTTATGCATTTAAACAAGATGGCTCATTTGCCTGGTATGCCAATCCAGTCAACGCCTTCTCGTTCACACAGAACGCAAAATCCAATACGTACTGTTGTCACGGCGCATGTCTGGATAAGGGAGCCAAGATTGATTGCACAGACTATAATTGGGATGAGACGCATTTCTGCTAGGTTATGAGTCAGGGAATAACTTCCTGACTTGAGGAAGGTTGACAGGGAGAATAGGGCAGGAGAAGTAGGTGTGATTATGGGACATTTGGCATCGTGTTACCGTTGGGAGTTGGGGTTGTTACTGAGATAACTCGCTATCTCTAATGCAGATAAAACGTCCTGAGAGGTTTCCTGCCGGCCGAAAGAGAGACAAATAATGCCAACTCTCCACGCATAATTTTCTCGTCTGAGAGAGAGCTATACCGTTCGAACCAAAAGTCAGACCCATATTTTTCTCTGCGAAGTTTTCTGGAGCCGTTTACGAATTAGAACACGATGAAAGATGCTTATTGGACGCTACCCAGAAATCACTGGTGTCCACCGGCTTCCTGATGCCACCTAGGGATTTCAGTCTGATTTCGGCTCATGGAGGCGGTCAACCACTACCACCGGGCCGGACTTTGCTTCGTGATAGAACTTGGACCACAGCTCCATTGCTGTATCGGGACTTTGTTGAAGATGGGCATTTCGAGGTTGAGGGTGGGTCAGTTTCAGACGAGGTTTGGGCGGAGGAGGATTGCTGATTGGATGATTAAACGTTTGATCCAGAGTCTTTTGAACTTCGTCTACAATAGATCAGCTCCGTTAAACCGGATGGCGGACGGACCTATAAAGCATACCGTTCAATAGCCACTCATCTCTTAACGCCCTAAGTGCAGTTGGGCGCTTTCGGGGTCCACTGCCCGTAGAAGACGAAGGAGTTGCGTCCCGGCCGCGCTAAGCTCAAGACTACGAGTATCTTTTGAAAAGTCATATGAGCCGTTGACGAATCTTTGTTCAATTGCATTCCTAAAAGGTGCGGAAAGGAAGAGTGATCTGTCAGCACGTAGTTTGTAGGTAATACATCCTACAGCTCATATATCCAGCGCGTTTGTGTAGTCCAGGCTTTCTGTGTTGGTGGTTTCGCGCACCTCATGAGCCGCGTAAGACCTTGTTCCTGTAACAGTATGATATTTGGCACCACCAGCTTGCTTGCTCTGTCCCAAATCTCCAAGTTTCATCCACGAAGGCGGCGAAGCCTTCATGACGAGGATGTTCTGAAGAGTAATTACCAAGCACACAAGTATTTTACTGTCATCGAATTCGCACCGCTGGCTTTGATCCTGGTGTGCAAACGACTCTGAATGCATAATCGCAAGGCCATTGAGATTTTGTCGGACGATATCTTTGACCTCATCCTCTGGCAACCCATGCTGAATATTATGCTCCAGATCGCGAAGAGAAGGCGTATTCCATCGCTAAGTATGTGACACCTCCCCAGCTATAGCAGCCGTAAAAGCCCATGAAAATGTCGGCATCCCGGTTCTAGATACCTTTTAACTCAAGCTGAGTTGAGTGAGGCGACCATATCCTAATTGGTGCCACGCATACTTTTCGTTTTGTGAAGAGCATCATGGTCTTCAGTTCCGTTTGTCGTTCACCTTCGGTAAGATTCTAAGTCAAGACTCTCTTCACTGCCCTCTTGTGCTCCGTAGGACCTCTCAGAATGTCCAACGCACCTCTCCGTAGGCACCGTACCCCAACAATCCACAATAACCAACGCCCATATCTTAACAGGAACCTTCTTTTTCCCCACTCCGAACGGTCACTTGCTCGGTTTCTTCACCTAAGTCGTACTTATCTTAACTTCAAGCTTAAGATGGTCAAGGGCTGATAAAATTCTTTGCCATTTGATGGATCCAAGATGAAGTTCAAAGAAGGATATTGTTGCTAACGTCGAAATGCACAACGCGCTGCGAGTGCTGGCCGGAAGATAGATACCCTGAACGAAATCAACACAAGGCTGCAATATTGCTCACCCCTACCAGGAAACCTCCATCGCCCCCACGAATACGCATGGAAGCAGCCCTCGACGGCCCATGCAAGCTGACTATACATATCTTTGAAGCTGATTGTCACGGCCGTTGTCCCAGAGACGGAACGATCAGTGAAGGCGTTAACATAGTTTCTGTACGTAGTACACAGATTCCTCTCTGACTTAGCAATCGACACTCCAGCCCCGACCAATATTACGGCGAGTGACAGCAGGGGACATGGGAAGCTAGTGGTGAGTTGATTCTCATGATGAATTAGCGGCTTGTGAGAGGATGTGCGAATCAGAGGACTGCCCCTCAATCTCCCCCCCTGGTTCGGCCAGTTTGACAAGGGTTCTCTTGCCCTGGTAGATTTTACAGTGGACAGTGACCCAACGGGTGGTCTAGTCATTCGTGTGCTGCTCAGCACGAGGCTTTGAGCAGGCCTGTGAGGTAAGATTTTGCCACCTCAGCTGCGAATTCAGGACAAAAGCAGCAGCGGGGCACTGCCTAGATAGCGCCTGTTGGAGAGGTTGGTGCGTTGTGCATAATGGGGCCTGAGGCACCAGTGTATAGAGTCAGCCGAGTGGTCCCCGACCAATGCAACCTTCTTGCCCCGACAGGAATGCAGCCTCGCTTGATGCACAATTCGCTCAATCGGTGTAAGGGCCGGGGTAACTCAGCCCTCCTCACCCTTTTGCATGGAAAACGTGCATGCAACGTGCATAACGATTCAAGCAGCGAGACAAGCTAGGCAACTCTAGGGCAATTGTAAACAAAGGTGTGGCGCGAGCGTGAAAAGGCAACCCAGAGTTCGGTGAAGAAATATAAGGAACCGGTCCCCAGCATCCAACGTTTCTTCTCTTCTCCAACACCTCGTGCATCCATAAGTGCATATTTCACACCTCGCAACATTATTTTTTCTTCCGCTTCGAGCGTGCAGTTGTCAACACAGTAACAGGGGCACAACTTCACCAAGGCCACCGCCTTTACTCTTTACCCCAGCTCATAATGGACACTTCCATGCCTTTCTTGGGGGAGCCTTGCACTCCGAAGAGTGGAAAACCTAAAGGAAAATTGGACACCATGCCAAATTCTCGGCCAACACCGACACGGAGCCGCAAACGCTACGATCCGCAAAGAAGACTCGAGGTTGCCGAAACTCGAAGGAATGGTGCGTGTGCAAGATGTCGAGAGAAGAAAGTCAGGGTGAGTTTTCCCTTTGTCAAATCCCTATGAGTCAAGGAGTTAATTGTACCAGTGCTCTCCTGCTCAACACAAATCATCCCCTGGCGGAAGTCCTCAAACAACGACAGACACCCCGTCGAATACGTCGAGAAGTCCACAAAAAGATGGCTTGACGTGCATGAACAATGGAAGTAATGGCAAGGAGTCTGCGGCGAACGATATCACGGCAGTCGAGGGTTGCGTTCAAGCTGCCAGGGAATATTTGAAGTTGGCCCAGAGCCATGTTCAAGAATTCACACGCTTTGTCGAGGCTTGGGAGTCTTCTCAGAAACAGTTCTCTGAAAGCCAGTCTCCTGATACTGCAGTCACAATATCAGAAACGAGAAGCTTCACCATGCCGGGTGGATCTCCTCAAATTTCCAAAAGCTCATCGACCAATGCGAATGACATTTTTGCCTTCGACTCCAATACAAATCAAACGCAAGAAATCCACAAATTTTTGTCGGATCTTGGCACGAACACATATATCTACAAGGATCAAGAGCTTGTACCTCCGACTTCCATGAACTCAACAGGCCGCGCAAAGACAACGCTCGCTCCCAAAGATAGCAATAGACCTCTACGCCCAAAGTCCGATCCGATCGAGAAAACGGCTCCTCGTATGCCCAAGAGAAACTCCCCGAGGCCTGCAATAAGGGGTTGGAGACCAAGTTTGAGGGGAGAGAATGAACCATGGGTTGCATGTGCTCCACTGGACACATCAGAATTTCCTCAACAAACTAGGACATCCAGCCTGCCAGAAGGGACATTCATTCAAAGGAAGTTTCAGTCGAAAACATCAGGACAGACACTCTCGACAGGTTACTCCCCTTCTACTCTTTCAAAGAGTAGCAACCATTCAAGTTCCACAATCGAAGAAACATTTCCTAGGTCCGGAGGCGCCGACCCGCCGAGCATGCTTGTCCCAATCGAGAGCACTTCCTTTGGTCATAAGTCAAGTACTCAGTGTGCGGGGCAGCTATCCGAAGGCTTCCAACTTCAAGCTTTGAATGAAAACTTCAATTTGTACGGCAACGCAATGGGAAGCGGGTTCAACTTTGCACTCTGCTTTGATCAGGAACTACCCCAAGACCTGGATGATCCTTTCGTATCATCATTCATGACAGGCCACTCATCATTTATTACTTCAGAGCCCCTTTTTGTTGAGGCTCCCTCGGAATATGTGCCCACAGCGCGGGAAGCTACCAGAGAGCACCCCCAAGCGCAAGGTTCCATTTCAAATATGCACATTGACTCTTTCCTCAAGGACATGTGCTTGCAAACACCGCCACAGAGTATCGTACCAAGCTTAGATATCGCGCCATGGAGTATCACTTCTCAAGATATGGCTCTGCTCACACCTCAGGGCGCGCAGTACACTCCAACGAGAAGGGTGTCGGGACGGTTGATGGGATCAAGCATGTTTGAAGGACAGAATAAGGAACTGGACATTGATTGGTCTTCCGAGGACACCAATTAATGCGACGCGTTTTCGACTTGAGAGAGCTTTTCTTAGCCTATTTGTATTCTGTAACTGATTAAGCTGAATTCACAAAAGTAGATTTGCATCTTGAAGAAGTTCACTCATCACTTGACAATGTTGTTGACTTTTTGAAGTTGACGGCGCGAAGTGAAATTCGTGTCGAGAACCTCCAGCACGCCAAAATTTCTCGGCAAGCTCAAGGCTGAACTTCTGCCGCCCCAAACCTCCTCCGCACAACACCACCAACATCCACAGATATCAACCATGTCTGCCCTCACCGGTGGCCCCCCACCGAGCGCAACGTACGTGTCATTGCACTCCGACACGTACCCTTGCCCTTTGCTTCTGCGCTCCCACTAACCCGTGTTCCCCAGTGTCTACGTCCGCAACCTCGAAGAGCACATCAAAATCCCGCAGCTCAAAGAAGCTCTGACCGAACTCTTCTCCGAGTATGGCGAGATCATCGATATCATCGCAAAGACGAACCTGAAGGCGAAGGGTCAAGCGTTCATCGTGTTTGATAGTATTGAGAGCGCGCAGAAGGCGATCGAAGAGGTTCAGGGCTTTGAGCTGTTTGACAAGCCGATGCAGCTGGCGTTTGCGAGGACCAGGAGTGATGCGAGTGTCAAGAGAACCGGGGATGAGGATGAGTTTGAAAGTCATAAGCGGAGACGGTTGGCTGAGAAAGGTAGGCTGGGTTCCTTCCATATGATACTCCTAGTGGGAAGGTGCTAACCATGTTCTTGCAGACAAGAAGAAGGCGGCTGAGGCGGCGGAAGAGCAGAAGAGACTCAAGCGCGCTGCTCCTGGTGTTGTGCCAGATGTTAATGCTCGTCCTGCGAAGGCGTCTAGAGGCGCAGGTCTCAAGTCTACAAATGCTGGTGCTGCGGCTGTTATCCCTGACGAATACCTGCCTCCGAACAAGATCCTGTTTGTTCAGAATCTGCCGGAAGAATATGATATCGATGCTTTGACAGCTATATTTGGCAGATTTGAGGGCTTTAGGGAAGTTCGGTTGGTGCCTGGAAGAAGGGGAATCGCTTTCATTGAGTATGAGACCGAGACGGGTGCTATCAGCGCGAAGGAGAATACGGCCGGTATGGCATTAGGAGACGGATCTCAAGTCATGAAGGTCACGTATCAAAGACAGTAGGTCACGGTACAAGTGTATAATACAGCCAAAAAGTAGCAATTGAGAATGCTTTGACCGGATATGTGTCCGCTAATACTACATGCAGCATTCCGAAATATTCTACTAGGAAACAGGCTATCCATGGGATGATATGGATCTAGAAGATAACATCTTGATCTTCCTGATCACCCAAAATATCAGGTTGTCCTGCCTCATCATTCTCCTTGTCACTATCGGCCTTGGCTTTAGCCTCTTTCTTCAATCTCATCTCTGCATCTTGTGCAGCAGTATCTCGTTGTTTCTTCTTCTGAACCTATTTCTGGTCAGCCAGATATCAATGACCAGACGTCAAGACTTGCCTTCTTTAATCGGAAGAATTCTTCTCTGTCCAATTCATCCAATTCCGAGTTGATATCTAATCAAATTAGCGCATGCCGTTGAACGGAGAGCTACAATCTTACATTTGATGGTGTTCTCCGTCCTTGGAATAATGACATGCTCGCTAATTTGGATTAATATGAGGCGACTTTGCTTGTGGGATACTGACATGGCGTTCACTGGTTTTGTTAGCATTATGCTCACAGGGGATGGAAACAGTGTATCATACCTCTCCTGTTGACGACCTTGATGACTTCGTCCAATATCACGAATGCAGTCTGACAAATCAGCCAGGAATCCCAATTTTCCCTCCAATGGCAACCATACCTGCAGACTTGCAAGCTCCACTAACGTCTCAACAGCCCTAGCATACGTCTCTCTGCATCTTTGCACTTGCTGTCCACCCTTCCCCAGACCCGTCAAGCCAAAGTCATTGTTTCCCTCCGTAATATAGCTCTCGAATGCGGGCAAGAATACACCAGAGACGTTTTCCTGCTTCGTTCGTACTCGGAATCGTGCTGACTTTGCTGATTCTTGCACTTGGTATCCGATATCTCCTCCAACCGCGTAGGTGACCTCTGCCAGAGAAAATGCTGCAATCTGCATGACCCGGCCCATCTTACGTTTAGCTTCATCGATTCGTCTCGTAATTTCTAGCAAGGGGTAAGAATCGGGTCAATAATCGTGTTCAATGTTATTAAATACCTCGGAAACGTCTGTTGACTGTTAGCTGGGGCTGGAAACAGTGGAAGAGGGGTCTACTTTGTGAGAGCTTCACTCTTTCGCTTTAACAGATCATGACCTGTCTGAGCACCCTTCAACTTTGCCTTCATCAATCCCAATGACTGCCGGGTTGGGAAGACAGCTTCGCGGTTCTACTTGGAGGTCAACATTTTGCTTCAGCCAACATGGCTTCGAATGTCTTACCCCAGTTCCAGACATCTTGAGAGGATTTCTTGTTCACGTTACTATCATCAAAAGTAATTGATCGTGACAGTCATTGAGCAAGGCAATAGAACTCTTCGTCTTGTGCTACAACTTCGAGTTGTGAGCGAAGGTGTGCTTCTTCCGGGTTGCTCCCGATAAGAGCTGGTGAAGCTTGCCCACTACGTCGACCGACAGGGAAGCTTGGGAGCGGCAGCCTTGCAGCCTTGCGCATTGGTCAGGCCGCAACGCTAAAGTCAGCACAAAATCCAAAACTCTCCGCGACTTGAGAGACGCGACAGCGTGGTTCACTCTTCCTCTTGTCCGTCAGTTGTATTCTTTTGGGGTCTTTTCGCAGGATAGAGAATCAGGCAGAGAATGCCTGGTGAGCTACTGCCCACAATGGCTGCTCCCGGCATCTCGAAGGCGAAGCTATCGCGAGCAAAAGCAGACTTATACCTAATTGTAAGCAAATCCTGACGCTGGGAAATATTGCTCCAGGTGCCAGATGCTGACAAACATTAGTCCGAGGAAGATACAATCTACGAGCAAGATATTCTACGAGATCCTGGAACTACGAAGCCTTGGTTAGCCTACATCAACTTCAAGTTTCAACATGGCACTCTCCAAGAGCAGGCTTTTGTGCTTGAACGAGCTTGCCTGCAGCTTCCGCGGTCCTACAAGCTTTGGAAAATGGTATGCTGCGATACTTTCTCCTCCTTCGCACAATCTGCTAACTTGTAGCAGTACTTGACTCTCAGAATGAATCATTTAGGAAAGCTAAATCCAGCCATTTTTGCTTCCGAGTATGCGAAAGTCAACGCCCTTTTCGAACGAGCTCTCATTCTGCTCAACAAGATGCCGAGAATATGGGAGATGTACTTATCCTTCCTACTGCTCCAGCCGATTGTTACTCTCACCAGACGAACATTCGATCGGGCGCTTCGGGCTCTCCCAATCACTCAACACAATCGCATATGGGCGCTATACAGACCGTTTGCAAATTCGGCATCGGGACAGACGGCGATTGCCATATGGCGACGATACATGCAGATCCATCCCGAAGATGCCGAGGACTTCATTGAGCTGTTGATTGAGATGAGACATTACACGGAAGCCGTCAAGAAGTACATGGATATCCTGAACAATCCAAAGTTTCGCAGTAAGAACGGAAAGGGTCATTACCAATTGTGGAGTGAAATGGTTGACCTTCTGGTGGAACATGCAAAGGAGGTTGAAACTGGAGATGAGGTGGGAATTGACGTCGAACGAATCATTCGCAGTGGTATCGATCGATTTGCCGACCAAAGGGGGAAGCTATGGTCTGGTCTTGCGACGTATTGGATCACCAGAGGTAGCTTCGAACGAGCCAGAGACGTCTTCGAAGAAGGCATCACGACTGTGATGACAGTGCGAGATTTCACACTCATTTTCGACTCGTACGTTGAATTCGAAGAGGCCATTACTGGGTCGTTGATGGAAGATGCAGCAGCACGATCAGAAAAAGGAGTGGTGGATGAAAATGCCGACTTCGACCTGGACATTCGAATGATGAGATTCGAGCAGTTGATGGACAGGCGGCCGTTCTTGATCAATGACGTTCTGCTTCGGCAAAACCCCAATAATGTATCAGAGTGGAACGTTCGCATCGGATTGTGGGGTGATAACAAGCAGGAAGTGGTCCAAGCATACACAGATGCAATTGCCGCCGTCCAACCAAAGAAGGCCGTGGGCCGATTTCACGAATTATGGACTAATTATGCCAAATTCTACGAGAAAGGCGGCGACCTCCGAAATGCAAGGGTCATTATGGAGAAGGCAGTCAAGGTCCCCTTCAAGTCGGTTGCTGAGCTTGCGGATATGTGGATTGAATGGGCAGAGATTGAGTTGAGAAACGACAACTTTGAAGAAGCCGTCAAAATCATGGCTAAGGCCGTTCAAGCACCAAAGCGATCAACTGTCGATTATTTCGACGAGAGTCTATCACCGCAACAAAGAGTTCACAAGAGCTGGAAGTTGTGGAGTTTTTATGTTGACCTTGTTGAGAGTGTCAGCACCCTTGAAGAGACAAAGAAGGTCTATGAGAGGATATTCGAACTTCGAATTGCGACACCACAGACAGTAGTCAACTACGCCAATCTCTTAGAAGAGAACAAGTACTTTGAGGAGTCCTTCAAGATTTACGAGAGAGGACTGGACCTCTTCAGCTACCCAGTCGCTTTCGAGCTTTGGAACTTATACCTAACCAAAGCCGTCGATCGAAAAATCGGCATCGAGCGACTTCGAGACCTGTTCGAGCAAGCCGTTGAAGGCTGTCCTCCAAAATTCGCTAAGGTCCTCTACTTGATGTACGGCAACCTCGAAGAAGAGCGAGGTCTCGCTCGACACGCAATGAGAATCTACGAGCGTGCCACCCGAGCAGTCTCAGACGAAGACCGCGCCGACATGTTCAACTTCTACATCACCAAATCAGCCTCAAACTTCGGCCTCCCTTCAACACGACCCATCTACGAGCGAGCAATCGCTGCCCTTCCCGACAAAGACGCCAGAGACATGTGTCTCAAGTTCGCCGACATGGAGAAGCGCCTAGGCGAAATCGACCGCGCAAGAGCCATCTACGGGCACGCGTCGCAGTTTTGCGATCCGAGAACTAGTCCCTCGTTCTGGCAGAAATGGGAAGCCTTCGAAGTGCAACACGGCAATGAAGATACGTTCAAAGAAATGCTACGCATTAAGAGAAGTGTGCAAGCACAGTACAACACAGACGTCAACTTCATTGCTTCCCAAGCCTTGGCGAGAAGCCAAGCTCAACCGGATGGAGAGGACGATGATGAGACTGCAGATGCTATGGCTGCATTGGAGCGCGAGGCTAGGGCTCCCGTTGGCTTCGTAGCCGCAAGCACGGGCCCGCAAGGAGGCAATATCAAAGCACCTGAGCCTGCACCGCTGGCTGCTAATCCGGACGCAATTGACGTGGACGGAATGGATGACGAATAGGTGGGGACTGGGTGGTACACTTCTGGAGTTTGGAACCTTGAACATATTGGGACTGAGTCATTTGGACTCATAATGCATAGGGTGGCGTACGGACTGGTCGTGAACTTTGATGGAAGGAGGGCAACAGCTGTTTCTTTGTATGTTACAGGAGTCAGGAAAGCGAGGAAAGAAAAGCTAATGGAATCACAATTCTTGGTTTCTGAAAATCTTCTTAAGAGAATCCCTGTTTGTTTGCTTGTTTTGTTTGTTTGTTTGTTTGTTTGTTTGTTTGTTTGCTCGCTGATGGTGAACCTCACTCCGTATGCTTTTGCCTTGGTATCCCGTCCCATAAACTAACCTAACCCCCATAAACCTATCCGTCCCGTAACACAAGCAACAAAGAAAACAAGGGAAACAAAAATAAATTATCGCACAACCTCCCTTGAAAATCACTCGCTACTCCACCTGCCCCTCGAAAAGCCCCGTTAACCTCGTTCGCTAGGCTCACTTACTTCCCCTCGTCACTCCCAGCTTTACTACCTCTCCTCTTCTTCCCACCAAGCGACCAGCCCTTCTCCGCGAGCTTCGCATGATACGCAGCATCCCGGTCATAGTTCTTGTCAACGTGTCCATCTCTCGAGCCGGGCGTAGCGTACAAGCTGCCTTTGCGCTGTTGGAAGCGGGAGGGTGGGGTCTTGGATGCATCTGTCTCCTTTGTTAGCTTCATACTCTTCCCATCCAAGGAGAGGATGGAGTGACGTACCCCACTCATCAGAGCTCTGGCGTCTGTCGTCCTTGCTGGGCGAAACGTTTTCCTTTGCGACACCTGCAACGGGTTCGGGTCCTGCATCAATGGTGATGGCGGGCTGGCCCGTCTCCCGCTGAGCGGCGAAGGGGTTGGTTTGGTCTTTGGCTTCTGAGTTCTTGTTGGCTGACTGGATGGATAGATGAGGAAAGGGGGAAGTGAGGAGGGGAGAGGGGTAAGTACCTTCGGCGCGGGGTTGGGAGCCGTTGGTTGCCATTTTGAGTTTGAGGCTTTCGATGTATGGTCTTGAGGGGGTAATGAGGTATTGGTTTTGGATGGAAGTGGATGGTTCTTGGTGTATCGATCTTTCTGTCTGCTGCTGAGAGGAGATGGAGGGATGGATGGAGTTTTGATGTAGTTGGGACAGCGCCCTGTCGTAACCTTCCGTACGACGCCAACTGATTGAGATTCACTGGAAACCGCAGCCTCGTCCGACGTTGCCCTGACAGAATCTCTTCTTGTTCTACGCAGTAATTCTCGATGCCTTTCTCGTGATTCACTCTTTCCTCAAAATGACGAAATTGAAGCTTGCGGGATACACGGCGAGAAAAACGAAGCAGAAGCAAACGTAAACGACGCCAACCTGACCTTATATTCCGTCACATCTCAGCTCCCCTCACTCGGTCACCAACTAGATAACCATTGCTTGGTCTGGAGGGGCAGTGCTCGTGCCAGCAGCCGTTAAGCCACCAGCGCGCCCTACTCTCGCGAATGAGGATCCGCGTCTTTCTGTGAAGCCAAGATCGCGGAGGCGAATTTCTCGTGTCATTGGAGGAGATGTCTGGGCACGGCACTGTGGCGGACCAGATCTCGGTGGCAGGAGTGCATTGGACGCCAAATGTGTGAGACTGGGAGGAAAGGAGGAGGGGTCCATGGAGATGTGTTGAGGAGGATGGGATGTGAAGGTGTGGGCAGGGTGGTGATTGGAGGGGAATGACGTACGAGAATTCCTGGAGTGAGATCGCGACTGGGAAGTTATATCAGCTGATGTGTTTTGCAGATCACGATTGGGAAGGTCAATTCATTTGGCAGAGATCTCCAGGAGTTCATTTGAGCTTCGTTCTGCGAGAGTGAGCGGTGAGGTTGAGAGGTCCAGAGCTGCCCTCCAAGCCTCACATGTTCCGCGTGGAGGCGAGGTGGCTCCTACAAATTCCTGCTGTACCACGCCTTCATGAGGCAGTCCGTAAACTTCAAGTCCGGACACCGCCATCTCCTTCGCCCATGCAAAGCACGAAAATCTCTCCCAGTTGTGTTCGAAGGAGGAAATGTGAAACAACAGAGAGTGATGCGTGCATCCGACGAGCTGGACAAACGTACTTCCGGAATTTCGCAGACTGTCCGTGTCTGGCATATCGAAAGCCACAATTTGCTTCAGGAAAGGCAGATCCCCACCGAGCCGCAGGGCCATTTACGGTCCATGATCTCCTGCATCCCGAAAGCAACGTCTCGCAACACATGGCGATCTTGTAGATGGGCACCACGGATGAAATTGGGCAAGTCCATATTTCCCAGCCCGAGAATGTCCCAGGTGAAGTCGAAGAACACCTTACGACAGCTATCAGACGGTGTCCGGCTATGCAAACTTAAGAAAGAGTGAGGGCAAAGGCAAGGCTCCAGCGATGACCTGCTAGCTCGAGGGAGTCTCGACAGGCGTGCAACACAGAAAAACATGGGACACGGGGACGTATATTGTGTGTAGACTTCTGTGAAGAGCCAGGAAGTGGTCAAAGCAATGTCCCCGCCAAGTACCGAGGATCTGGTGAGATTTGCCGTTGGATTCTGACGCGTGTCGGAGTCGCATTAATAGCATCCCCCCCAAAAAAGCTCTTGGAGCTCGGGTGGAAGCTGGTTGGAGTCATGGAACGCCTGCGGGACTTCGGCCCTGACCTTCGAGGAAGACGACGGTTTGGTTGCGTCTATTGCTGTTGACATAATTGATGTATGGAAGGGTGGTAGTTGTTTTAGAAAAAGAAGTCGAGGTAAGGTAAAGCGCATCCGGCAGGGTCAGCAAGAGCGGACGTAGCTACCCCACCAGAAACTATCAATTATTCTCTTTCTTTGTCAACAACTTCAACAAGCCTGGTCTTCTAATCGCCCAGAGGGTTCCTACTCATATCAATTCGAAGCCCATATCAACGTAATCACAATATCCACTCCACCAGCTCTCACAGACTCAGTCTCCAAGGGTGCTGGCGGCCAATAGGGGTCGAATTTCCAACTTCCTAAAGAACGACTCAGGTCAACTGTCTCCACATGGTTGCAACACCTGTAGTGCATTTGGTTTTGTTTACTCTGCTCAATCTAACAACTTCCCATCTTTTCAAGCCAACCCAAACGCCACGCTGTACACAACCGCCCCTTCACCATCTGCCTCACCACTCAACAACCCCTTCCCTCCTCGCGCCAGTACCAAGCGTACACCAGACTTTCGCCTTCCTCACTTTATCCACACTCTCAAGCTCAAGTCTCACACCAATATCCCGCGCCCTGTTCTCTTCCCGCACAAGTCCACCAACCATTCCCTCCTCCTCAACCGCAACAACCCACTCACAAACCGTCGCCGCAACAAAACTATCCCAAAAAGTCTCCCTCCTCGGCCTCGCCTTCATATGCCAAATGGCCGTCCTCCTCAATGCCGGATCCCGACACTTCTTCGCTACAAAATCAAGCGGCATCACGGACTGCAGATCAAAGAGGAACATTTCCTGCGATCCTTCGTCTCCAACACCCTCTCCTTTCCCCTCCACATCCAAATGGTGAGACGGGAAGCACATGTCTTGACCAAGATCCACGATTTCCCGAAACAAATCATGGTACTTGTCGTAACTTGTCTCGATCATGGTACCCATTGAACTCAGTGCAATATACGTAACCAGGTACTGCATCCGCTGCGCCGAGACAGCAAGACACTCCTTACTCCCCCTCACTTTGCGCTTCTCATCAAACAGCGGGCGAAAAGCCTTCATCCATCGTTCCGCCTGCTCGAACTTCTGCCTGCCCAGTTTCAGGAACTCGGCTGTGTAAGGGACTGCCGCGTCGAAGTAGCTCAACGACGGCTTACTCGGAGTCGCTGAGCAGAGGGTGGGGTGAGAGAAAGGCGGCGGGGGGGTGAGAAGGGCAGTGTGCACCGTCCAACACGCACACGCAAAATGCATCGTCTGTCTGCACACCAAATTAAAGTACCTCCTCGTCGTCGTGACATCCTCAAACACTGCCGGCATCGTTTCCAGCAAGTCCGCATTGCAGTCCAGCATCTTTAGATGTTCAGGCAACGTGTACATATCAGTCTGGGACATCGACTGGATATCCAACCGATCGAATGCGGCGCGTAGATCGTCCTCGATCTCGCTCTTCATGTTGCGGCTAGAATGCGGAAGCGCCTCGCGATGCGATGCAATCAAGTTGACAGCTGTCCTCGTCTGCCGGTTCGCAGACTCGTAGTTCCCGTGGTACGTCTCGAAACACACAATAAGTAGACTCGCTACCAGCGCAGTCCGCAAATCATAGTTCGTACTAAATACCTTTTGCCGAAGACAATTAATCGCCTTGCTGTACTGGCTGAGCGCAAAGACATGGTGATCCTCAATTTCTTTGGAAAGTTTTGAATTGGTGCGTTTGCGGCCAGAGACGGCAGTCATGTCCAAAGCGCCGATAGAGATGACAGCATGTCGAATCGACTCATCGGCCTCTGAAGCTTGCAGCACAATCTGTTTCCACAAAGTAGGACTATAGAAACCACTCAGATGCTCCGCCGTCTTCGTGACGTAGAGCTGGAAGAAGCGATGCTCCTCCTGGCTCTGAAACCTCGACGCATTCACTTCTCTCAGCGGCATTGTGACATCGTTCAGAAAATGCCCATACGGAACGAGCGGTCGACTCGAGATCCTGCGTGGCCGGCTCTGTTCCCTTGGTGGAGGAATGACAAGGAATCCATCACACTTTATTCCTGCTTCGTGTCAGTCGACCCTCGAGTGATTTTTCTTTGGAAGCAAAGAGACCGAATTTGATACACCGATTACACTCCGGCCGATTCTCATCACACTTCACCTATTCCCAAGAAATCGGAGTCAGCATACTTCTTTCAGGTATTTTCGGGGGTAGAATGTTCCAGCCGCTATTGGACATTGCTAGTAGGATATCCCAAGAGCTGTTGGACATTGCTATAAGAGGAATAGATACTCCGAGAAGTTGGGACTTACTCTCCACACCTTACACGTTATACATCCGGTCCTAACCTTCGGCTTCCTAGCCCGCTTCTTCTTCTCCCTCTCCTTCTCTTTCATCCCCTTCTCCCCCTTCTCCTTCTCCTCCTCCTTCTCTTCCTTCTTCTCTTTCACCTCCGTCTTTGTTATCGCGCGAAAATCAGGTGTCTCCATCCCTCACTTCATCGACTTTGAACGAATCTATTCTTTTCTTCGGACGAAAGATGAAAACAGACGGTGAAGACATTGATATGTGCTTGCAGATCGCAGAAGGATCTGGACTTAAGACATCACATGAATATGTAGTTGAGCTGGCCTGCTTGGCGTCCCCACTTGGCTGACACAGCTCACTTAAACAGGCCATGGCTGGTTCAAGTGATTTTCAGGCGTCAAAGGCCAGGTACTTTAAGTAAGAGAACAATCCAAAAAGAACCCTGTAACAGGCCAGGTGGAGATGCCAAGCAGACCAGCTGGGTTGCCTTCCTGATATCAAGCACACGCCTCTTGTGCCTCCCCCGGCCGTCCCACATCGCTGGGCGGGCAGCACGCCACGCCATTGGCTCGTCACAACGAGCACCACTTAGAATCCTTACTCCAGGCGTACCCGGTGCCCGGATTTTAAGACGAGGTTCTTGGGAGTTGGGACGTACGGACAAAACATATGCGCGCGACGCCGCATAGCATTCTCGATACCTACGGAGGTCGCGGCGAGAAGCCTTGTAACTATCAGGGTCGGCGTCACTTCTCGCTTAAGTGGCAGGTTATTGCACGGCAACCAGGAAGAGCTGTAACTACAAGGCCTTGCAGGCGTTCAGGGGCCAAAATATAGCGCACAGCCCCTATAAACATTGTTAAACCTCCTACTTGTATTCCTACTGCAACAGGCTCTCGAGCCCCTAATATTTGTTGCTAGCAGCTGCATGTGGCGTCCTGAGGCTAAGCACTCATCCCTGCCGGTTGCAAGACTTACGGACGTATGGCCGCGACCTCCTATTCGTGTGACTTTCCCAGTTCACGCGGATAGAAACACGTGACGTAGGTACTCGCGCTCTCTCTCATTACATTAATCGTAGAGGGTGGGGGGTCAGGGGCCTAGCGACACCCCCTGCCCCCTCTTGCGCCAATGCTTCTTGTAGCGAGGTATCCTATTGCCATAAGGCGTACAAGGCCAAAAGACACCGCGTTATGAGCGAAATCCAAGTCTTGGCAAAAATCTTGGCATAGTCTTGGCGAATCTTTGGCAAAATTTGCCTACATTGGGTATAGCTACGTTTTAGGTTGCTTACAAGAGGGAACGTGATATCTGGGTCTGAGGGTGTGCAGGGGCCTCTGGGGGCGCCTCACTCCCCGCTACAAACGGTCTTGAGATTACTGTGGAGAGAAGAAAGAGAGAGTGAGAGAAGCTAGTTATAGGCTATATTACTTGCAAGCTGTCGCTAGAAATTGCGCTGCATGCCACGTGAACTTTACACGTGAGTATCCTTCATCATAAGAAGCATGCGTTGTGTAACGGCATCATCCCGGTACTTAGGGTTTTAACCATGGGCCGCATTAGCAGACGCAATGCAAAGAGTAAAAGCCTGGTTTAGATCCGATTCCGAAGCATTGATTTTATTTCGGAGCGGTAAAGGGCCGTTCTGAGTAAGTACAGCAAAGATCGTCCGTGAAAACCATTCTCCATAATCAAAGTCTTATCCATCACTTATTGTAGAGACCTTGATTGAAATTTCGGGCCTGCAAGACGCCCCACCACATGAAAGAAGCTCTAGAACGCCCGTAAGAAACACTCATTGCTCATTGCTCGTTCATAATTCTCATCAAGTGTATCTGCCATCTCCGTAAGCAGATCGCTGATAAGGACACCGTGCTCTGCAATTGCCAAGGCATGCGCAGGGATTCGATTACACTACAACCATGCATCGCATAGCTTAAAACTTAAGGGGCTTAATAAGTCAATTAAGATATATATACATATATAAAATGTATTATAATATCTAGCGTGGCAGTTATTTGGAAATATGGGAGTTGGTGGTATGTCGGAGTTGCTGCTACCGACGAGCGAAGCGAGGCGGCCCAGACAGAGTTGAGGCTCAGCCAACGAGTATCCCATGAGCCCTTCTCCCGTTAGAAGGAGCTGACTGGCTGCACGGGATAATAGCCCCAATAACGCCTGCTGTGCAATGACTGCCGGGATTGGTTGTTATACAGTACGAGAAGGGGGAGTTGATGAGTGATGGAGGAGAATGAGACGGAGGTGGGAGTGAGGTGGGAGTGAGGCTGTAGCTTGTGAGTCGAATTGGATTCCTAATACACCGCTCCTGTGACGTGGGAGGCTTTCCACGGTGCAGTTAGGACGCGGCACAGCTCAGAGTCGAACTGTGAGAATCAATCAAATCACACTTCGATTCAAATACAGTTCGCAGAGTCGAAAAATGAAGCTGTAGAATTTGACTAAACGCAGCAGGCCCGCACAAACCTGAAAGGGCCAAGAAAAGAAGAAATGCAAGCCCAGCGTCTTAAAAGCGCAATTAAATACTCGAACCACACCAAAAAATCAACTCGCTCGCCCCTTGCCCTTGCCAGCAACCTCAGGGACCTCCAAGATCGGAAACTCGTCAACCTGCTGCTCCTCAACGGGGCTCTCGTTCTCGGCATGACTCTTGGCCTCAGCCAAGCTCAACTGCAACGCAAAATCCAGATCATCCGCCGCAATAGGTTCGGTCTTCTTGCTCCCAGATCCCTTGGTCTTTACTCGATTTTTCGAAGCCTGACTAGTCGATGGCGAGGATGACGCTGAACGACGACTCTTCTTCTGCTTGTACGTGATTGGGATCTCATACTCGCCAGACCCAGAAGCTCTCGGGGACCTTCCGCCTTCGTCGACGCCATCGAGAAGCGAAAGACGGATAGCCTCCTCCAAATCATGTTCGAACTCATCGTCCATCTTGTATTTTGGCGGGGAGCCTATCGTGCCTTTGACGCTTCCTTCTGGAGTTACAGTGGCGCTGCTGGTCCAAACACTCTGCGTAGCAGAGCTCTCGTTGGCATCTGCTAGATAACCTGTATCACTCATGCGTCGCTCCTCGTCCTTTTGGAAAGCTTCTGCGGAGACCATTTCAGCATATCGAAGTGCTTCTTCCTCACTGAGTCCGCCCAAGCCAACGCCAAATCGACCTCGCAATCTAGCTTCTTCTCTTGATCTGCGCAATTTCTCCTTCTTGAGTTCTTCCTGTTCGGTCGCGATATAATCCATCAAAGCTCCTCGACCAGTATTAGTAAATCGATCAGGACCGCCGTTGCTTCCACGCTCTCCTGATCGACGTAGACGGCGCTTCTTGCTCTGATATTGATCAGCAGAAGACGAGCTGTATGACCAAAAGCGTAGATGTGTTCCAAGCGAGACCATGCCACGAAGTACTGTTGGATCCGGATCGATCATGATTGCTCCAGCAGCGTAGAGGTTGATACCTACCCCCTGGATCGAGGCCTCAGCTTGTACCAGCCTACGTCGAGCTCGGGATGAGAACCGCGAGTTCAATGTTCTGATGGGTTGAAGATTCGACGCCAGAGGGTCCCAGGTTTGGACAAGTCCATCATTACCACCATGTACAATATACAGGGCAGATACCGCAAGACAAGATATCTGTGGAGAATCCGTGTAAATAGTGCGCAGCGGGTGCAACTCGTTCACCAAAGCAGCATTCGGAGACTGAGGGCCTCTCATGTTCCACATGATGACGACCCCTGTCTTAGTCCCGACAGCAAGGAAGCGAGCTCTGTGGCCTGGAATGTGAGAGCCGGACACAGTATCTTGATCAGAAGGAGTAGTAAAGGGCGACGAGAAGTTCGACTCGCCATTTACTGTGCTCAGAGGGTCTTCTGCAATCGTCAACGTAGCATAAATGGACATGTCGATTGCACTTGTCGTTATCTCCTCGCTCGGATGATCCTTCAAAGACAAGATTGAAGATCGCCATTCTTCGACAAGAGTTGTGGATACCGTCTTGAAGGCCGGACTGCTGGGTGTACTCGGCGATCGATCATGGGATGACTTTCTTGCTGGGCTTGTTACCGTGCTTCCGCCGAACAGAGAACTTCTCTGGGTTCTTTCTGGCGAGGCGTTCCGGGGAGGACTGATCACAGTGCCTCCTCCGAAGAGAGAGGCCATTGTAGTTGCGCGTGGTGCCAATGGAGGTGTCTTCGGGAGAGGATACTCCTCCAGAGAAGCTTGCTCAGACTTCCAACGCGTGAATCTTCTTATCTCTGCCTGCTCCTCTTCGATTCCGCACTTGATGACGAAAATACCTTCCCCGACTCCATTGCCATCATCACCTGCAAAGTCAACTTCTAGCCTTCTCCGCATGTCCCAACCTTCACAAAACTTTTGAAAATGAGCTGGTCGATATCCAAGGAACTTCTCAATCTCCATCGTCTCAGCTATAATCTGGGTTCGGGATAGATTGGTCTTCTTTGAAGAGGATCTCGGGGAGTAGCTTCCATGGATTTCGGCTTCTTGATAGGGATCATCCTTCGCAACACGACGAGATGACTCAACCAGGTTCCAATACGCGGTACGACCAGCACTCCAAGCATGTCGGCCAGTCTCATTGTCTACATGTCTGCCATCAATTAAGCCGGACGAAGGGGTCTCCGTAAGATAATACACTTCGCCGAGTGCGTTCAGTGCGACTGCCCAAATCCTGCCGGCCACTTTTCGCTTCGAATCATAGGAATCGTCAACTTTGATAGCGACAATGGGAACCCCGGGGCTGAGGACCCATTTCGCGGTCAATTGACCACGTCCAATTCGACGGCCATTGAGAGTATCGGCGCCTAAAGAATGGGCGGTTATAATACCCAATGTGGAGCCAGTCAGCATACCAATGAGACCATCGGTCGCGTGAAGAACTGGACCCGATTTCGCAATCCACACTGCAGAGACAGCCTCGGTGAGTGCTGGGATTTTGGGGATACCGGCGTCATAAGCCACCAGATCCACGGGAGGCTGGCTCAAAAAGCGCCCACGCATCTCATCTGAAGATCTAAAGTAAGATTGCCCTCCAGGAAACCCTTCACCGTAAATCATGCCAAAAGGCTGGCTGAGATCCATTGAGTTCGGCAGGCCGGCTGGTCCATCACCAGCTCCATATTGCTGATCGCTAACGAAGAGGTCCGCAAATTGAGGGAGTGCCTGTGGGTCCGAGAGCCCCCAGCTATCGATTCTGCCAATATTCGGATCGCTGGTACAAGCCGTCCCAGTCTCATCGGTACCGTGAATGAATCGTGGAGATTTCTTGCCATTGCTGAAGACAGCATGGATGTGATTGACAGTGGCGAATAGCTGTGAACTGTAAGTGACAACTGCATTGGAATTATTGGCAGCACTGTTTGAACGAGAAGAAGCCCCATGGCCTGGAGCAATCTGGGCAGGCTTTCCTCGAGCCAAGCTTCGCAAGAGTCTAGTCCGGAGGATGTATTCGCTGCGCCAGGATGCCAATCCGATCAATCTCGTGAAGAGCCGTCGTTCGGATCGAAGTTGCTCACGATCTTCTTGATCAGATCCGCGACGATTCGGAAGTATCAGTGCGTCAATGGCATCCTGACCAGGGAAGAATCGTGAGAATGCGGTACGCCAGGCGTGAGGCGTCGTGACTAAACTGTAAAATCTTCTGGAAACAAGGGAGACTGCGGAGAGCGAAGCAGCGGGCAAGTGTGACAGGATGTGGGTCAAGACCTCTGAGAAATATCAGTCAGCAAAGAGTAAAAAGAAGGCGAGGTCTCATAAAGACACTGGTATTTGGCATACCGTTAGGAAATTTTTCAAATTCAGTGCCATCGAACGCGTTCTTTCCCTTGTGTTTGATTACTTTGAAACCAGGGCCTTCACTCTGCTTCCTCGGTGAAGATGGAGACAAAGCATTCTCGTACTCAGAAATTCGTTGAAATGATGCCTTTGGTTTGTTCTCGACGCCTTGGTCCAGTCTCAATCGTCGAAATTCCGCTGGCAGACTCGTGTCCTCGCGAGATACCGACTCCGCAACGCCTGCTGGGTGGCCTGGATCTGGTGACTCGACGCGTTCCTCTTCGAGAGGGTCGCGTATGTCTGCGGGATGCAGATGGGCAGGGAGAAAGCCATGATGGGAGGTGTTGGAGAGTTCCGAGGCGTTGATTTGGGGATGGATGTCTGTTGATGCTTCGGTGGGCTCTGGTTGCATATAATTGAGGGTCGGGAACTCGGTTTGAATTTTGACTGAGCCCTCGGTATCTGGGTCAGTCTCGTGTTGGAGTTTGAGGCTTGATTGTGGTGGTCGTCGCGAGATTCTTTCGTGTTGTTTTGGAGAAGAAAAGTTCCGGTGATGTTATTTCAGAAGATTAGAAGACACGCTAATTTAGCTTAGGTTAGCGTCATTTTCGGGGCAGCTCCCCCTATTCCACGTTTTCCTTCCTAAACCGAGCATTTCTTGCAGTGACTTTCGCTTTGCTGTTTGATCTCCGTGGATTCAAGATCTTACCATATATGCATTCCTAACAGTGCACGAAGTTTTCAAGGACTTCCATGGCTAATGCCGTTAATTGTGCTTTAATGCAATCTCCACAAATCTCCTCCACAGTCCTCATTAACCCGCATGAACAAATCGAGGCAGCGCACATCAGTGCTCTATACTAAAAAGTGGGGTTGGGTTGCCATTACTGCCATTTTGTTCTCAGTGGGCGTCACAGCCGGGGGTCTAGTACGACATCCAGAACACACGTCGTTGGCCAGCGACCTCAAATTTTGTTTGTCTGATTATCGGCATATTCCTCTTCCCCATTTCAAAGTACATATTTTCTTCTTGTAGATCCGGTCGAAATGGCGCTGCTCAGAACGCGGTATGTGATTTTGACCATACCCGTCTCAATATCAGATTACGGCTGCCAACTATGTGGATCAACAAGGGGTACTGGAGGGTAAATATTCCCCAGAATCGTGCAACAAGTTCAACTCTGAGAGACAAGCTAGGACACTAACGAATTTTCCAAAGGCATGTTAAGCGTTACTCGAGGAAATTTTTGAGACCGCGGGGTTGCTCCCGCAAAGCGGGAATCCAGTTTCTACCCCTTTGTCTAGAAGAACATTCTTGGACCTTGGATTCGGATGCGGAGATCAGACATTATATCTAACTCAAGGATTGTTGAAAACAACTCCATCTTGGGGATATTCGGATCAAAGCACCCTACAGCGCTCCCCTTCGCTCGACAAACACACCGGTATTACACTCGATCCCAGTCAATACAGTTATGCCAATGAGATACTCGCTTCACATTGTGCTTCCAATGACCTGCCATCGAGATCTTCTGCAACGACGCTGCGAATCCGACTGTGGGATGATGAATTCCCCAGAGCAGTGAAAGAATTACCGTCCCGTACATCGCCGAAGCAGGACAGGAAGAAGTTAATTGCTAGGCTCTTGCTCTCGATACCGTGTATTATTTCTCGCCCTCGCGTTTACTCATTCTCACGTATGCTCGAAGAGAATTAAATGGCTCTGTGTTGGCATTTGATCTAATCCTCTCAGATGACACATCACTTCTTTCTCCTTTGCTGCTATGTCTGTTGGCAAAGATTATGGGTTATCCATACGATACATTGAAGACAGAGCAGGAATACCATGGTTTGTTTGTGCTGGCAGGATACGAGGCAAAGAATATTGAGCCAAGGGACATTTCAGAACTTGTTTTTGCATCGTTAAGTCAATTTTTGGAGCACAGGAAGAAGACGTTGGAGAATTTTGGTAGGGGACTAGGGAAGTTGAACGCCGCAAGATGATTGTTTGGGTGGTGGTCGCGGAGAGGGATAGTTAGAGGATTCATTGTTGTTGGGGGGAAGTAATTCCAGTCGTGATATGTACATTTCCATCGACGTACCTCGTTTTACTGGCTGTACCCAGCAGCTTCGAATTGTACTGCATGACGGACCGTGCTTCGTACTTCTTCAACGTCACCCCCAAACCAAGTGGCAGAACGGGTATTCTGCAAAGCACCGGAATGGAAACCATGCGAGTTGTTGTTATCGCGCCGGGCGAGTTGGTATAACACAAACATTAGGAGGAATGCATTAATCACACCAGATAGACTTGGTAGATTGGTGACTTTAAAGATATCGTTGGAAGAATCTACATCCAAAAGGTCAATTGAAACATGTATCTTCGAAGCGTACGTTCCTTTTCTGTCCAGTCCAGAACATCAACGACAGCTCGGAGACCCATTGCAAGCCACACCATCTCCAGAAAATAGATCCTTGACAGTAGAGGAGAGAACATGGCATCGGATGGACATTCAACTATCGCTCCTATGAAAATGCAGAACTAATCTCCTTTAAACAATTAATTGCATTCTCCAATCACCGTTTCCAACGGGAAATCCCAGATCACATCACCTTCCCTCAATATGTAGAATATTTACGATCCTACCTCAAGAAATTTGATCTTGGATCTCACTTAAAACTTGGTAGCAGAGTCACTGCCAACTTACCAAACTCTTTCAATGAGAAGTGGAAATACACAGTCCAACACACGGCCCAAAATGGACAAAAGGAGGCGCTCCAATGGTCACACATAGAAATCTGCATCGGTCTCCACATCGAACCAAACATTCCCAGCATTCTTGGAATCGAACACATCAAGGAGATGTATTCCACTCTTCAAAATACAAACATCACTGCCAATTTTCCTGGCGCGATGTCCTCATCCTAGTATGCGGGGAAACCGCGATAGACATAGCCTACGAAGCCATCAAAGCCGACGCATGTTCACCACGTCGTTGCTAAGAGCTGGATGCGGTGGTTCGTCCCAGACTTCGTGATTAAATGCGTCTTGTGGTTTTTGACGGGCACCCAAGCGGGCATGAATCACCATGTTGGTGCGTTGCCAAGGAAATATTTGGGAGGGCGTATGTGTTCCTTAATAAATCTACTAAAGCGATGCCGTACTTAAATAGACATTGGACAGGAGAACGAAATTGGTTTCTGAATGCGATTGGGAACAGGTACAGTATATTGACCTCCCAGAGGACGCTCAGTCGGAATTGGGTTGACACGTTTCATAAAGGAATCGACGAGACTGGTCGCATCATTTCCGAAGCAAGGAAAGGCAGAAAAGACTGGCGACGTATGCAAGAAAAGGAAGTGAAACCGAATTGCATAATATACTACACTGGGTTAGTCTCCACTTTTCTTTACCAAAATACAACTAATATCCTCAAAAGCTATAAACAAACATTCTCCTACCTCCATCCCCCTTTCCCAACCTCAAACAACGCCAACATCCGTAACATCGTTTCTCCGACTCACCTCACGATCGCCTACATAGGCTTCGAGCGCTCTGGCGTCGGCGCAACCCCCCCCCCCCCCCAAATCGCAGAACAGCAAGCAACGTGGTGGTTATCCCTCATTCTCTCCCGTATGTCCCGTCAAACCTCAGCACCATGCCGCCATCTCCTCCCGCCCGTCCTCCAGATTCCAATATGGCGTCGATCACTCGGCCTACATGTCCACCTAGCCAAAGACTTCGGCGGCGCCCCCTCTTTACTCAACCTATGGAAAACCCATGGGTGGAGAGTCCTCTTAACTTATTGTTTTGGCCTGAGTCTTGTATCTTTCTACAGGCTGATCGGACCGTTTACATTGCTGGTGCTGCGGAAATCACGCGGTCGGAGCTTGAGGCGACGATTTTAAGGAGAGGTTACTTGGGGAATTTGTTTTTTGGGATTATCCATCCCTGTGGTGTTTTATGTGTGCTTGAATGGTGTTGCTTGGCTGTTGGAGATCATTGGGTTTATTTCGAAGGAGAAGGGTTTTGTTGTGACGTCAGCGTCACATGACCTGGCCCTAGCGTGGCACCCTGTACTTAGCTCGAGCTCCCCGCTCCTCTCTTCTTTTCTCTCTTTAGACGTTACATACACACCCAAAAAGAGCTGTTTACCAGACCAGGTCTTCAGCCCAGGGACGTGATAGGTTTATAGGTTGTTGGAGGCAGATAGATGTACTGCAGTCTTGCCCACTCGAAGATAGGCACCAGAACTTTAAGCCATTTTCCAAGGTATTGAATGAATTGGCTGAGAATGGTGGGAATGTTGAGTGTGGGAGAATAAACGACGATGGACGGTAGCAGAGTTGGGTGGGACACCAGCGAAAAGGGGCTTTAGCGAGTATCACGTGCAACACTTCAAAATTTCCACACGTCCATCAGATATTTAAATGAAGCCATGATTCTTGTTTGTTTTGTTCTGTTTTACTTATTCCCGTTACTTATGTGTTTGGTGGTTTGTTGATATTTCTTGAAGTGTTGCGAGTAAACATACCTGCTTCGCGAAAGAGCAAGAGCAAGGAACACCTCCCCCCCCACAAGCCTTTCGCACACCTACCGTCGGCTTCCAAGTACCAAAAAGTTGATGAAAGCGACTGTGCCTTTGCATTCCTGTCATTTGAAAACGGTGCTATACTGGAATTATCAATTGCTCAGCGAAGTCACGCGGTTGCAATTTCGGAATTCTCAGCAACTCAACTCAATTTAGAGTGACAGTATTTACATCTTCCCTCTCAATGTACAAGCTCTAACACTACTCCTCTATGTACTTCATCTATCATCAATATTGTTCGCACCGTCATAGACTCGTTATCACAGACATCCAGTCTCGGGGTATATTCAAACCAATGATCCACACCCACCAAAACACCAATTCCCCACATGCTTTTCACAGCAAATACCCAACACCAACCGCAATGGAAGTCCCCAAAACTCCGTAAACTTTTCTTATTCGCATCCCAGCCGCCTCGTTCTTTTTTTTACTGCTCATTGAAGTGGCCGTCGCACCCGTGAAAGTCGTCGTCTCGAATCCCACCCCATTAGGTCCAATGTTGATCGCCTGTCCACTATACACATCCGTTGTGGGGTTCGCACCGGGCCTGAACGTGAATGTCTTCACAATTGAAGAGCTCTTCGTTCACGAAGCCGGCGGTAGTACGAACTACCCAACTGAATTAGCAGCTGACGCACCACACGAGCGCTTCGAGTTGCCCGCTCCGCTTGGTCCCGCAGAACTAGACAGCGACTCAAGAACCTGGGAAGGAACGATAGCAAACGGGACAGCCGATTCCGCAGGCCTCTCCGCGTACGAGTGAGCAAGGAGGAAACTCGAACGCCAGCAAACAGCAGCAATGATGGAACTATAGACGGCCCCAGTGCAGGAAATATATCCTGTCGAGAAGAACGAAACGGATGTCCTTCCGGTGGCTCATTATCGGTCGTCTGATATCGAACCCCCCGTGAGTCCCGTCTTCGGAGGAGCATCTCCGACGATCGACGTCGACCCGTCACCTGTGAGTCCTGGCTTCGTGTCTCCGCCCACCTCGCCGTTGGCTCCTCCTCCCGACCCCCCGCCCAGGTATAGACGTATCAATCCCGTGAACGTGGTTTATGCTGGTCGACTACCAGATAGCATCCGACTCACCGCCGTAGTACCTCGACTCATCGGGGCAGAGGGACGGACAGTACAGACCATTGAATCAGCAAGCACAGATCTCGCTGGAACCAACAGTTCATTAGGAAGCCACTTCACCGAGTGTGAGTCAGAGTATTTATATGGCAGCAGGAACACGAATCGTCTCGCCCATCGCGAGCAGCAGCGGCAGTGCAGGCTGTGACGCCAGGGTAGTCTCCTCGACAGCAAGCAATAGCACCAGAAGCGGCGATAGCAGAGGATTTAATATCCGTGGGGGCAGCGAGATCGAGACGGATAGGACTCTGAGTCGGAGCAACGCGGCGCCGGATGAGTGGCCGAGTAGGTGGTGTCTTAGAGTCACGGAATTGATTCTTGTACCGCAGCCCGCGGAGAACAGGTTTAGCTGGGAGGTGGACAAGATTTCTGGACGGGAGGAGGGGGACTCGTTATAACACTACTCGAAGCTGTGGTTTGCGATTTGGGTTAGCATTGGCGTTTGGTCTTTGAATTGGAAAGTATGGATGGCATGAATTATGGATTGATGGATGGATGACAAAGGCACGATACCGATGGATTTCTTTGGTAGAAGTTGAAGATGGAAGGCGTGGATAGCATCGGATGCTCCATTAGCTTGTAGCCTCTTTTGGTATATATGAATAAATCGTTGTACGAAGGGGTATACAAGGCCTTGTCTATGGTATAGTTCGAGAACGGAGCCTCGCTAGTGAGATTCGTCACGCCTTGAAGCCGTGGTGTTTCTATGGCTTTTGGTTTTAGTTTTATGAAGCACTGCCATGGCCGCAAGGAAAGTATGAAGGCTATGCCTACATCGAGAGGGACCGCGCAAGACTCATGGAATACATCGAAGGAGACGTGTCTCGTCGTCTGGGCTAGTTACGAAACTCTACGCCTCGCGAATGTGGATGCGGAACCTTCAAAAGTTTGACTCTTTCTTAGCACATGATTTTAATCCACTCAGATATAGTTAGGCACAGATCTCTTTGTAGAGGCTATTAGAACGGCTCTGTCACGCAAGGGAGGCGATGACGAACCATGTGACCTTGATGGATGTAATAAAAGGCGAGTTTATACATTGAGATTAGAGAAGGACCGGGAATTATTAAAGCGACCATTAAATCAGTTCTGAGTTTTATCTGATTCAAACTCAAATTACAATAAGGAGGGAACTTATTGTTTCAAACTTTCAAGCATGCAATGCGCCAAGCACCAGAACATCCATATTCCGTGCCTGCAGATTCTCTTGGCCAACAGGGGAAAAAAATCTTTAGTAGAGGTGGAAACCACTGCCACTGTTCTGTGGGAAGAAGCACGCTAAGAAGCTATGCCGCTGCTCATAGGAATAGTGCGAAGTGTTGGTGTTGTGGGCTAAGCTAATACACACCTTATTCTAAGTCGGTGTCATCGCGCAGATGTGCAGTTTTATTAATTTCCAGCTTCTTCATAGATAAACACAGCGATATTTCCCCCCTCTGCTTCGTATCATTATCTATCACCACAATGAAGCTCTCGCTAGCCTCTGTTCCCGCCCTCCTCGTTGCTTGATGCTCAGCGAGCGTGCACATTGTCGTTGCTCGAGATCGGGGAATTCCCGATATTCCTGTCGCCGACGACGCCTACGGTGGCAAAGTCGTTCTCTCTGGCCCCCTAGAAGGTACCTACAACAAGCCATTGATTCTCGCAGATCCATGCCCCGATCGTCTTGTTTGGGTCAGGTGAACAAGATACGGGCTGCCTGAGGGTTGCTGTGACATATACCACCAATCATGGCAACCGGGTCTTCGCGTTTGAATGCCATGCAGATTTGGCACTGTGTACTCATGATGTGCTGTAGAGAGACAAAGAGAAGAAGGGTTCTTGGAGGGGGAGGAGAAGAGGGAAGGAGGAAATTGCCGGGTTGATTCACAGTAAACAAAACAAGCCAGATGTGTCCTCACTGGCCAAAAAGTTCAAAATCAAATAGTACCAACTATTATCTAAAATTAAATCCTCCACCCTTTATTTTCCTATGATATGATATAATCAACACTCAGAAAGCTGGTTCTGACACATAATTCTCATCACTTGGGACCCCTTTTCTATCCCGCACTAAATTAAACACGTGCTCCTGCCCATCTTGATCCCTTCTAGACTGCCAAAGCCTCTCATTTCCCCTTTCTCGGTCTTCTCTGCTCCCTTAATCTCATTATCACTCACCAAAACCTCAAACCGTCTCTGGCCGGCGCAGCAGACCTCGAATCACTCCTGAGAACTTCCCTCCATCCACCCCTGACCCTCTCCGGCTTCCTCACTTCCCCTTTCCCAAATTTCTGACCAATAAAGTTCGCCATCTCCAACTCCTCATCCTTTACAATCCCGGGACCGAAGAATCTCGCATTACGTCTATTGATCTTCGGCGGCAGTGCCTTCGACTCGGCAGCCTCCTTGGCGAGGCTTCTGGCCCTCCTTTTGGATTTTGATCGTCTGATGCAGATACAGCAGATGCATGCGAGAGACAAGATGGTGATCAAGATAAGAAAGACAATCGCGATGATGATATTTACAGAGAGTTTGGCGCCGGCGATGTAGGTTGAGGGTGGGAGGGGTGGCACGAAACGTCGTTCCAGGGCATCGTGAGCTTGGCTGAGAAGATTGGGCTGGGGAGGCATTGTTCATGCAATTGATCGAAGCAGAAGCCCGAATTTGTTCAAGGCATGGAATCGTAAAGCAGGAGGATGTATAGAGAAGGAGTCAAGCAGAGAAACAGAGGGGGAATAGGAAGTCATGAAGTGATGGCAGCCTGGCAGAGCCTCGAAAAGTAATATTTATTCCGGGCTTGGGGTAATATCAAGATGGCGCTCTGCTAGGCTTTGCTCTGACTTTGGCTAATACGCTGGTACGTCAATCAACAGTATTGGAAGGTTCCGAGTTGTGTGATGAATATCGGTGGTCGGGAGGAGACGCAGGCGGTTACGCGGATGCCTGGCATGTCTGGAGGCTGAGCCATTGGACCCCACCACTCAAGATAACCCGACATGGCCAATTAGATCCAAAGAAAATAAAAGGCAGAAATAGCAAATTGTAGGACTAAGAACAGAAGTAAGTGACATGAATAGGACCCCTAATTGAAGTTCTCTCGCGTCTCTATCGTCTCGCTACGTTACGTGTCTCTTCCCCCTACAGATGTGAGCCTCCGAGACACCGCTCAACTCAAGGTATTTAGCCCTATGTGAGTCTACTCCTCATCGATGAAAACTTCACCCAATCTCATAACGTCTACTGTCAAATTCCAAATCATTGTCATTTGTCCACAAGTCACTCGACCAGCGAACCCCGACTTTGGCCCTCATTCGGCGGTAAGATTTCGAGTACAGAATTAAAGCTCAGTGTGCAATTGTAAAAGTTATGCCTTGGCGCTCTCAATTTGGAAGTGCTCTGGTATTCGCAAGTCTTATAGGTGTCGTTTGATAGATGGTGGGAGCGTCTTATATATCCGCGAAATGTAAGGGAGGCGGCATATTGGTATCGTCGCGAGTCACGACAAAACGTCCCTACGCAACGTAGACTGGGTTATCTTCGTCTCCACTCTGGCATCGCGCTTTATCGTGATAAGTTTTGTCGCTGGGAGAGGACCCTGCTCTTTTCTATATACTATGTACTCCGAACTAGAATTAGAAATGAACAAAATTTTTTTTTTTTTGCATTAGGGCCACTGAGACAAAGGCACGAAGCAGGAAGGAATAATCTCTACTGTTTCACATGCTGGGCCTGGGACATAGAATGCTTTGTGCAATCTGCAATTACGATTCAGCTGCTGTGATACAGACGTAGCTTTCAGAGCTATGGCGCCCCGAATGCTAGCAAGAAATGGGTATCTATTCTACACAAATGCGCCTGCGAAGTAGCAGAACTCCACTATGCAATTTTGTAAGAACGCCAACTCCGTGTGTAAGCTCCTTAGTGCTGCATTTCGCTGCCATAGAAACCATGATCCGCCTGATCGAGATTCATGAACTGCGACATATCGCCATCGAACGTGCCTTGTTGTTGTCTCTGCTGCTGTTGCGGTTGTTGGGGTTGAGCTTGCGATTGATCGTCTGGAAAAACATCATCTGCAGGCGGACCATCCAAACCTCGACTGACTTTGAAGTTGAGGGGAACAGCCTGGCCCAAGGTATCCCTCCTATTCTTCTTCCTCTGCTCTGGAACGGCATTGTTGTCTCGTCTCCCGTTCATGAACTGGCCTACATCGCTTGTTTTGCCCTTGTTGACATCTTCCTGAAACTTGTCCGGGCCACGTAGAATAGGGAGAAGTGTGTGTGTCTCGTACCAGCGACCTTTGACATCAGCGAGCCCTTTGCGTGCAGCCGGTTCAAGTAGTCGCCACTCATACCACATTCCCGTCGTCGCCAGATGCGCGATCTCATTGCGGTATCGAAGATCCATGCTCATTCGTGGAGGGAGATCGGGGTTGGTGGGCCACTCTTGGGGGTTCTTATACGGTGTTGGCATTTCGACGAACTTGTAGACATCCCCAACAAATGTGACGGCTGATGCACCTTCAGGAGTGGTTTTCTCAATGAGTTTGTGGATAATCAGGACGACGATATCAGGAGTCGGAACACCAGGAGCTGAAGTGCGGACACGGACAGGTTCACCAACCCAGATCTTCTCCGCGCCGAAGAACATTCCATTGTAGTGAACCTCCCCTGGATTTGCAAGTGCCTTTTCGTTACGTTCGAAGAGGGAGTATGATGCGTCGATGACCTTTGCAGCGAGAATACTGCCGTCAACAATATAATCCATAACGTGGCCGGCTTGGTCGAACTCCCCTCGAACAACACGATCCCAAGGAACCTGGTCGAACATCATATCGTTGAGTTGCACGACTGTAGTAGGTGGCACACTCCAAGCTAGCCATGGTCGAAGAAGGCACTCATCCTCCTTAATCTGATATTTCTGCTGTTGATGGGGATTCGAGAGAGGTTGTACGAGGTATCGGGGTTTATTGTTCTTCAGCCCCCTCTTTGCAATAACTCCAAGTCGCCAATTGCTGCCATTGTTGAACCAAACGAGTTCACCTGGACGGTAGATGTATTTCCCACCCGGAGTAGCATCTGCCGTCTGTTCCTTCGACATTGTGGCTGGGCCAGGCTGAAATGCAGGTTTTGAAGGCGCCGCGGAGGTAGAAGAGGATGGCGTGTAGTTGGTGGTTGGCTTTGGTGCTGCGGACAACGTTGGGGGGTGAAATTTGACTTCAGTCTTGAGCTCACTCTTGCCAGAGAATGCTTCTGGATCCTCATCCCCATCTGGTGAACAAATCTTACAGGAGCAGTTCATGGGATCACCGTCTTCGTCTGTCGCAAGCCACAGAAGGTGTGGAAAGAAGTCCGCGGGGCTTCTGAACCTCTTCTTTCGTCCTTGCGGATGTCCGTATAGGTAGGCATCCTGACGCTCAAAGACACCAGCTGCGTGCTTGCCTTTCTCTTTCTTGCTCTCTGCTCCCGCCTTCTCCACATTGTATTTGACATGCTCCCACAGTACATAGCCTTCAGGAAACTCTTTGAGAATGTAGTTTCTGTCTGCGCAGAGTTAGTTGTGGTCCGCGAATCTACGCAGTAGCATGCTGGCGCATGATGCTATGTAAAGAGTGACGCTTACCAGCATGCGCCTTTCCACCAAGCAGATGCATTAACATGCCACCAAGCTTCCGTCTCCAATCCACATGCTTAGCTTCATCGACCTCCAGCTTCTTATAGCAATCGACATTTCCATTGGCATCTGGAGTGTCATTCATCTGCTGTGTAGTGGGCTGGTTGACTTCCTTCACACCAGATCTAGTAGCTACTTCGAATTGACCATCGCTCCGGTGGATAGTGAGAGGGTAGTAGGGCGCCATTGTGAAAAATGGTTTGTTAAGTGCAGATGCACAGAGATCAAAGTCTCATTAGAATTGCATCGACAAGCACATGTGTGGGGCTGAGGTTGTTGAGCTCTTGAGGAAGACAATGAGGCGCCCCGGAGTATTGGTCGGGCCGAGATGGAATTTCTATCGGGCCGGGAGAATATGGATCACGTGTTATGACATAATATCCACCCCCTGGAAATTCAAAGCTAGACCTGCTGGCTTGCGGACAACATAAAACGGTCCTCTTCTTTGTCCAATTCATTGCTTGACTTAGATGCATTGGAAATATACCTATTTCTCACATGCTAAAGCGCTCTGAGTATATTCCGAAGTCACATAGATTGAACACGCACTAATTTGTTCCAAGGACGAGTTTGCACATGGCTGGAATACTTTCCATATAAGCTACACTTGCTTAATTTCATACTGGTCGAAAGTGGCCTCGTTGTTTACTTTTTCAGAAACTGCTGAGAAAGCCAAGGGTACCACTTACAGAAGTTGCTGTGCATTGATAGAGGACAAAGGCGTAGAAACCTGCTTGGCAAAATGTGCTTCCCACAATTGAAAAAATAACATTTATAGCCGTATCTGGCTCATCTTCATTCATACATACAATCTCAGAAGTGAATCCCCTGACCGCCTTGTTCGGTAACCCCTTTCCCCGGCAGAACGCAATCCAATGATCTGATTCGCTGGAGTGAATCTAATAAAAAAACGCGAGGCGAACGCGAAACCGAATGCAGCCGAGTCAGTCATAAATTCTACCTGTTCACATTCCAACCCCTCAGCCTCCTCACCAACTCCACCGAATGCGCATTGCGGTCCCAACAGGGAAAAGACTCGATCTACCACAAGATCTACGTCTCCCTAACCGGCATACTCCGAGAAGTCAATGGAATTGCTCGCAGACAATTCCCTGCAACTTCCGCCGGCGCACGCGTTTTCGTGAATACTCCGCGAAGACTTCAGCCTCATCTCAAAACAAATTCACCATCTGTGCAACATTGACCACATTGACCACATACAACAATCATCAACATGCAGTCCCCGAGTTCTCCTGATCCCCTCGCTCAGACGCCTGTCGTTCAGCGCACAACTGCTTCGAGTATCCTTGCCAAGTTCCTTCCAGGCGTCAGAACTGAACACAAGATGGATACCACCCAACGAGCCGATAAGATTCTTCGTCCAAGGACTCCAGTCAAGTATACTGAGTCTGAATCATCATCTGCGCCGATGGAGACTCCTCCGAGCCAACAATTGATCGATCTGACCGACAATGACTACGAGGAACTCCGAATTCAAGCGCCACAGCAAACTCCTCCTCAAGACCAAGAGACCATCGAGTACGCACCACCCTCGCGGTCACGATCGGGATTGCGACAACCCAAACCCAATACCTCCTTGAAGGCGAGCGAGAATGGCTTCTACCAGCTAGTTCCTGCACGACCCAAGTCATCGAAGCAGAATGGGGTTGGAGCGGACATAAATGGAATCAACGTAACACCGGTGGTTAGCACGAGGGTTGCCATTCGACAGGAGATTGCAAGCAAGACTGCCAAATACAGAAACCAGTTCCTCATTGACAAGAAGGATTTCTGGCTCCCGCTCTTGCCTCCGCACAACTATGTCAAGAAGCTGGTCGACCAGAATGAACAGTTATCTCCTGCTGAGCTAGCAGACCTGCCCACCGCTACTCCCTACGAGGAGATCGACCGTCAACCTCGCGGAGTTACCGCCGTCATGAAGCCATACCAGCTTTCCGGCCTCTCCTTCATGGTTTATCTTCATCGAAATGTAAGAATTCTCCATATTCACTAGATATCGAAGCTGACCATAACAGGGTTTGTCTGGAATTCTCGGTGACGAAATGGGTCTTGGAAAGACTCTACAAACGCTCTCGCTCATCCAATACCTGAAGGAACATGACCCAAAGGCTGGCAGTGGAAGATTGCAACGACCATTCTTGGTTGTCTGTCCTCTTTCGGTCCTCAGCAGTTGGATGGCCGAAAGCAAGAAATGGACACCCGGTTTGAAGGCTATTCGCTTCCACGGCCCTAAGCACGAACGAGATCGCTTGAAGAAGATTGTGGTTGGAGAATTGGACATTTACGGCAACCTGACTGCCCAAGCAAAGGCGAAAATCAAATCCCGACGAACTGCTGCTGGCAAGACTGTCATCTCTCTGGATACCGACTCCGAAGACGAAGATGATGTTGGCGTTGACTTGGTCGTCACCACATATGATTCCTTCAAGGCCGAACAGTCGTGGTTCAAGACTGCCTTCGTCTGGCGATACGTCGTACTCGATGAGGGCCACACTGTCAAGAACCATGCGTCTTTGACTTCGAAGTCTCTCCAAGGACTGAAGGCCGAATACCGCTTGATTTTGACCGGAACCCCTCTGCAGAACAACCTTTCCGAACTCTGGTCGTTGTTACATTGGCTCTACCCAGAAGTTTTTATCGACAAGACCAATGAGCTATTCGACACTTCATTCAATCTCTCCAAGGGTCAGTATTCAAGCACTGTCCTGGATGATGCTCGTCGCCTGCTTGAGCTTATTATGCTTCGCCGGATGAAGAATTCCCCCGGTGTTGATTTGAATCTTCCACCAAAGACCGAAGTCCTTTTGTTCGTCCCGCTTTCACCCATGCAGACATTTTGGTATAAGCGCATGATCACCAAAGCCGATCAAGGCCTCCTGGATGAATTGTTCAAGGGGGTGAAAGACAAGGAAGAGGAGAGCATGCGAACCCTCAAGATGATTGAAGAGCGCGAGGCTCAAATGGAGAAAGCTGAAACCGAGGCACTGGAAATCCTCGGGAATGATGAGTTGGTCGGCACTGATGCATGGAAGGAGACCAAAGCGATTCTTGAGCAGACAGTCCAGCGAGAGCATGAAGGTGAAAAAGCTAGGGAAGGCAAGAAATCTGACTGGCAAAAACTGATGAATCTACTCATGCAATTGAGGAAAGTCTGCAATCATCCCTACCAGATCCTGAATGCCGAACCAGATCCATACCATACTGGCGATCACGTTATCACAGCGTCTGGAAAATTCATCGTTCTGGATAAGTTAGTTAACGAGCTCGTCATTAAGCAAAAGAAGAAGATCTTGATATTCTCCGGCTTCACCAAGATGCTGGATTTGGTTGAAGAGCTTCTGTCACTCCGAGGTGGTGATGGCTCGCAATTCCGCTCAATGCGCATCGATGGTGGAACCCATCGAGCTCGTCGCAACCTAGGTATCAGACTGTTCAATGATCTCAACAGTGATTACCGTGTCATGCTGATTTCTACACGAGCTGGTGGACTTGGCATCAATCTTGCTACGGCTTCTGATGTTGTTCTCCTTGACCAAGATTGGAATCCTCAAATCACTCTTCAAGCTGAAGCTCGTGCGCATCGCATTGGCCAAAAGAATCCTGTCACAGTCTACAAACTTGTTTCGCAAGGAACAGTCGAGGAGCAGATGATGGGGCGCATCCAGAAGAAGCTCTACCTCTCGGCAAAGGTCACAGAAGCCATGCGAGACATCCACACCAAGTTTGGCTCTGGAAAGAAGGGTAAAAAAGGTGTTGCAGCTGCGGAAGACGAGGATATGCCTCAGCTCAATACAATACAACTCATGACATTGGTACGCCGTGGTGCCTCTGCCATCTCAAGACCTGAGATTGACGTCAACGAGATGTTGTCTTGGTGAGTTTGATTTTCGACTGGTACGTACGTTGCATATTGCTAACTTATACAGGGACTGGGAGAAGACCGTTGCGATGTGCAAAGACAAGCCGGCAGATGTCAACGTGAAGAAGGATGCTATCCCGGATGCAAAAGTTGATGAGGAAGCAGAGCGAACGTGGCTTTCCGAGATGGAGCGTGTCGAGGCATCGATCTTCGAGGGAAAGAAGTTGGCGAAGATGGCGAAGGGCACGAACCGAGACATCGCTGCAGAGTATTTCAACAAGGCAGACCGACGCGTGGGCAAGAACACCACCATCATGGTCGACGGCTTCGCGATCTCGAAGGAGTCGATGAACTGCGGAGACTGGGAGGCAGTTCCGACGATGGCTGGCAAGGATCCTCGTCTTGCGGAGCGGAAGCGCGAGAAGAGAACCCCGATCATACCTCAAGAGCATTGCCAGGTCTGCATTGACGGTGGTGAGCTGCACTGTTGCCAATTGTGCCCTCGAGCTTACCACTTCGAATGTCTCGAACCTGAGTACCAGTCTAAGGCCAAAGGCTGGTCCTTTAACTGTCCTCAACATAGGTGCTTCGATTGTCACCAGGGAACTCAAGATGCAGGCGGCATGCTCTACCGCTGCAGATGGTGTGAGCGCGCATACTGCGAAGACTGCATGGACTTTGAGGAAACCATTCTCATCGGCAATACTCTGCAAGAGTACGAACTGCTTGGTTACCCCGACGTGGAACAAGCCTTCTACATCCAATGCTCTAGTTGCACCCACAATTTCAAGGAGAACCCTAGAAACGCCAAGCTCTGTTCGGATCTCGCCGACGGCATTAGTCTTGCGTATGAGAGCAGATTCGGTCAGCTGTCACGGGAGACGAGTACAAGAGCTGGCAGTATGACGGACGCGACGACTGTTGAGACAACTGGTATGAACACACCGATAGTCATTGACGACGATCGCGACTACGCAACCCCCTCCTCTCGCAAGCGGAAGATGCAAGAATCGCATGTCGTCAATCTCCCCTTTTCCCCGGCATCAAAGAAGGGTAGAGTTGGCGTTTAATTTCTAAAATTTAAGTATCCAAAATTCAAATGAATGGGTTTGATAGATGGTGGCGTTGGTCGGCGTTTACAGAGGGAAGTTCATGATTTGATACGATTGATTTGAAACGAAAGACGGAGGCTGATTTGCAGTATGGCGTTGGGGTACATCTCATGTCTACGGCGTTTTCGGTGGACTGTCTAATTGTTGCCTTTTCTTTTTCTTTGCATATGCCTCCTACATTTGGCTCCGTGGGGATGAATGGAATAGCAGCGTGGCTATTTGCTCCCTGGTGATCTAATCATATCTGTGCCTTGCAGGATTGAATTTGATGTAAATGCATGGGGCAACTTTGTATTATGTACTAGAGATTTAGAGACAGATGGTGGGCGGGTGGCTCTAGATGATAGAGGGCTCGGGCCTACTGAGTGTACATTTGAGTGGAAATCAGATCGACAGATCTTCGGAAACGCCCCCCTTTTCTTTACGTTCCTGCTGTGCCGTGCCTTTGCTTTGATAATCTTTGCATTTGATTGGTGCTAGGCCCACTTTGTAGTCACAGAGAGTCGAGGCATTGCAGAAAATAGGTCATTCATTGATTACTCGAGTTTCTAAGGAAGAAGCTTTCCACCCTTGCAAGAAAGGTGTGTCCCACCGTTTGTTGATACCAGGGAAAGAAAACAAGGGAATGGATACAGATAATCAAGACATTGCAGGAGATCAGTCGATTTTTGCTCATCATGAACTCGAGGAAAAAGCTTTCCGCCCTCGGGAGAAGGAGGACTCCAACCGCCGCTGGTACAGGGAGACAAAAAACCGTCGAATAGCTAACTATCTATCAAATTGAACTGGAGAAGGAAAATTAAAGAATTATCGTTCAAGTCTTGACTAAAAGAAGGTGAGCGCCTGCGGTGTGCGTAGTTTGTTGGGCAAATGCTATGGAGGCAGCTGGGAACAACTCGACTTACCAGCGCCGCGACCGTCGACAAGCCGAAGCGCCTTGACTTACAAGAGCTTCCGGTACTATGGGTCCAGTTCGACCCGGACCTCTGACCTGACATCCTTCCAGCGTTTATCGATTTCGCCTCAGATCTCAGTGACCTCGGAAGTATTAAGGTACTGTCTCTTTTTGAGAGCAATGGCAATGTCGCAGACTTGAATGAGCCATCCGACAACGTCGACTTCATTTGACTTTATTTCGTATATTTTGTCTCGAGCATTCCACTTTGCTGTCCCAGGGTCACATTCGTCCCTGTTGTTTCTGCTCTCCTCTCACACGTCTTGATATTGCCGTCGATGTGGTTCAGCTCATCTAGATCCGGTTCATCTTGGCGGTTGGTCAGCCATATGAGGGAGTAGGACGTGAATGATAGCGAACATACCTTTATGGCGAGGCCAGTTCGGCAAGATTATAATACTAGGTCTCTTCACTGCCAGGCATGGAATGTCGAGGATCTTTTCCTTCTGAATTGACCAAGCGCCGATGATTAGATCGCAATGCGGGCTGGCGAGACTAAAGAACTGCATATCGCGGAACACGCGAGTGCTGTTCTTGTGGTACCAAGTTAACTGAATGGCACCTAGCGGTATGTGTGACTCTCCTGTTATGCCGGTACCTCGACTCTCTTCTTCTTTAGTCAGCTTTTCAAAACTTGACGAAGGCAAGTCGGGAACTTTTTCCACGAAGTCTCGTGACACAATATTGCCTTGCAGGTTGCCAGTGTCGATGGCGAATTTCGAGATCTTCGTAATAGAGTGCTTTTCTGCATCTTGTGGGTTCGAAACAACATACACAGGCAGAATACATGGGCAGGGCCATGATGAGAGGCTGTTACCGACCTGAAAGGATCCTGGTTAGCTCTGGCCATGGCACAAGTGATATGATGCACATTGCGGGGTGACGTTGTTGAAGTTGAGGCGAAAATAATCTCCATCCAAGGATAGTCCTACACAATGAGACCAATCAATATACCTCGGATGTTTCGCGTGTCTGAGTCTTTTCACCTTCGTTATTGGCGGAGGGCTTAGCGCAAAAAGGTCCAACAATACGATCAATCCAGAGTTTCTTGGGAGCATGGCTCGGACTGTAAGCGAGGGTCTTGAGGGAATCCTCGGACAATCCTCGGACAATCCAGCATTGGAATTCAGCCCGATGACCTTCTCTACAAGTGTAATGTGAGATTCTGAAGGGAAACAATGACTGTAGGAGCCCATCGTGTCGCTAAGTGAAGTTGAGAGCGTGATCTACGGGGCAGCTTGATCACCAGGTTGCTGGCATAAAGAGATTAGGACAGCTTGCCGCTTTCCCCTGGAGTATTGCCGGTGGTTCTCGGGTAACCTGAGCCGTAAATCCAGAGTGGGTTGGCTTCCGGCGTAGCAAGGCTTATCATAATACCTTGCGAGAGAAAGAGCATTCCCTTATATACTAGCCCCTGCGTTTGAGCAGCTGCTCCATCGCCACAGAGCCTCGCCGAGTTGATCTCTAAGAAAGTTGGGGTTGCACGAGTATTTGAAGCCAAGGGCATCTCGCTGGCCATTCCTTCGGCCCCTGGACGTTGGCGCTGGCCTCTGCTTGCTTTTTTCCACGCAGATTCTGAAGGCAACCTCAAGCCAATGGTGATAGCAGCCAGAATTTTCGATCGCAGTACGGAAAAGTGGGATAGAATTCTCAGCGGGAGCGGTAAGGGAGGGGAGGGTTCCTTTTCAGGCGACAGCCACCAACCATACCTGACTCCATTCGGGCGACGATGTGACTTGGAGCGACATTCTGAAACCTAAGGAGCTATCTCATTGAAGGGAAACTGGTCATGGATGCCACACAACTGGGAATACGCAAGAAGTCATCCGATGATCGAGGAGGTTGTGTATGTTTGAAGCTCCCAGCCCCGCTCGTTCCCGCCCATGTTTGCAAGCCCGATTCCCTAACAAGCGAAATTGCCGCTCAACTCATATCGACTGCTTGCTCCATCGAGTTCATCGAGTTGACAATAGACAGATTCTAGAGAGGTTGTGTCGATTGGTGCTCTCGAGTGACGAGGACCGCCGAGCTGATTCGAATGGATGAGTGCCAACGATGAGGAAGAAAGGAATAAATGATGGGGAAGGGTGGGAAGGGTTTCAGCGGAGTGAAGCCTGGAAGGTGCACTTATCTCTGCCGAGCCAGCCGTTCAGTAGGCTTTGCCCCTCATGGAAAGCGCTATTTATTTCCAGCTTCTCCCAGAGCGGCAGCTGTAACTGATCGGCATGTGCTGTGAGGCCTTCCTTGCTACTTGCATTGTCGTTTTGTTCGGTGTGAATAACAACCTGACACTCAACGCCCCTTTTCCTTTTCATTGTGCCACATAGAAAACATCAAAGCGAGGGGACCCTGGACTGTTCGCTCGTCAACGAGATGTATTTCCTCCACTGGGAATTGCGAGCTTGTTGATTTGTCAAGACCTATCGAAGCATCCTGACCTAGGCCTCCTCCCCGCACTACTGCCGAGGCCTGATTTTCAGCATCTGCTGATAGCGGAGAACCGAGGCCTGGTAAAGGATTTGTTCTAGTCCAACCACGAATATCCTCCCATTCGCGAATGGCGTAGTATTCGTAGTTGGTGTATTTATTCGCGAATTTACTAGTCTTCTCGCGACTAGAACGTACTGTATATCAGTGACGAATTTATATCCCCTGTTCGCTTAAAATACAACAGTCCACAACAGTCTCCTCGAATCAGGTCATCCGCGTTTATGCGGCCGCTAGCGTGGCAATGTCTTACCAGGCGAAGGGACTACCAGTCGCGAAGGCCTTATTATTCCCGGTTGGCATATGCCAGCCACGAATCCTACTTAGTATACTAGTAAAGTATATAAGTCTATTCTTGACTAGCATATGCCAGTCACGAATATGCGGCTGCTCAGTTGGCATGTGCCGAAAAAGTGGTATGTAAGATTAAGTGTTGATTTAATCTAGCTACTTAGCTATAGTATAAAAAACAGGAAAAGATAGAAGAGTTAAACTTATAATTAATATGGGAGATGCGAAGTATTAGGAATGCCTTACCGCTACTTTATAAATTGTGTATTAATTAGACTAACTGCTAACTGGGCCAGTGGCTAATGTGAGGTTATTCCCGGGTGGCCTACACCCTTCACGAATGGCCTCACATTAGCGTACAGCTTCGTGACTGGCAGATTACATTCGCGAATGACACTTGTTAGTCACGAAGGTCCGCCATTCGCGAATGGCGATATTAGTGGGAGGACTAGAACGGATCTTCATACCAGAATGCAACCCTATTCAACGGTATGGTAAGTCTCTTTCTTCTTCATGTATGCTCTCCTTCTTCATATGTCATGTCATTTTGGTTGTCGTGAATTATTACCACCAAAGTTCGTGCATCAGTCAGCCGCTGAAGATGGCGGCAGCCAGACGGCCGATACCCATTGTCGTGGGGGTCGGCGACATCAAGAACCGCTCCATGAAAATCGAAGATGCGATTGAGCCGATGCAGTTGATGCTCCAAGCCATTCTCAAAGCGATGCAAGACACCAATCTCTCTGCTTCCGCAACGAAAGAGCTGCAGTCGAAGATTGACAGCGTGGGTGTGGTCAACACCTGGACCTGGGTTTATCCCGACTTGCCGAGGCTCATTTCTGAGAAGTTGGATGTCAAGCCGAAGTATCAGGTGTTAAGTCATCATGGGGGTGATTCGCCGGCGAAGTTGTTTGATCAGGCAGTGAGGAGGATTTCTTTGGGGGAGAGCAAGGTGGCGATTGTGACCGGTGGGGAGGCTTTGGCATCGTGTAAGTTTGCTTCCGTTGGATAAGGGGGTTGCTGATGTGCGAAGTGGGCGCATGTGCTGCGGCTGGGAAGTTGCCTCCTCCTGGGTGGACGAAGTCTGACGAGAGTGGCAAAGGAGTGTCTGTTTCTGATATCTCGAGGTTTGGAGAAAGTATGATTTCCCGATGATTAATTGAGCCGGCACTCACTTTTGTAGATCCCGGTACTCTTCATTCTGTGGGGTTTCCTATTCACGTGTATCCGCTGTATGAAAATGCATTTAGAGCACATCGGCGGCAGTCGATAAAGGAGAATAATCACGAGTCCGCTGAGCTGTATGCGGATTTTGCAAAAGTTGCGGAGAAGAATCCGCTGGCGTGGAATTTTGGTGAGCCTGCTGCGACCAAAGAGATCATTGGTACTGTTTCGAAGAAGAATAGGATGATATGTTTTCCATGTATGTGCCGGCCTGAATTCTTGGACGAGTCTAATGCATACAGATCCTCTTTTGATGAACGCATTTAACAATGTCAATTTGGCCGGAGCATGTATCCTGACTTCGACTGACTATGCGAGAGAACTCGGGATTCCCGAAGATCGTTGGATATATCCACTTGGTGGAGCAGGGACGAGCGACAGTAGAAATTGTAAGTATGACAATCAAATTCATATACCTCCATTGATGTGTTCCAGTTTGGGAGCGGCCGAATTTTCATTCGAGCGCCGCCATATCAAAATCACTTGATGAAGGATTAAAGTCCTCGGGACTCACAAAAGAACAGATAGACATCTTTGATTTCTACTCGTACATTTTTCCGACTCACTTCGTAGCCTTTCTAATACCTCCAGTTGTTTTCCCATTGTACCAAAACTCGCATGTCAACATCTCGGCATGCCGATGACGAAACAATCCAAACCCATTACACTTCTTGGAGGTCTGACTTCATTCGGAGGAGCAGGAAATAATTATTCCATGCATGTAAATGTCCCTGCTGCCCTCCTGGAATTTTCTGACTATATGCAGGCTCTGATCGAAATGGTGCGCGAGCTTCGGAAAGGAAAAGTTCGAAACGGGCTGGTCCTTGCGAATGGCGGAATGGTGACTTATCAATACGTCGTCTGCCTCTCGAACCAACCTCGGAACTCCCCATATCCGGATATTAATCCACTTCCTAATGTTTTGGACGATCAGCGAGTTCCTACCGTGGATGAGAAGGCGGAACGGGAGGCGGTGATTGAGGTGAGTTTCCTGATTTGTGTAGAGGGTAGGGCTGACTCTGTAGACGTATACTGTTGAATTTAATCGTGACGGGAGTCCTGAACGAGGTTATATTGTTGGACGATTGAAGAACGGCCATCGGTTTCTTGCGAATGAAGGGGATGAGAATACGTTGAAGCAGTTGGTGAGCGCTGTGAAGGAGCAGGTAGGGAGGAGTGGATTTGTTAGAAAAGGGGAGGATGGGAGGAACGTATTTATATTTAACGAGATTAAAAAGTTATGAGGCTCTTGATGTTATAAAACTATTGGGGATATATTCAAGATGTGGAAGTGTACCTGCCACACTGTTGTCGTGACTTGCCTCGGATATTGCGTGCGATTTGTGACACCTCTCCTGTATCAATTAGCCTGAATGACTGATAACAAATTGGAACATAAGTCCTTTTCTCCCAGGAAGGTCTCAGCTTCCGAGATGTTTTTTCTTGTATAACAATTTTTCAATGTGGTTAGTGGGGATGAAATTGTGTCTCAACCAATCATGATTCTTGTTTGTCCACTTTTTCGTCGCTTATGAATGGTTCGGCAAAAGGAAAATGGCTCATTTAACAATGACTCATATGTATCTAAATAAGGAGATTTTGGAAAATCGCTTCGATAGCTCAGTGGTAGAGCGGAAGGTCAGTTCATTGTCATCCAATTTCTAATGAAGTCAAACTAACGAAGAACAGATTGCAGTAACAGCAATAATCTTCAGGCCGCGTGTTCGACCCACGCTCGGAGCTGTTTTCTCTTTCTTTTTGATGCCACTTGCATTTTTTTCGGAAGAGAATTTTCATTATTTTCCCTGCAAGTTTTAGCCACTAGGAGTCACTTTTGAGCAGTGCCCGCCCTCTGTGTCAATACAAGCGAGATTAAGCGAGCACCTGCACCTAATATCTTTCCGGAAATTTCCCGAAATCGAATCATAAGTAGAAATAAGGGCCCGGTAGGGAAGAGGTTTCATTGCAGGTGGCTGTGTAAGGGATGCTGGTCAACAAGCGGTGCATATAAACACGACATGTGGTCAGGTGCAAGTTTCGGATGATGGAGCTGGCCTTTTGCAGCATTGTTTAGTGGCGAAGAAAAGATTAAGGTCTTGAAGTACGAGTTATACATCCATTGGACACATTTATTAAAAAATAGTAATAAATAGTGGTGGGAAGACGAAGGGTAGCTCCCGTTTGGTATGCAATTTCCCAACTAGCTAATTTTCACGGAGGGAGGGAGAGCATTCTGAACACGACAGCTAGACAGAAGTTGCGGCGGAAAAGTAATAACATCCACAAACAGTGTTCAATCCATAGTCCGTAACCCATCCATTACCTCGAAGAATCCAGGGCCTCACAATTTATTGAGTGCTTCTTCTACCTCCTTCCCAAAAATGCTTCCGAAGCACGGAGCTTTTCCATATTGTCGAGGTGTATTATCTTCCTCATTACGCTGCTCCGAATCCGCCCCCGGTGCCATTAGGTATAGAATTCCTTTCGCCACAGCCCACCAATGCCTTCCCAAGCAAGTTCGTGAAGTGCCGTATTCCTCCCTTGAAGCTAGTCATTGTCCGGATCCAATTCTTCTCACAGTTCCTGCTCAATCTCCGAAGAGATTGATCTTATTTGTGAAGGCTGTGGGAGTCATCTTTGATTTAAAGCTGCTGCATGATAACTTCTGGGTTGGTTGCAGGTCCTTAAAGTGTACGTATGACCATTCGTCCTGCAACGATCAACACATCAATCAAGGGCAGTGGACATAGACTAGATACCCTTCTCTCTCTTCAAGGTAGTCTCGAATAGCATTTGGAGAATTTCTTCAAGCCGAGTAGTGTCATGGGGTGACCTTATGCCTGTGGAAGCTTCAGTCCAAGGTCCGTGAGAGATCTTCTGAAAGGCGGCAATTGCTGCTTTGCCAGGCAAAACCCAAGGACGCAGCTTGCCGTGGGAACTGTAGCAACCAACACCAACACGATCCCAATCTTTGGATATAGCAGTTTTCTAAAAAAGCTATCCTAGTCAGTGTACTCTGGCTTCCGACCTTCCGACCAAAGTTGCTGCTCATCTTCAAACTCTGCGCAGGCATCAGAAGGGCCATACCATCGTAATCGATGGATTTGGAATCTTCACCAGCATCCAAGAGTAATGAAACAGTCTCGTACCGACCAGAGCGGCAGGCTTAATGTATGAAGATCACGGCATAAAGTGGCGGGATTACAGGGCATATGTGCTTTAACGGCACTTCAGTATCTGTCTCTAGCGCACTCGGTTAGTAAATTGCCCTATAATTCTAGGCCACTGCCTAAAAACACGCTATAAGTCGGGGGCAAGGGATACCATATCTTTTTAGGGCTTATCCCCTATACTTATAAGAGATTCCTCACTAAAGAGCCCTATAGTAATTACCTATTTAGCGTTAAAGCGCTATTATTACTTTTCTAGTAATACTATTTACCCTTTAAGATCTTCTCATACCTTGCGAATATCTTATAGCGCCTCTTGAGATTTGCTTAAGGCGTACGGCTTAGAGCCATAGGGTTTTATAGCGGGCCTAACCCCTAAATTATGCCCTGGGGAATGCCAAGGGCCTAAATGCCCTGTAATCCTGTCACTTTATGCCGTGATCTTCGTAAAGAAGAACGGCTGGCCTCGTCTTTGGCGTTTAGGTGTTACGTCCCTTTTGCGATCTGCTTCTCGGTATCCAGTGTTTTGGTGAGGTTCGAAGTTAACGACCACACCACGTTGCTCTCTCTACCACGAGCTGCAAGACGGAGTAAGACCCTCATGAATTGTACTTGCAGGATCAGCACCAAAAGCGAGTAGTTCCTTCACAAAGTATTCAGACATTATCGATGCGAGATACAACGGCCTGATGCCCTCCGCATCAGCCGTATCGGAGTTTGTGGTTTGCTCTAATATCCACCGAGTGTGCTTTAGCAGCTGCGTTGACAGAAAGGCATCATACCATCCTTTGCCGCAATGTGTATGAAGAGGGATACGTCCCAGATGATTGGCTTGATTGACGTCAACGCCCAGCTTGGAGATCTATTCTTTCTCGGGCCTGCGAAAATTAACGTGGAGACGCATCGTTCAATGGATGGTGGATCGACGGGGGAGATGTCGGCTAAGTGGTGTATGAGTAAAAACTAGACATTAGGATAATTCTGGGGGTTCTAAGCCTTACCTCTACCGCCCAGGGCAGGCACATTTCCCCTCCTTTTGTACTAAGATCGCACTGTAACTTAATAGCAGTTAAGAGAGACTATATAATTTGTTAATTTAAGCAGTGCTCGTCGCAAACAAAACAACGATTTTCACGTTTGAGTTTTATCCCCGACCAACAGGCAATGTAGCGAACTATAACTGATTCATACCTCTAAACTCTACTTTTCCAGCACGGTGTGTATCGTATCTACTCTAGCTTCTACTTATCTATTTACATCTGTATGACGACAACATCTCATTCTCAACCCAAGAACCGTCCAAACACAGTAAAAGGAGCCAATTTCCCATACGCCCTCACCTCCCCCTCCGTTCTTGTCCCAGCTCTGTAAACCTGCGGCCAGAACCAAGACGGACTGCTCCAGAACAGCAAAAACGCGACCACCCAAATAAAACCTCCGGTTTTCGTCCATACCTTCCCCTCTTTCCCACCTGCTCTCCGATAAATTTCCTGGACGCCGTCTTCGAGAATGATGCCGAGGACTTGGACACAGTAGAATCTCAGAGCACCGGATTGAGAGAAGGTGATACCCGCTGCGAGGTCGGCGAGGAGGTGTATGAAGCCGGAGAGGAAGAAGGTTACGAAAATCTTCAGGTACCTTGCCACCAAGCCCTTCTTTAACCCCAGGCCATTCTCCACAAACCAAATCGTGGGATTATTCAACGGTTTCCTTAACAACTGATGCCATGATTTACTATTTCTCAGTCAGCGCCGATGGCCCCCAAAAAGGCAAGGGAGAAGAGAGGAGAAGAAAGAAGGGAGACCTACCCCCAGAATCCCCGTAGGGTGTACGAGTTGGAAAATGAACCGAAGAGTGGCCGCCAGGAGGATACGGGCGTGAGATTAGTGCCGACGAGGATAAAGGATTGGAATCCGAGGTAACAACTGATCAAACAATAGGTGACCATCCACACCATAGCACTAGTGCCAATCCTCGTCGCGACCTCCTCTCCTGTCATCTCTCGCAGACGGGTGAAGACTGGGACTTTGGAGCTTGAGAAGGGCGCAGTTGAGGGGGGAGGAGGCAGAGATTCGGCGAGGTCGAGGAACAGGTATGTTATTGCGAAGCGCAGAGCGGTGCTCAAAAGGAAAGTCGACTTTGAGGGGACGTATGCGGGGTTTGTGGTGGAGAACGGAGGGACGGCGCGTTGTTCGTGGGGTGTGTTGAGGTCGCGGAGGCTGAAGGTGGAATTCAAGCCGAATTTTAGACGGTTGAGGATCGTGTCTTGGACCTTGCTGCCTGCTTTTGTGGACGATTTGCCGTTGGAGTGGGTTAGGGGAAGAGGTTGTGCGGACGGGGGGTGTAACGTCGGCCCGTTGGCTTCGAAACTCCATTTTCGGAGGAGGGACATCTCCAGAAAGTTCATGACGAACAAAATGAAGCATGAGGCGTTGTAAATCTGAGACCACGATACTCTCATGTATTCGCTTGAGGTTTGGAAGGTGAGGTACCAGAGTGCGAGTTGGATTGGCAGTGCTGCGAAACGGAAAATTGAGGAGGGGGTGACGAAGCCGAGGGTGAGGATTGAGGTTGTGAGTTGGAGGGAAAATAGGAAGGAGGGATTCATGTTAATGGAGGAGGAGGACATTTTGGACGTGAAGATTGGATAGAAGATCTTGCGCATGGTGGGGCGAGGCTGAAGATGTTCTTTTGAGCGTCGAAAAGTGAGGTAAGCACTTGCTACCTGCAGTTCTGAGCACGGAGCGTCGGAGCACCAGTGGAGGGAAAGGCGAGATGTCGGAAAGCCTACGGAAAGCCGTAAGGATCAGAAGATCACAGAAAGCCACAAGGATCAAAAGACCAAGCGAACTTACGATTTGCGACTTTTGATGAACGGCTTTTCGTAGAAGGCGCCTTGCAAGGCTAAATTCGGCTCGCGACTCCACTGACGACCATGGCCACAGTGGCAAATGTCTCAGTCACGAACATGAATTCAGAAGAGGCAATTTCCTTAAGAACTTGGCACAAAGGTGACTACTAAGAGTTGGCAGTCAAAAATGTACTTTCACTACTTACTCCGCCCTTATGACCGAATTTTCCAAATCTTCATTCAGCATTAGTATTTTCCCCGTTGGGGTTGGACATGAAGCCACAGTTGCCGCTCAAATCTGTGATTGGGCACTGCTTCAGTAGATCAGCTCTCAGTTGATCTAGGGTGGAAGGTGGTGGCTGAGTTTAGTCAGATGATCGAAAATTGTCCTTCAAAATCCTTGTGCAACTTTCACTTTCTCACAATAAATCTCGACTACACGCTGTTCTTTGCCTATATGTTATGCACCGGTGGCCACCCTGCGATCGTTATTAAAGCCATTTAGCATGTCGCTCAATCTCACCCTCGGCGACTTCGTCGCGACCGCCAGCCTTGCGCATCAGCTCTACAAGGATATATATCTTGTCGCACGAGGCGCACCAGAAGAGCTTAAACTCCTCAAAAGTGAAATCGGCGTCCTTGCGCTCTCTATCGACTTGCTCACCCAAGAGGTCAAAGATGAAAATTCTACACTGGTTCGAGCTGGAGAAACCAGAATGAGAATGGTAGAGGAGGTCTTGACGCAGGCCAATGCCACGCTGAAAGAGCTCGAGGCATTTGCGAAGAAACATGACTTTACTGCTTTGGGGTCTAAGGAGAAGGGAAAACGGATCTGGGACAGAGTCAAATTTTCGTTGGAAGTGAAGTCGGTGGATGCGCTGAGGACCAAGATCACAAGACACAACACAACAATGAATCTGCTTCTCACATCAGCAGGAAAGTGCGTCGCTCCCAGTTCTATATTTACAATCGCTCTCATGATGGCTTGAGCTAATGCATTACAGCTCATCACTAGAGCGGATCGAGCGCCTCAATGACAGAATGCTGAACAGTATTGGCAATATTCAAGGCATGATTTGCAACCCGAAATTAAGTGGCATTACAGAAAAGAGCTATCAGGCTTTGTTATCAAAAGCCTTCATGAAAGAAGCAGAAGTTTCGCGTCGATGGGTTGCAATTGGTTTCGATGAATGGATTCAAGCAGGGAGATGGTGGTTGCTGAAGGCGCAAAGCACCTTGTACACCGATTCAGATACGAAGATCATTCCACCTCAAGCGTTCGCGGACCTCCTGAAAGCGTCTTTTATCTTGATCGACATCTTTCCTCAACATCCCCAGAGACAATTCTGGAACAACGAGTACTCAGATGTTGAGATACTCGCAGAGGCTGTCAAGTCCGAGCTGGAATCAATTGAGAAACTCGGATACCGGAGGCCAAATCTTGAACGCGTCAAAACATCAGATCTCAAACTCTGGCCGGACTCGTCACATACAGCAGTGCAACCAAAAGTTGGGTCTGGAAACTCCCCGGCTGGAGTCATCTGGGCGACAGAAACAGATACAGCAATATGGCAGGGCTTTGGTTCATACATAGGGCGAAACGAACCGTCAAAAACTCAAGACTGCGTCATCTTGATTCTAGTGAATCACAACTGCTTGCAAGCTAGGATTGTTGCCCAGAATCAAAAAGGTCTAGATCTTTGTGAATTTGAGATAGATATGGATATGTTAATTTGCTCCTTTGTGTGTGTTGAAGGACATTATGGATCCCCAGGCTCTCATGATCCCAAGCCGCGACCCCACCCTGGCATTGGAATTACGAGACACAAAGGAGTTGTCCCCGTTTTCTCAATGTTAGAGCTGATATTTGAGGGTCATCAAATTACTTTCTCTAGCGAACGTAATTTGGACGAGTTCACAACCGTTTTAACAGCGATCATGTTACAGGCAGGATTCGAAGGACTGGCCAAGGACATTAGCACACTTTGGGGCCTAGTTCTGTTGCTTTCAGTCAGCCGCCAAAACCATACCTTGTGTGCCAAATATTTTGCCATATGCCAACAGATTCTTGAGGAGAATGGAGAAGCTATCAATGAGGACTCCGGAACTTTGGGGCTTGCTATTACCACTGCTAAGGCATTATCAGATCTCGAGAATTTAGGAGGCGAGACTGGGTTCGGGCCTCCATGGAGTCAAGCCTTCGAGAATGAATTTGCTTGGAAGAAATTCCGCTCATGGAGTGTCTCTGCGCTGAAAACATACTTCTTGTGGTGCTGGTTGCTGGTTGCCTTCCATTGGCCAATATTAATGAAAACGAACTGGCAAAAGCTTCTTGAACCCGTCCACATTCCGAATAATGAGGATGAAGATGAAACTGACTGCAATCATCGGAGTCCTCACTCCAGGTTACCCCCTCTGCTGAGAGATGGTAAAGACGAAATTGACTCCGATCATCAGAGTTCTCACTCCGAGGACACCTTGCCGACCCAGGATGAGGTTGAAATTGACTGGAATGATCGGAGTCCTCACTCCAAATACGCTTTGTCGAGAATAGCTGTAGGCTATTGCACGGCAACAACCAGCGAACTCCTGTCTTGGTCCATCGGTTTCAGCCAATCCAGCCAGGTGCTCCCAAATTACGCTCTACGATGGAGGTACGAAATGCTCCAAGACATCGGCCGCCTTCTAGCTTTTCTAAACCCTGGGAAGGATGTAATCTTACATCCAATGGACGATTTGGTGTTCTTGGCACTAGCTGCTGACAACACTGAAGCTATACAATGGTTGTTGGATCAAGATGAGTGTGGCAAAGGACCTGGACTACTTGGACCCCCATATACTTTTTTCTTGCAACCAGGCTTCCACCAAATGCATAGGAGAAGAGAAGATATCGAACTATATAGGACATTGGAAGACAGAAAAATGTCAATACTCCCCATCGCACTCATTGCCAGAAGCCAAAAAGTGGTACGGTTCCTCTTGCATAACCTTCGAGAAAATATCGATCCATCTTCATCGTGGAAGTTTCTCTTGACGGGGATATTCTTTGTTATTTTTGAAGGTTACTGGCGGTGGGACTACGACGAACATGTAGGCAGTCATTTGGCCTGGGTCGTGTTATGGAAGCACGAGACGATGCGACAGAACGAGAAGTCTAAGGTGGTCTCCACATACAGGTTTAATCGCAAGTTGGTGCAGCAAAACCTGATAAGAGATTACGAGGCAATGATTGAAATGATGGTGAAATCCGGGTCACTTTCGCTAGACAACGATTTAGTCAAGGCTCTAGAGTTCGGCAACGTACTAACATGGAGAATTTTGATTTCAAACGGAGCGCAGATTACACCCAAAGCAGAGGAGATTCGTTCAGAAATCGTTCTCGATCACTACCGGGAATGTGATTGGTCTGCTAGGTTAAAGGAAGCTTGGATGAACCGACAAAATGGGTTAGTCCTTCGTGGAGATGACCCTTATGATGATATGCCTTGTTCTCAGCTTATCTCTAATATCAACTGGCTCTTTGGAGGGCGGTTTGATATTTCCTATCTTGACCAAGCAGGCATGCGGACACAACATGGAGACATGTCGTTCTGGAACCAGGGCACACGTGCAGAAGAAGTCAACAGGATGATGGACAGGATAGATACTGAGCTTGGGCGTCCTTTCAAGATAGACTTTAGGATATGCAGGCCTTGAGGTCTCTTAATTCTCTGAGGCCAGCGGGAGTACGGATATAATCCTTATTATAGTCATACTTCTGACATTCATGCTTAGTGCAGACACTGTGCAGCAGTTAATCCTCTGCCCGCATTCATAAAAGTCATTGAGTCAATGAGTTTCAATGCCACATCACCCCCTATTGCACATCCTCAATCCCCAGAATACTGACCAGGGTGACCGACTTTCCACCTCTATTCCGCTGCTCCAAGAAAAACGGAAGTGTATCTGAAGTGAGCTCCTCGAAGATGGAGGGGATCTCTAGCGCCAAACGAACACGATAAGAGCTCCGATAGACCAAATGTTTACCCGAAATTCGAGAACCGAGGGAAGGACGTTAGTTTTGGAGCATGCATTCATAGACCGAGAGTTGGAGAATGATACAGAATGCGAATGTCGGCCATGTTTTGGGGGCTTTATGAATACTCAAATCTTTAACTTTTGTGACGGCGGGATCAAGGCAATGGCCAAGACTCAAAGATCCGAGAGAATCCCATATATTGAGAATACTAAGCTAAAGAGAAGAAGGAGAGAGAGGGAGGGAGGGAGAGAGAGGATAAAAGGAGGGAAATACTAGCTAAAACCACTGAAACGCGGGCTAGTTAGATGAAACCAGTCATGTGACAGCCACCCCCCTTATAAGCCTAGCCAGCGCCGTCACAACTTTATAATTAACTCTTTAGAAAACGAGTTATATGAAAATTGATTATATATTATAAATACTATAATAAGAGGCCGAATAGTGAGAACTTAGGCTTGCTAGATGTGTACGCCGTCGAAAATGTGCAAAGTTTTGATCGAAAGTTCAATCTATAATTAAAAAAGATCAACGACGTGGCTGCGAGAGAGTATTTTGAAGGTGGAAGAGAAAGTAAAACAAATGGTTGCGCTGGGAGGAAAGGCAGCGGGGATTGATTAATTTTACTCATCCTGTACAGTTTTTCAGCCTTAATTTATAGGCATCTATGAACCTGTCTTCATATTTTCGGCTTAGCGGTAAGGTTACTCACCGTTCGTCTGTGAGTAACCTAATTTACCTGGCGTATCCCTTCGTCCGCTGAGACATTGCCAGATTAGCGGCCGCACATGAATATCCCTAATTCGGCCAAAACATAATCCAAATTAGGGATATTCATGTGCGGCCGCTAATGTGGCAATGTCTCAGCGGACGAAGGGATAGAAACTTCTCGAAGAACGTTGATATTCGGAAAATTGTTCACAGCGTTTTGCAATAGATGCCACTCCAAGAACTTACACGGCGTCATGGAAGAAGCGATTCAGAACTTGGTACGCCAAAAGATCCGCGAAGTGCCACTTGGTGGCCCTTAAACTCCATCCTGAACTTGTATTACACGTGCAACTCAAATTTAAGCAACTGTAATGGAGGAATTTTATTCTAACGCTTTCGTTCACGAAATATTAGGTAGAAATCTCGTCCAGCTGGTAGTATAAACATCTTCAGGAACATATCGCAGAGCACAAAACGCCAAAGACAGAAGTATCAAGCGCGCCGAAGCATACAATATCCCACCAATCGAGGTCACGACTCTGGCAGCAGTATCGGGGAGCTCAATAGCGGCCTTGAGTGCCTTTCTATTATCATCCATATACTTATCCATGTACTTTTTCGATTCTTTTGATTTCATGAAAGAGAGTAAGAAATCGATCTCGAACCGTTCGAGACCTAATGATAAGAGGTTTTGCCGCAAGGCATGGATGAGAGCCGAGCTATAAAGAATAGGAAACTTCTCGAATTGCGCATATGATGAGAAAACCGAGTCAAGCCGAATTCTCCCGCGGATGAAGTTTGTCAGGTTGTAGTAAAATGTATATAGATCTGTTGCCAGTTGCTGCGGAGCTCTGTTAGAGGACTGTCCCCAACACGCAGTCGATAGGAGAAGCACGTACCGTATAGTGGCCCCTTTGTAATTTCGACAGAGACGGGGGAGGGTTGGAAGATGGTTTTGCAGATACTCTTTTCTCTGGCGCTTCAAAGCTGCTGATTTTCTCCGACATTTCTAAGCTAAACTCAGAGAGCGTCTTGTGGATCCGCCCGATTACAATGATGTTTGCCAGCAAGGTAGCAAGAGGGATGGTAGCAGACAACACACTAGCAGCCATCCAGATCATCATCTCAGTCTTAGTCGGAAAGGCGAAATTCCAAGCTAGACAGTGAAGGCCACCAAATATCGCCGTCGAAATAGCCATAGTGATATTCATCGGAGGGATGAATCCCTCCAGCCTGACGAAATCATTCTCGATGCGGTTGCATTCCGGCAGAGGCTTGACTACAGGACCATCTATATCATGTTTCCCGCTCTGAGATGGCCAATACAAACGTCGGAGGTACGGCTCCCCGTAATATTTCCACGCTTCACATTGGTAAGTATCTGCGGCGATCTTGAATCGAACAGGGGTACCGACGTCCTTCGGCTTCGACCAATTTGCAATGTAGGTGGCGATGGCAAGGAGACTGAAGGCTGATGTGCAGATTTCGAGCTGAGTGATAGGCATGTGTGTTGCTGCTCGGACTATCACCGAGAGAAGGAGCCATGATATCTGCGCGATGGCAATAGACTTCAAGAACCAGTCGGCTTTGGCTTTGTCATCGATGTCGTCTTTCTCGAGATACAAGTCGGGAAGTGGATCATGGTCCGATCCAACGCAACAGTTGACAAGTGCGTAAGCTGTGATTGGGTTCGGTGTTTCTTCCTCGCAAGAGCTTCCTCGTTTGCGGAGAAGTGTCTTTGTTCGCGGATAATATCGCTGGAACCCGCCCATATTTGCGAAATAAGAATGAGCAAGGGTCCATGTCCTTTCCTTCTGAGTCCAATCCTGGGGATCATGGGAGTTCGGGCTTGGGTATACTGCCCCCGTCTGTTTTCGATTATGCTTATCGCTTTTCTGGACCTGGCCTTCCTTGGTTTCTGCTTTTTTCTCTTTAAAATCGCTGAGCTTGGCATCTGGACCCTTCGAAAAGAAATGGGACAAATTATACAAGATCTGTGAGTGGCTGCCAAAGTCCACTTGCCATGGCAATTTGCTCCCAAGCAATTTCTTCTTCTCGGTCATGGCATGCAAGTCATCAACAGCCATCTGAAGCTCACACAAAGCTTTGGAGAAGAGGAACTCGGGAAATAGAATCGTGACGAGCATCCATTTCGCCTTCCGTAAGATTTTCCACCCGGTTGTTTCGCTGGTTCCGGGAACATTGAGGTGCAGGATCGTCCACGTACAAGCGATGATGGTCGAGAGACAGCTCCAAAGAATCGTCAGAGTTCCACGCTGGTTTGGACTGTCCTGCCAACCAATCTTCATAACGACATTATTCGAACTTGACGACGTGGAATTCTGGGCTTGCACTGCTATTGGAATCCAAACTGCGAGCAAGATAGACAAAGCTGTCGGGGCGCCCATCTCAACGAGGAGTTTCGGAGTGCAAGAAATTATTTTCTTGTTCTCAGTGGTATATTCGAGCAACCATCGTGCGGATTTTAGTGATCTAAACAGCAAAGTTCGAGGAAAATAACTTTAGAAATGACTGAAACGACGTGTCTTGAGAAAATATGAGGGATATTTTGTGGGATCTCAGCCGCACAGCTGTTAGTGCCACAACAACAATTTTGGAACCAATTGAATCATTGCTTTGCCCAAGCCACAATTTTCAATTATTGACAGCGAGCGGAAAAAGCAATCCTCATACCCTGATTGCGACGAACTGAAATTATGGCATGGGAAAAGGCCAAGTCTGTAAGAAAGTCACACGCACTTTTCATCTGGACAAAGAAAGAGCACATGCGAAAACCAGCGGCGGAAGATATCGGCAGGCTCGGCTTTAATACCCGACAAGCAGTATCGATAAGAATGGATGCTGGAATCATAAGGAATCGATTTTTACGATACTGTATCGATTCTTGGCTAAATATAAGGGTCCTTAGCAACAGCCGTACGAAGGCGACGGGCGAAAAAAACCGTCCAAATCCCTTAAGCGAGAATTTGCGTAATCTTAGCCTTGCTACTGAGGCCCACAGCTAGCTAGCGGACAAATCCGAGAAAGCGAAAAGTGATTTCTGATTTTCTGATTTTCGCACTGGCGCCCCGCACACCCCCCCCCCCCCCTCCCCCCCCCCCCCTCCCCCTCCCTCCCCAAGGCAGAATTCCCTAATTAGGGGTATAGCACCCACACGTGACTTTCGGCTTGGATAACGCAATAATAGTAAGGCTGCTTGCTTGTCTAATTAACGAAGTGAGAGCCCATACTACCGCGTGAAATCGTGCCAAAATTGGGCCGGGTAGTATAATATAAAATTGAGTATTTATTATAAATTACTATGGTCAGGTAACCACAGGCTATAAGCCCTTCTAGGATAACGCTATTAATAGGGTCTAATGACTTCCTTAACGTTCCCGAGGTTAGAAATAAGAAAATTAAACTATTAAAATAACTAAGAAGCTAGCTAATTACTTTTTTTTGGCAATTAATTAATAAAATTATATAGGGGTAACGTTACTCGAGTTTTTTAGCGCTTACGTTACTAAAAAGTACGTCGCAATAGTAAAGCATACCCTGAACTTAATCCCTATTAAAATAACTTAGTGGATTTTATTAAAATAATACTATAACTTTTAATAAATCTATTACTATATTATAAAGCTATTACTAAATGGGCTCGTACGAATATTAATTAAGAAGAAATTGCAAATAGATTAAAAGATTTATATGGAATCTTAGTTAATCCGTATATGGTCTAACGGCGACTATAAGAATAGAACGTCTAAATATATACTTAAATAGCAGATATGCCTTTTCTTTATATATAGATTATAATCCTGTATTATCTGGGAGATATAGATAAGGAAATGCTTAAGGATCTTGAGAATTACGGTTATATAGCTTTAATTACTAGAGTCATTCATATATATAAGAAGCTTGGTCTCATTTGCCGCATAACTATAATAGACAGGCAAGTAATAGACGAGTAACTATTTATAATACTATAGAGTAAGCTAAATAATAGGCGGGTTATAAATTATAGACGGCGGTATTTATATATATATTTCCGTTAATAAGGTTTACTAGTAACCCGGTTAGTCTTTTTATACTTTACTATTTTGCCCTAGCTTAGAAGGTTAGGGCCTTATTTACTAATATATTTTATTATCTATAGGGAAAGCTTATATATAATATTATAACTCCTGGATCCCGAGGTAATTATACTACGAATATAACGGATATAATCCAAGAAGGGAGAATATATTATACCTGGGCCAGACTAGATTTAGTTAATTAATAGATATAATAAGCTATTACTATTTAGGATCGAGATATATACTTATATTAATACTTATTTATATAATATTATCTGGATATATATTAGAATCTCTAATTAGACTACCTATTCGGTTATATAGTAATATCTTTAGATTTATACTCAAATAGGCTACTGCCCTTACTTCTTTAGGGCTAATTAAGGCTCTAAACTCCCCCTTATTACCGAAGCATACTTTGCATTCTCGCAGATAGCTAATCCGTTAGTTATATATATAGAGAACTACTTTATTTCTAGGAAAAGTACCGAGAATTAGCGGATTAAATCCTGGTAGCAGAAGCTTTAGAAGAGCTAGCTATACTAGTAATATATAAGTAATTCCGTTTCCCTATATCTACTCCTTATTCTTTCTATTATTAGAAGGGAGTATCGGGTACTAATAATTATACTGCTTTTTATTAAGGCTATTAGGTCTAGTATTATAGTACCGGATTATATAACTAATTCTAATTAGTATATATAGAACTACTTTTAGGAACTAGCCTATACCGGGAATTATAATTACTAATATTTATAGGACCGGATTACTCTACTAGTACTTTATATATAGCGGATCCAAAACGAGATATATAGGTTTATAGACTTATAGAATATCTATAGGATTAGAAAAGACAGATCTAGGCCTAATATAGTAGCTAGTAAGCCATTCAGACTATATATAAGGCCCCTAGGCGGGGTATAGTACTAGGGTCGCCCTATAGATATAAAGCTTTATAATATAATCCTTAATAATTATTTAGTTTAGAATAAGTAATATGACCTTATATAGCTCTATATAAATAGTTTACTTATATACTAATATAGATATTAACGAGTTTCTGCCAAGAGAAATACTAGAGTAATACTATTAGAAGCTTATATCTTATAATATAAATATAGCTAATATTTGTATAGAAGATACTAATAAAAACGGCAACCGATTATATATTCAAGCTTATTACTAGCTCTAATATATAGTCCGGGTATATATAGCCTCAGGGTAGCTACCGATATTAGGAGAGTCCAAAAAGCCGACTAGTAGATATAATACCGCTATTATACGGAATGGGATCCTTAAGCAAGTTATCCTAATAAATATAGAGTATATAAATAATATATAGGCCAGAAGAATACCCGTATAGTTCCTAATAGTCCAGGACTTTACCCAGAAATAGCTCTTTATTAGTAATACTCCTAATAATATAAGGTAGTTAAATAAGCTAATTATAGAATAACTAGATATATTAAGATAGGTATTATTTATTATTAAATATATTATTTTCGAAACCCCCTTCTTACTTTTAAGAGTAATACTAATAGAATTATTAAGTTTATTTACTATATGAATATTCTATATCTTTAAATTCTTATCTCTTAAAATAGTACTACTATTTCTCAAAACCTGCCCTAATACTATATGCCTTATAGCTAAATACTAGTATAGTAATATCTAATATTATAAGTTCTATTAATCTACTAATAACGAATATAATATAGAGGCCGCCGCTTTACTTATCCAGAGTAGTAATACTAGTAGACTTAAATCTCATGGCTCTGGAATTCTGTTTATATCTGCCCTCCTCTTTATACCTGGAATACTTTAGATCCCTAGCTTTTCTTAGTATCCTTATCCCGTATCTTTTCTTCTAGGAATATCTACTATACCTATTCCTCTAGTTACTATTACTATATAGCCGCCAGGTACTAGTTCTGCTTTATCCCAGGCTTCTCCTACTCTAATAGCCCTATAACTACTTCCTTCTATATTTCCTTTTATTACGAGCTATATTACTTAACCTAATTACTTTTCTAGTAATACTTATATTACTATATAAGTTTAATAGGCTATAAATATAAGAGTTACTCAGGCTACTGCCCAGGCTATAGCTTCTTATACCGGTAATAGGCTACCTGGAGCCCTTTAAGGTCTTATAAATCAAAATATAGCCGGATCTAGTCTTATAGAATTACAGACCATAGTTTTATAGCTAGTTCTCCATAAGTAGGTATTTAATAATATAAAGAATTAGAGAGCTAAGTAAAGAACTATCTAACTTTCTAAAGAAGTCGGTAATAAGTTTTCTCCTATTTCTTTTACTAGATTCTCTATACGAATTCTAATAGATATTTTTTAATAGATAGCTTTTAATTTAAAATAAATAATCGAGTCTTTTCTATTCTTTCCGATATAGTTTTTTAGTAACTATTTCCTTATTTCTCTCTCCGTATTAGCGGACCTATCCGCTATTATTAATTTATTAATAATGCAAATAAACTAGTATTCTATACTAGTTCTAATAGTAAAAGAGCCCAGGAACTTACGGTCTTATTAAGTTCTATCTAAACTATCTTTAATCTTTCCCGTTATAGTATATATCTAGGCCCTAAGGATATCTGGATAATTTTCCTTGTTTTATACCAGGATAAGACTCTATATAAAGATATTCGTCTTGAAATTACTTATAAAAAGCTAGAAAATACTTAGAAGGAAACTCTATATAAAGATCTCCGTCTTAAAATTACTTGTAAAGAACTAGAAAATACTCAGAAAGTATAGTAACTTAAGGAGATCAAATAATAAACTAAGGAGGCCTAGAGAGCCCAGAAGAGTATTACCCGCTAGTATAGGTATAAGACTTTGAGAGTAAAAAGGAATCTAATAAACTAGTAGGTAAATAAAAGTATATATATAATTCTCTCCTTTAATTCTGGCTTCTATTCTTTATTTCTTCTATAGATCCTTTTTTATTTTTAGGTTTAATTAACTTATATATACCAGGATTCTTCTCTACTTACTAACCTCTAGGAGCTATAAGATAATACGGAAAGTACTACTAAAAGTACTACTAAAGCTAATCCCAATAATAATAATAATAATAATAATAGTAATAGGCTATTAGATTCTCTTTTAATTTTACTATTTTTTTTTCTAGTAAAAAGAACTATAGTTAATCTTATAGACCGTATAAGCATTACTCTATAGTAACGGGTATATTAGAGATATAAATATACTACTTCTTTTTCTTATTAAATATAGAAAATTAATAAATATAATATCTTTAGCTTTATAAGTAAAACCCAAGATACCCGGGCTATTACTAGTACTTCGCCTATTACTCCGGACGGAAGTCTAACTATTATTATTAAACTTCCTAGGCTAATTAACCTTACTTCTCCTAA